AAATAATTTGAAATTGGGCACGTTTTTATGTAAACATTGTCCAAAATCTGAGGACTTATCCTTAAATTTACATGCTCCAGTGGCGGAGATACAGGGTATCGGTGGCAAATTTTTCTACAGATAGTGTTTAAATTTTAATTTTTTATTTATTTTTATTAATTATTTCTAAGAGTTTTAAAGATATTGATCCGAAATTTGAAAAACGTTTTGGGGGGATAAATGTGCATTTTTTGGGGTGATCCGAATATTTCTACTTGCACCAGTGGCGTTCGTGCGAGAATGCCACAATCTTTTTTAATTAAAAAAATGGTTCGCCACTGACTTTTTCCCGTTTTGATATTTATTTAGAAATCCGCCATCAATCTGAATGAAATTGGTCTCTTCAATTCTTTTCGTAGGATACACCGTTTTTGAGGAAAAAAATAAAACATTTTATTGTAGGATCTTTTATTTAAAGGTGCAAGTAAAAATACTCGGATCGCCCCAAAAATTACACATTTATCCCAAAGCGTTTTTCATATTTCGAGTCAATATCTTTAAAATCTGAAATAATTAATAAAAATAAATAAAAAAATTTAAATTTAAACACTGTATCACGGAAACGAGGCATATTTCGACCTACGTTTATATGAACTTTTTTGCACAAAATAACTTCGGCAACCACCCCCTAAAATAAACGCCCTGTTTATTTGAAAAATTAATAAACTTAAAATCGAAAGTGTAGTATTTTTATGAAATAAGTATAGAAGAAAATATATTTTTGGCAATTTCGTCATTTAAAATAAGATTAAAAAACTCGTAAGAATCATCTAAAATGTGTCTAACTTTCACTTTACTTTCTAAAAACGTATAGTTTTATTTTACATACTCATTAATGTATTATACACATTTACACTCCATATGTTTACAGAAACAAATTTGCGATTCTGCAACCATTGCCATCTTTGTAAGTCAAACCAGTATACTGTTTTTAATTTTTATTTAGCTTTTTTTTAACATATTTTACGATAGAGGATAGAGACAAAAAAGAAACTGTATCAAACTGTTAAAAATGTGTACAGCTCGAACATGTAGAAATTATCGAAAACTGAAAATTAAAAATAAAACACTATAACAATCTCAAGGCAATTTGGCGATTTATGGTAGCAGTAACGGCCAAATCCTTAAATTTTTATGAGAACATCGTGTGAGATTAATCATAGGTGATACATTTGAAAACCATCTACACATGTTACACCCATTACAAAATACCAGGGAATGTGAAAATGCTTAGAGAATTTTAATGATTACCGGGTAGCGATAGAAAAATACACTGTCTAAGCAGGTGAGTCTAAATATTAATTATGCGAAACTGAAAAGGTACTGCCATCTCGCAAATACTAAATTTCCGTTATTGCTCTACAGCTATATATTATACGTTAGTATAATTATCTCAAGAACAAAAAATGTGTTAATTTGGCGGACTCCAGGTAACTGTCTTAAAGACATATGTCTCGCCCTAGCTGATGCACACAGTCCTTGGAATTATGCTTCATCATATGTTACAAGTTACAATGTTCATGTTGAATTATTAATTGTGAAAATATGTATGTGCGTATAAGTATTACGACTGTCATCTTTCTCGCGAATTAATTTTACTAGTAACCATATTAGTAACTGCATTTTGATATAATTACACTGGATATAAAAATCCACACGTGGAAGACCGGCTATGACTCGAAATTAACTACTTAATACATTAGTAATTTGAAAATCGGAAAATTTGCCCGCAGAAAATCACACGGAACGATGCAAGGATCGTTATTAGTCATATATTTTGAAAAATCATCCAATTAGTAGTACAATTAAGCCGATAAACAAGGAATTGTACTGTTTTTGCAAGGGGATTTCGTCGCGTCCTTCAGACAATATGACGCAGGACATAAACATCAAGCGGACACATTTGAGTGATTCACTGATTCCCCCCACCACAGCTGTAGTGACCGTGTTATTCTGTTGTACACAATTCATTCCACGCCACAATATTGCAAGGGATAACTCGGTGTAGTGATCTGTGTTAGTTTGTTGGTTGTTTTATTCGTTTTTCTTTGTGCATTTGCGTACATTTCACAAAAGGACATGAGGATTAAAAGGCCCAGTTCGTGCCTGGTGCTGCGGTTCGTCCCCGTCCAACAAAACAGTAAGTTTCAGGCTAGTAACTTTAAAATTTTCAAGTCTACTTTTGCAGAACCTCAGTTAAATGTATCGTTTTTAATTTAATTAAGCTAAACGCATTTTTCTACGTAAAAAAATGTTTTTACGGCCCACACTTGATGCCAAAATTTTGTAAACATAACCTGTACCACGTGGCTTCTTCAGATTGAGATGCAGTTTAACTTTAAATCTAACAGGCATCTAACACAGTAATAGAAGTAATTGATCTTTCCGAGTTATATGTAAAAGAAGTTTTATTGTATTTTTAAAAAATTTAAAAGTTAAATATCCTGCCTCATTTAAAATTTAAAATTTTTTTTTAGCCTCATAAGTTTGCTAAATTCTGATTGTATTCAAACATTTTATGAATAAAATATTTATGGAAAGTCGTTCACGTGAACATTGCATGTAGGGCCCAGAAATATTTCCATTATAACTTCTACGGTTTCTGTTGCTGACGTTTCAATTTTTTTTCAAAAACGTATGCCTCTCTACTCTGACAGATAAACTTCTGATTCATAGGTATTACAGATATGAAAATTTATTTTGCAATTATAGATAGCATGTAACTGTCTCTAAACAGGTTTAAACAACATGATAAAGCCTTTGTAACTTGAGCAACTACGATAAAAATCACCTTGTTGCTACAAAAAAATATATAGCCATACACCTAACTACTGAAAAATGTAGAAAAACGTGTTTTTAACCCAAAAGAAAGTATCAAAATATTTGCCTATTTAGACGTTACAAATACTTGGCGTAAAATTTGTTTACTTAGTCTTTGGGAAACAAAATACATACCTAAGTCATGAATAGTTATTTTCATAGAAAAGTTTTCATAAACATGTGTATAATAATATAACGACTATAACGTATAATCGACTGCATAATATCAATCCGTTTTTAATAATTCCGAAATGTTATTACCATAACATAAATTGTAGTCTCATTTATGACAAGTAACACAAAACTTTCCACAACTAAAAATTCCAAACAGTTCAGTTCATTCGATGTTCACGAATTTCTTAGGCGTCTCGTAATTACAATTAAAAAGTATCTCTAAACTCATCACTGTTTATTGTAGTTTTGTGGCTACAACGGCATCAGCCACTACCAGAAAACTCCTTTAAGAAAGTGACTCATCACTTGATGTTTTTCAATTACTCTTCCGTAGAGTGTAAGGAGCAGATAATGGTAGAATGTAATCCCCTACCCTCTATTAGTCACCGCCCCATTACCTATTGCAGATCTCACCACCAGAACAGTTCTTTTTTTTAACAAGTATGCCCTCATCTAGAGCACACATGACTCATGCCCGTTTAAACACACACAGCATTGAATTTATCCCTTACATAATTAGGGTTGGTGCAGTATATGAATCACAGATGCACAGGCCTATTCAAATTCGATGTTTGGATAATTTTAATCTGTTATTAGTTGCGCTAGTTTAAAAGGAGGTGACTCAGGCCTGTTTAGTAATGCAGAATGGTTTATTTAAAATTCCTATACCCTTCTGGTGTTAATCACAGTTGATACGAATAATTCATTTGAATGCCATTTGAATATCGTAAACTAATGTACATTTAGAGCACGTAACCTCTTTAAATTTCTATTTAGAAAAATTGTGTTATAAATCTATATTTTTTAACCCAATTTTTGTGGAGCCGTGTGTCAAGGCTAGCAGCCAATCATTCCGTTTAAAATAATTCACAATTTATCTGAATCATCACATATCTATGAAATATTCGATAAAAATTGAAGTGTATTTGTCATTAATTAAAATATTACGCAGGTATAAAGCAAATAAAGTACTTGTCCCTAAACGGCCAATAAAATATGACCAACGAATTTAAGTACCAGCATAGTGATGGTAAAAAGTTATTAATAACAAACAATCTGATAATTAACGATATGCTATTTACAACACCCAAATTGTTACGCACTCAGAAAAATTGGAAATGTTACAAATAACGCTGTTCGTACATAGAAACAACATGCAAATCCTGAACTGCATTGATCTGTTGAAAAATCAATAGTCTAGCAAGGTATTTTCCTTGAATACCACTAGTGTGTAGACCTACCTGTTGGAGTTCTAATACATATTAGGTTGAGGGAGTTCTATACTTTGATATTAAATACACAGCTAAAGTCTCTTCCAATTATTAACCGAAAGGTCAGTAAAATAATAGATTTTGAGCCTATTAAAATTTTGCTATTCTTTTGAATTCGTATCATTCAAAAGATCAGGAAAATTTTGGTACTAGAAATTGATTTTTGTGTTCGATTTTGTTAATACGGTTAAAATTTTACTGACTTTCGAATTATTATTCACTTGATCTGATTTGATTTTGATATTAGAAAGACAGTTAACATTTTTGTGTTATTATGGTTTATAATATCCGAAAGATCAGTAAAATCTTGAAAACTCGGTTTAACGTCATTTTTATGTCTAACAACAACTCATTTCTTCCAATTATTAACCGAAAGGTCAGTAAAATGATAGATTTTGAGCTCTTAATATAAGACTATTAAAATTTTGCTATTCTTTTGAATTCGTATCATTCAAAAGATCAGGAAAATTTTAGTTTTAGAAATTGATTTTTGTGTTGATTTTGTTAATACAGTTAAAATTTTACTGACTCGAATTATTATTCGAAATATTAGAAAGACAGTTAACATTTTTGCTGCTATTATGGTTTATAATATCCGAAAGATCAGTAGAATCTTGAAAACTCGGTTTAACGTCATTTTTATGTCTAACAGCAAATAAAATCCGCAAATCTCTGAACAGGCACTGTTTATTTCAGGGGGACACCGGGAGTTCCACCGCAAGCACAAAGAGCTGTGCGAAGACACGCTGGTCTCCGGGCTGACATCTCGGGGGTTACCGTCGTCGGCCTCTTGCCCCGCTTTGGCAGATGTGGATTCCTATCCCGCATCGAAAGTTTTACCCTTTTTGTACCTGGGCAACAGCAAAGATGCAGCTGATCTGTCTTGCCTGCAAGGCCTCGGCACCACCTGCGTATTGAACGTCACCTCACAACTACCAGGCTACCACGAAGAATGCGGTATAACGTACAAGCAGATACCCGCCACAGACTCTGGACACCAGAACCTCAAGCAGTATTTCGAAGAGGCCTTCGAGTTCATCGGTAAGTCCTCGCTTGCGGCATAGCCTAACGTTTCAAAAATACAAGCGTTTATATATCATGTAAAGCTACACATGCATTGAGAAGTGCGGTTAAAATGATATTAATAAGCGAACACCGCAGAATTCTAAGAGTTGCCAGGAACGGAACCACGGGAATTGTTCTGTTTCTATTATTCGTAATTTAATGTAAAAAACGCTCGCTGCTTGCGTTCTATTCACATTTCATTATCGCTGAAGAAACCTGATTTGCTGTACATCCTGCTGTTTCAGAGATAAATGAATCACTTGTCTATTTTCTTTGCTTTTCCAGGGAAAAGTTGAACGTGTAAAATCCCCCATAATTACGTATAATTAAGAATTGTTTATGGTGTCAAAGAGTTATACTCCATGTATATTAAATGTTATGTTTCTTAGTTTGTATAACTATAATAATCAGATGAGGCTTCTTGGAACTTATCTGGTTATTTAAACCGACAGAGTTTGTAGAAATATTATTTGGCACGACTCTGCAGTTTACGTTGGTATATGGAATATAAAAATAATCTCGACAATATTACTATTTGCGTAGAGCTGTTAAAAAATGGAGCAGTAATATGAACATTTTTTCCCAAGTAAAATCGCCTAGCATTTTCAGAAGCTGCTTTGAAAGTGTGTTTGCCCAAGAAATACAATTTTTTATTTCCGTAAGATAACAAAATAGGTCATACTGATAGATATAAGCCCAAATAGATCGTTAAACCTGGTGCACACACACGACGCAATGATTTTGGCCGATTTTGTCGAACGACTTGCAACAGCGATTTATATTGTTTAAAAAAGTAGGTAATATAATTTATTTTAGTATCGTTTATTTAATGAAATCAGTAAATTCACTTCCTTACAGTATTTTATATAATGTCGTTCTTAGGTCAATATTAAAAACGCAGCTAAAATTTTACTGATGTTTTTATTAACTATTATTCGAAAGATCAGAAAAATTTTCGAAATTGCGTCTTTAGTACCAGTAGGACTGTTAGATGTTAATTAAGATTTTACTATTCTTTTTAATTAATATTATTCGAAATTTTAGGAGAATTTTAGATGCATAAATACCTAACGCTTTGGAAGAGATAATACAAAGTCTTGCTTGAAAGGAAGTCTCGTTAAAATATTTCGTACGCGAACCTGTTCTCGCTTTATTTTAATTTTTTCATTGCTACACATGTCGGAACTGACGACGTCTGTAAAAAGATGTTGAATTTTACTTACGAGAATTGTGACCTCGTTCGGGGAATTGCTATAAATTATGAATAAAATGATACAGGAAGTAACTCCGACTTATCAATATAGTGACTGATTTCACCTTACGGTAATTTTTTTTAAATTAGCAGGAAGGAATATAGAACCATTATTTGTATTTCCTACTTCCATTATCCTAAAAGTATTACGCACGCGAATATATACGGGGTGAATAGAATAACTGCTGCTGGCAAAAATATTTGATGTAGCTTTATTAAGTTTTTGTATACGGCTTTTTAAAAATAGTAGCTTAAATTCGGGGAAACAGTTTTTAACATGTAACAAATCAGATATATCTCGGAATATTAATATTCTATTCCTAGAAAAAATTATAAATAAATTCTGTACATCCAATAAATTTGAGAATTAAAGAATTGGATTTAGATATACATACGTCCACACGTATGAAAGTTATTCAAACATATGATAAGAAACCTAACAGCTCCGCATGTAAACATAGCAAGACGGAGAGCTTCGAGCTCGTGTAGTTCTCGCCTCTTCTAGAGAAAGTTAGGATCGAGGTGGAACGTTCTACAGTATGGTAGCTTAACGATGTTTTTAACTCGCGTTGATATAAATATAAGTTGGTATAAATATAACATCTACTCTAATGTTGATAATACATTGTTATAACGTAACAAGTATTAATAACACAAAAAATTATCAATACTTTTATTTATCCATCGTATATTTCTGCCATGTCATTGTCGTTTGCCAGTAACTATTCTTAGGATTCCCAGCGCGACTTTTAAAGTTACTACTTCGACTGCGTAAACTGTTACATTTCCAATCGCTATGTTTCGAAATTTTTGGCCGCCTAGCCCATTTTTTTAAGGTATCCGTCCGCGCTAGATGATCGGATCAGGTAGTGTGTGTTCTTATGAATGGCCTGTGTGTCGCGCTTGGTTTGTATAACGGCCTTGTCGTCAGTTTTGAGTCAGCAGCCATACACCATTACTCATCGTAGTCATTGTTCAAGGGCCGTTGAACGGGGCTCCTGTGCTATGACTCATTTTAGATATGCCGTAAAAGCTCCACAGCCGGGCTGCCAGGCCCAAAAATACCCTAAACCTCCACTCTATTGTTCATAATCACTGCCATATTGCAAACACTTCACCAATTGGCCCTTATGCTCATTGTGCACTTCATAAAATCCTTTATTAGTCATAGCTATTACTCAATTCAGTTAGAATCACTTCAACATCCCCTATACAGGGTGACTCATGTTTGTAGGCGACCGAATGCCTTTTAGTTATCCCCCCGCCTCGCACAGGGTGATTCATGCCGATAGAAACCCGCAAAATAAAGAAATTTGTTAAAAATTATATAGAATAGCATAAATATTTATTTTTAATTATGATAAATGCTAGTTCTATTAAATTTTAAACGCACCGAAGCGTTTCGACATATGTTACAATTTTCATTTAATATTCGGTGATGTCAGCGTCCATGGGCGTCCGTCATCGAATCAGAAAATATTGTACTACATTTTGTATTGGCGAAAAAGCTGTTACAATGTCATCATTTTTCATGAAACGAATTGCGGTTAGAGAGGTAGCCGCTTGTTTTGATCGGTCTGCACAGTGACGTGTGTACACGTGAGTCTGACCTCACTTGATGATCCTCGATAAAATCCCTTATATGCAAATTGTGTTATGCGATACACAAACTTGATTCATTTTCTTCTACGAAAAATGTGCGCTGTCCATACAGATATGTAAAACGTTGCGGTATTTGTTTATAAAAAGGTGAAAAATATTTTCACCGAACTTCTGAATCTATTTAATTTTTAACTTTATAAAGTACGTGTAAAAAATGTATATAAAATAACATGATATCTAACTCTAAAAGTAGGTACATCAGAATTATCTGCCATTTCCCGATAACTCGTATCTTATCGGTTTCAAAAGAGTTAAAATGATTCATCTACAGTGAGAAAACTATTTAGTTATCTAACAATATGGCTTGTAAAGCGTGTACAGTATTAGTCATAGGGGAGTATTTATCTAATGGATTTAGGGTAGACGGGATTGTGGGTGATTTATCCAATAAATATGAACTAATCGACTGGTGTAACACTGTTGACATTTGGCTCGTTATCGTTTACCCGATATCCTTAATTCTAACCGGGAACATAAAATTGATTACTCCAAATTGCCCTTATTTAATAGAGCGCGCCAAATGAACACTTAATATTTTATACTTATTCGGGAACACCCGGTACATGTCTCTAAAAACGTAGAAGAATATGAATATATATTTTTTTCTCTGGATGTGAATATGGGATTTAATAGGCAGTGGGTCAGTGGCTGCAGCAGAGAAAGATCGAAATTATCAATTTCCTTGAGCAATGTCCTTGGTGGGAACAGATTTAACTTTCAGATCCATCGATTGTTTACAATGAAAGGAGAGGTGCAACGTTAAAAAAATGCAGCTAGAAAACTAGGCGCATCTGCGAAAGCCGACAGCAGTTTGTTTACCGTGTTAAATACAACAATGGAAATAATATATAGGGTCAATAGTCATAAGATAGGTCAGCAGATTAATTAATTAAATTACTTAATTCTAAGGTTATACGTGCAGGTTACTCAACCATAAAAAATCCGCGGCATTTTGTGACTCAACGCGGCTAGTACCAGCATTTATTTATTTATATATATTTTTTTGTTTGAAATTTATTGTCGCAAGAACGTTTAAATATCGAACTGATAAAAGTCCAAATATGTGATGAGTAGAACGATCGCATAAAATAAAATGCTGTGGAATATGTACCTATTCGGTATCTGTTAGTAATCATAGATATGACTCAGATTAGTTGCGTAATAAATTAAATTACACGGCATTAATCAGTTTTAGCGCTGTGCAAATACACCAAACAACAATTAAAGTGGCAAGTCTTTGCGTCTGAATGATGTGCATTCGTGTGCCATTAAATTCAAAGGAGGCTATTATAAAATGTAGTTTAAAATAAACCAAAGTATCAGGATACAGATTTAGTCTAAGTATGAGTCATGATTTCCCTCTCTGTCTCTGTTTTCCTGTTGCTCTTACAGCTGCTAAACGGCTAATATTCGTCATCTGGGTCATAATTTTATTGCAGTCTGTCTTCAACCCCATTCGAGTATTTTTAGAAGAGCGCTGATTATGCAACCCACATTTTCATCGGCGCTCGGGTATGCAGACAGCTATACGTTTTTACGCAGTTCGAGTTGTATGCGGGTCGGACTGTTACATAACCAATTTATTGCAGTTGACAAACCACTTTTATCCAGTAGTGTAATTATTTATGGTAAATAGAACGAAAACAAATAACGCATAATGTAGGCCTAATGCAAATCAATCGTTTATTTCGCTGGCGTGGCTTCAGTGATATCTGAAGTTAGAGAATGTGCATAGTATGAATATTTTACAGTCTTTCTATTTACTGTTGACACGTTTTTGAGAAATGACAATTTTAATCCTCGATTCGTAATCATAGTCCTGGACATTTAACATAGCTTGTATTTTTGATTGGGGACTAGTTGAAATATTGATGTTTTCTGGTGTGATGAAGCGAAGCTGATAATATTTTTTGTTTGCAGAGGAAGCGAGGAAGAGCGGTTCGAGGGTGTTGGTGCACTGTCAGGCGGGAGTGTCCCGCAGTGCCACGATAGCGATAGCCTACATAATGAAATACAAACAGATGTCAATGATAGAGGCCTACAAGAAGGTGAAAGAAGCCCGGCCTATAATATCGCCGAATTTAAATTTCATGGGACAACTGTTAGAGTTAGAACAAAGTTTACGGAGTGATAGTAGTAGTAGTAACAACCACCAGTGTCGCTGGAGCCAGCAGTCGACGGATGAAGTGACGCAGGGCTGTAGTGTGTAGAGGGAGAACAGACAGTGAAAGTTGTATTTCGTACGGACATAAGTAAAGCAAATAGTCATCGGCTCGCCATAGAGTTAAAATCTAGTCTAATATTGGTCAAATGGCTGTGTACCATTAAAGATATTTCACATTATAATATACATATACAGGAAGGATGTTTATGTTAGTACTTTTTACAGCAGCTTAACCGATCGGTTTGTAACCTGTTAGTAAAGAAATACTCTCTTAGGAAAATGAAACGAGGAATCGGACTGCACCCATTTGTTTTGGCAGCGAATGTATATTGTTTATTGTATAATATTATTTATTATGTATTAAATGTAACTCTACCGTATAAGAATTATCCTTAGGTTCTTCCCGGTCCAAACCGGATATTTATCGGTATATAAAAATGCCATATTTAATGTTTGTTCAACCATAGTCAGTGTTTTTAGTTTTTGTGCAGAATTTAATTGTTGTTTTGAGTATGTTCGATATGATTTTCTTCGAGCGGATAAGGAAGTGAAACTTTGTATTCAGGGTTTTCATAATTATAATTGTGATTCTTCATAGATTTTTAGTTTATTGTATGTGCAGGTACAAAGAAAGGTGCGTTTAGAGTTAGTGTAGCTGTAAATACCGCGGGTTTCAAACTACACTGTTTTTCTCGAGTACCTATGAATATAGATAGATGAGAGTGAGCTATCACATTAAAATATGTGCCTTCACCTTTATTTGTAAACTATGTATAGAGTTCAGACTGTAAAAATGGGTCTTGTATATCAAGTCTTCAATTTGTAAATACATTAAATGTTATTAAAAATGCCTTTTACTTACCTTCAAAACCAAAAAAATCAAAAACAGGACCGGCGCCAGGGTATTTGGCACCTGAAGCAAATATTTGCTTGCCCCCCGTTGGAACAACAAATTTATTAATAAAAAGTTATAAAAAATGTAAAAAACATTTCAATAGACAAAAATAAATAAAAAATATTTAGAAAAAATCCAAACAGAAATTATAAGAAACGTCTTATAAAATATGAACAGATATTCCAATAAAACCAAAAATAAAAAATATTCAATAAAAACAAAAAAGAAACTAAATAATGTCGAAACAGGATCAACTTTTCTACATTTTTCATTAACAAAGTCTTCAATAATATCAGCATATACCAAATTATTTGTTATATCTTTCTTGATAGCAAGATTGGCTAAATCTGTTAACCGTTCCTGCGCCATGGCTGATCGTCAATAATTTTTTATAATTTTTAATTTTGACAAAGAACATTCTCCACTGGCCACAGACACAGGAATGGTTAACAAAATCCTTATAGATACTACGATGTTAGGGAACTTCAACTCGATTTCTAAATAATAAAAAGCACAAAGCACGCATTCGGGGTCAAAAAATGTTTTTTTCAGATTTTTGTGCAATTTTCAATTTCTGAAATTTATAACAAGTTAATCAAGTCAAAAAATGCCACCTGAGACATATGTTTCACTGTTTCACCCCTTCCGCCGGCCCTGTTCAAAAAACATCAAAATTTAGCAAGACTGAAAAATGCATTACGACTATTTCATATACATCAGGCATCCCAAAATTCACGTATGATTTGAATTTTGCCCCACTTGTGGGGTAAAGTTTGCCAAAGAAAAAATATGAAAATAATGAAGGTTTGACAGCTACAATTCGCAATTTTCATACAAAATATGATCGGAGTCATTTAACTCCATCAACTGCAAAGAGATTAGTTGAAAAATACAGGGAGGCTGGATCGATGTCGAAGGACGGTCAGTGTTTGTCCTTCGACAAGTCGTTCAACATGAAACGTTGAAATCAGGAACAGTCCAGAAACATTAATTCGGCACTGTGGCCAAGAATTGGACATTTCGAGAAGCTCTCTAGCGTATTCCCAAGAAAGATTTGCATCTTCATACTCAATTAATTCGAGAACTGAAGCCTACTGACCACGCAGAGCGAAGAGGGTTCGTTGAAGGAATTATGGAACAAGTGGAAGCTCATCTTCAACGATGAGGCTTATTTCCATCTTGATGGCTTCATTAATCGACAAAATAATCACATTTGGGGTTTACCCCGACATGCTATTCCATATACCGCATTTCTATACAACCAATCAGCGATCGCATTATAAAATTATGCCAATCACCAGCCGGTGAAACAGAATATTACATTTTAATGTAAGCTTGATCTTGTTGTATTAATTTTATTGAAATGTAATTGCCAACGTCAAGGAAATAAAATTATTGGTCACGTGGCTTGTAATCATTTATGAAGGCTCTCTATACTTTATGAATCAATAAAAAAAAATACAATTTTTAATTAAGAACCTGTTTTCTCATCAAAATTACTTCTTGCGTGAATTTTAGGACACTGTATAGTCAAAAATATGTCATATTTTCCATTACGTTGTCTACTCAGTTACTTCTGCGCTGCAACCAGAAATACATTTGATTAATTTAAAGCCCGTATCAGACAATGCAATTTTGTTGCAGGGATTTGGTGAATCCATGAAATTTTTCTTATCAGACTATGCAATTCTATCGCGGCAACTGAATTGCATAAATTAGAACATGCTCTATTCCGTGCAACAAAATTGTAGGGATCCTGTTACTTTTAAAGGCTGTATCAGACAATGTAATTTAGTTGCAGCTACAAAATTGCGAGGATTTTGTTGCGGGATAAAATTGCATGCTTATTATCACACAATGGGATAGAATTGCTATAATTTGTTTAGTTTGCAGTAGTGTTGCCAACTGTACATTGTTTAACATGTAAAATTTCTTGTATAAGATACATACATGTTAAACAGTTGCACAGTTGGTAACACTACTGCAAACTAAACAAATTGCAGCAATTTTATCCATTGTCTGATAAATAGACATGTAATTTTATCCCCATAATTTTGTCGCCGCAACTAAATTGCATCGTCTGATACAGGCTTTAGAACATGATTTATTTCGTGCAACAAAGTTGCTTACTTTTATGAAGATTTGTGTATTACCAACTTAGCTGTTGTTGGCTGCTGTTAGTAAAACTGTTGAAGCCACTATTAAAACTATACAGCAATACTTTTAAATTTTCATCCATTGCAATGTTTTGCTTGAATAAAAAAGAATTCTGTACAAGATACTCACAAAAAATTTTACATGTTAAAAAATGCAGTTGGTAATACCTACTACTGCAAACTAAACAAATATTGTGTGATAATAAGCATGCAATTTATCCCCGCAATTTTGTCGCGGAAACTAAATTGCATTGTCTGATACAGGCTTAACCTAAACTAAACTAAAATTTACTTTTCGGAAATTTTTGTATTTTCTGTATCAATTCAACCGCTTCAGAGAAATGAAACAACACGTTTTATTTAAAATAACATGTTCATTAATAAAAACAAAATATAAATGAAAAAGGAACATATAATGCCCAAAACAGTGTGTAGATATAAAATAAAAATAACACTTGACAGTAAAATTTTTATAATGCTTAACAAATTCGAGTACTAAAATCTATAACATAAAATAATAGATGAGAAAAATATATATTATTTATTAAATTACCAACTTGCACACACTACTTAAGGGGTTCTCTTTGTGAGAGGCAAGTTGCTTCACTGTTATTAAATATATTATATTCATAAGTATAATCTACATATTGTCTCCCCTGAATATCCATTTCTACAACTCATACTTGTGTGCATTACATTTGTTTCTAAAGACAAAGAGGATTATAATTTATAACACAGATGTACAATTTTGAAATATTCTGTAAAAAACTACATATTTAAAGTGGATTACTTTAATCAATGTTTCAAATAATAGTTATACATATTCCTTGTTTTCTTAACAGCAAAGTTCAGAAAATACCGATGTTTTAGAAGCACCTGCAAGATTAATACTGATAAACTTGTCGAATTTAAGTTGAACTTGATTTTCTCTTATACCTACACTACGCTAATTAGCGAAATATGTAAAGTAATCTGCCGCTCTGTCTCTAACAAAAATTTTAGGTAACATGAAAATATAAAACTTAAAACATATTTAATGTCTAATAAGCGCCAAAAATTCACCATTCAGCGTCTCCATTTGCTTTCTGGAACACAAAGTCCTCTCCGTTTAGGTTCATTATACCATCTTTCAAATGGAATTTCCACCTGTTTCGACTCCTTGTTATCTGACAACAAAATTTATTCTTACTTAAAACAATCCACAATGCAAAAAACATAATTAATTGCGAAATATACGTAAGCGTTAAAATGTTGTATTTTGTTATAATACAACCAAATATTGTAGCCACTTCCATTTATTAAATACAGTTACAGCATCGACGTGACATACCGTTTCAATGTTGCGTCGATGTTGTATAATTGCAAAGTCAGGGGTACGACATGTTTCAGTTAATTTAAAAAAATGAATATGGCAATGTTGTAATACCGAAATTTCATTTATTACATATTTTTAAGAAGTACTTAGTTGTAGCATCAATTTCAGAACGGAGCAACCACCGGTCACGATACAAAATTATCGATGTTACATTTACGAGACCCGGTTCTATAAAAACTAATGAGGCATGAAGCAGGCCTCATTCGCTTTCTTATACTTGCATTGAAACTCCTATCGACCGATAAATAAATCAGAAATAAGATCCGTGTTATACCGATACCATTTAATAAAATAGACGATGAAAAATATTCTGAAACGAAGAACGTTTATTCAAATTAACAACGAATAATTCTTTCACGTGAACGTTCTCTTCTGTTCGAGACGGTGGGATTCGGACCAATGAAAATTCGACCTTGTGAGCATGATGGGAATATATGTATAGGAACTACATCGCAATACATCCGTTATGTTATCAATGCTAAACCGCTCATTCAGTAATGTTATGCAACTTATTTTATTACAACAACGTTCACTCGTCAGTCTATAGCTGCACAAAAAATTATACATCAGTATCAATGCCGTTGAAAACGTACATTTTTCCTTATTTTTACTCCCTAACTATTTTATCGACTACTAAATTAACGATTTTTAATATAAATTAAGTGTTTACGACAAAAAAAAATGCATTTTTTCTGGCCGTGCATTTCTCACCTTGTCATATTGGCACACTATCACATTTTCAGTCTCAAAAGATTCTTCCGTTCCGTCGGCATCCGAAACGTCGTCCCCGGAGTTTAGAGGTTCTTCTTCCGCGCCCGCTGCTCCGTCTTCCTCTATTTCATCGTTATCCTTCTCATCGTCCCCGTCCTCGGATATATCGTCGCTTTTGTCATCGTCTTCATCCGAGGAATCAGCCGGGCCGTCCCTTTGCGGGATCTCATGCAATCTTTGGACTTTATCGTCAGACGCGAGTTCGGTCTGCAGTATTTGGTGATTGTTCATTTCGAAAAATGACTGTTGGTGGTTTAGGAACGCGGCATTTACGTGGTCTTGCAGGAAGGAGCAAGCTGCCATCACGGGAAGACCCATGGTGGTACTGATCACTTGCCCCGTTAGAATCGACTTCAGGTGGTGGCCTTGGAGGAAAACTTCCGGGACGTCTATGGAAAGAATCCTATTACCGTCGCCCGTTCCAGGGGCTGCAGGTATAGTTAGTTGTATTGGGACCCTCCTCCACTCAGGGAAAGCTTGCCCTAATTGCCCTTGGGGCATGTGATTGTTCGGAGCGACCTGACCAACAACTTGCTTGTTATTCAGCAGCTGTTGCTGTTGGAAGTTCTGTTGCTGCTGCTGGTGTATCTGTTGCACCACTTGCTGTTGGGTTTTATTGTAAGTAGTACCATTACTATAGTCATGTTTTACAATTTTGTTATTCGTACCTGTAGGAAACAATTGTTAACTGTTTCAGGATAAAATATATTTGGGCGCACTTACCTATAGCCTTTTCCGGTTCTTTGTGTTCTTCTACAGCTTTCGTTGCCGACAGTTTCGTCTGCCAGGTTTGTTTCAATTCTTGCAGTACTGCTTCATCTACCCCATCCTCAATAAAGTATTCCCTTGCGTTCGATATCACATCGTTTATGACGTCTTGGTAAGCTTTGAACTTCAAAAGAAATTATTGCTTAGTATTTTAGTATAAATTTTTATATTCAGTCTGATAGAGAATTTTTCCCGACATTTACAGTGGGTTTTTAAACAATAAATGTAAATGTACGCATGCGGCGTTTTTTACAAGACAGCCGGTATATGTCGCATACCACCACAATAAATGTTGCCTACGTGCAAATATCATAGTTTAATGGGGTACCTTTTTTGAACAAATTATAAACATTTTCTAAATCACGATCCAAGATTGGTATTAAGAAAGGTAGTGTTTATCATCACACATAAAACATATTAGTAGCAGTTTGCAACATACATTTTAAAAAAAGTGCAGTATTTATAGAAAAAACAGCGTTGCGGTTCGTATTACTCAATCTCCTTCCAAACAATAAACATAAATTTTAATGAATCCTTATCGCAACAGCAATATGCTAATTACTAAATTAATTGTTGAGTACGTTCTATTAACTATGTTAATTGTAGCACGATAATATTCACCGTTAATATTTTTGTTTATCTAAACATTAAAATTCAAACAGATAATTGTACACGTTTTTCTTGTCAACTGAATGCTTTGATTAAAATGCTTTAATACTAGGTGATAATACTTTGTTCTAAAATAAAAAAAAACTGCAACAATGAGCGTTATTTCTCAGAGGCTTAATGAGTGGGAGACGAAATTCGCCGGTTTTAGCTAATCGCATCTAGAAAAGTCAGATCATTCTGGTCTTGGAATATTTTTTAAAAAGCTGCACTAAACAATAAATTAAGGGACAATCAGTCGATAACATTAACTACTGGGCATATCCACGGCTATTAAAATGCACTTATAAGGCAGTTACACATAGTTTACTGGTGCTTAAGTACATTTTAATTTTCTAAAGAGTGATATGTATTAATAAGGTACAAATAAAGCAATTTGTGTTCTATAAATGTGTACATACTAACATTTATATATCCGATTTTTTATTTCTAGCAATAGGAATCAAAGGATCCAGTTTTATATTGCAAAGATAAAATATTCATAAATATACACACCTACCTCATGAATTTTAAATTGTAAGGTGTACATTCACAAAATTAAAACAATTGTCGTTTACGAAACAATTTAGTCACCGTATGTATTATACTGTTGCTAATGTTATTTGTATTTGAATAAGTTCTGTTCATTTTTTTTCAGTCATTCCTCTGCTATCACATATTTTCATTAAATGAAAACATTACGAAAAGTTAACAATATAAATATGTGATGTTAATCATTGTAATTTGTCTATTATAGACAGAAATTATGGCTTATATCAAATAATGAATTTCTGCAGCAAATGTGGATTTTAAACAATTTTCGAACAATTGGAAGAATTTTTATTACAACTACATATCATATAAATACAACGAAAAACTTTTAATTACTTTTGTGACAGTTTTAAATTGTAATGTGTGTGTGATATAGTAATACACGCTAATAATCAAAGTTACTTGATCAAGCCTTTGAGGTTTCGTAATAATAAATAATGTAGGTGTAGGTGACAGGGATGTTAAATACACACAATATCTAATTTTAGTTAGCCGTAACATAAATTATGAAATGTGATCAAAAAGCTTTTTATATTTTCGCTTTTAAACACACAGTAAACGCGACAAAACCAGTTAGTTCATATAAAAAGTTCTCTTTAATCAAAACTATGAAAACAGGTGCTTCAGATATGACATATTATTTTTCAAATGTATTTGAACATTGATCTTTTTAAAATAGTAATATAACCATTGATCATTTTTTTTGTTGAGATGAAATTTGGCGCATTCTTCACAGAACATCGGGTAGTCGTGTGACAGCTTCCAAAAGATAACTAACGTTAAACAATGTAATAAATAACAACAATCTATTTACATGTTAAAATTGTCTTATCTGTTAGGATCAATATATTCCGAAATGCCGTCAACACCGATAATTTCTGATCACAGATAAAAATTTTACGTCTATTTAAATATATTAAATACATGTGTATATTCACTACTAATGGATGGACTACATCACTACACCTAATATAAGAATAGGTCCACAACGAAAATAAAATGTTCGCTGTTTCTTCAAAATATAAATAAATAAATATAAAGCCATAGCAAAAAAACAGTTCATCATAATTTATAAATCTAGTATTAGCAGCTACTCAGCTTAGTTCTTCATTTAAATTAAATCGGCATTGTAACTGATAAATATGCAATATACACCTAAGTAGATATTGCCAACTAAATAATATAATAATAATATACTTATTTATTTATTTACATATTTGCTACAAATATTATACTAGAAGTGACAAAAATGTAATAAAATTGATATATATATAGGTATTGGTTTTCTCTAAAATTATTTCTATACTAATTTCAGTTTTATTCATCGCACAAACAAGAAAATTACTTAAGTGTACTGTTGCATTATCTATTAAAATAACCATTCAACTAGAAATTTTGTAATGATCTTCAATATTACTACACTTTTAAATCAAGTAGGTACACAATTTTTGCCTGCAAAAAACGTAATATATTTCAAATTTAGCTCGGCACCCAACAAAATGTAACTAGAGCTAACTTTGTATCAATTGTTTAATACCTCTAGAACTACCTAGGATATTAAGAATTGTTACCGTATACAAATTTTGTTTTAAAATTCCTCTTGTCGTAGTTGACGTCGATTTCACATTAAAGTCGTTCTCGTGAACTTTTGAGTACACTGTTAACTGGGTCGTATCTATCTATTCATATTCCGTCCTTCATACCAACACATCCATGAAAGGTCATGAAGAAGGTACATAATATAAAGAAAAAAAAGAAGGAAAATAAAAAGATAACGCGCAAAATATTCGATATATATTCGATAAATATTTAAAAAATTTATTATTTTTTAAATTCTGCAGAGTATTCTGCAGATTATATGTATGTCAATGTCAGTACAATTATATCAATATAAACGGACTTATAAAACAGAATAAGAGAATTGAAAAAAGGCAACATAAAAAAGAAGAATAATTTTTAAAAAGCAGTTTTAATCAGTGATTAATCTGGTTCATTCCTGAATAAAAAAAGTTTAAAAGTGAATGGTCAATAATTGTTTAAATAAATGTATTTAATCGTTTATTATAATAAGAAAAATGTTTATCAAATGCTTAATACCTGGTGCCTGTCTTATTATTATTTATTAAATCTATATCTCGTTTATCTCTTTAATTCACAAATTTTCTTACAGATTACCAATTAAATTATTCCTCAAACTAAGTTGCTGCTTAATTTAAGTATGTCAAATTGTAGTCTTAATACTGTTATTAACTTTAAAAATATTCTTCTAATCTTAAGAGTAAATATCAACAACAATTAAATTAATAATTACTCGAGTCAAATAAAAATTGACGGTTTTAAAAGTTAAATTTGTTTTTCTATAATATACTGCAATTTTTTCACGCATGTCGTGTCATCGTTAATTGGTGTGTATATTGCAATTATGTTTTTCTAATCTTCAAGCCGCAGATAATATCTACTTATAATTATTAGAGTTACTATAATAAATAACAGCGAAGTACAGTTACATGTAGTGGCGTACAGCACTGTACAACTATAAGATCGTATTTATTTTCAAAACCTTTAGCCAAGGATTAAGCTATCTAACAATAATTATCTAATCGGCTTGAAATTTGAATCTACAAGAAACAATAGTGATGAATAATGCCAGAAACGCAGGCGTAAGAGATAATTATCAACTGTGGATAAAACTCCGTCGAGCATTGGTAAATAACTTGTATGTCACCGTCGTTCATTTTAGTCGTTTACATCTCTTTAGAAATTCATAGACATGAAATCCATTGAAAGCTACTTATTTTAGAGAAAACAGCATTTGTCGAAGGTCATTTTTAAACAAGCAACACGATTTGAAAAATAAATACATACCTTCCGTACGTGTGCACAGCATTTAACGAAATTAATTGGTAATACCAGGAAAAATGACTTTGTTTCTATATCTTAGACTTTAATGTATTAAATAATTAGGGTATTATGTACACATTACGTCTATCAAGTGTTGTTTTACGTCTGTTCTACTTACCACAGAAGTTTTGCAGAGGGAACTGGACATCCTCAAAAGTTTTTGAATAAACTAATAGTTGTTTGCGAAAAATTTGTTGAGTTTTAAACCAACTAAGGTTTTTTTTTACTTTCTCCACTTAGCTTTCCATTCTGGTGCCGCTTACCACACGCGACCGCTTTAAGCAACTTGCTCAACTATACTGAACTGCGCGAAATATACGACTTGTATATTGTGACGTTTTACAGGTAGGATAACTATACTCATTTAGGTACGCTTAATTAAATAATCAACAATCCGAAATTCGAAGATACGCGTTGACCGAGAGCTCGTTTTTACCTGAGATGCAGATCTCATCATCACCAAAATGTGTCCAAAAATTATGTGCGTTCCAAATCACAAGAAATTCAAATAAAAAAAAATTATCAACCCTTTCCCATGTATATAACTTATTCAATTCATATTTGGCAAACAAATGGTTTTCGGGTATTTCGATTCTCTACAGACATTTTTGATAAAATTAACTACAGAATTATATTTTTTGTTGCTTCAGTTAAACGACCGTTTCGAAATTTCAGGGCATGTGTGACTTAATCCGAGATTTCTGTTATGAAAGACCAAAGGATGATGTGTTTGCGAATGCATTATTGCATTGCACTATAAAATAAATAAGTCAAAAAGTTATATGCGCCGACTAATTGGCATGTACAGCTAGAAAAATTAATAGTAAGTGAGAACATACTAAAAATAAATTACTTTTAAAAATGATAAACTGTTAGAAATACTCGTAAATCGATGATGCCCGATGTTGAAAATAAAATTACTTCGTTACATCCATCTCTCTTACTTTTGCATTTAAAGGTACTTGAATATTTTAAAAAAAGTTAGTTAACGAGAAAAATTTACAAAATTCTGCAAAAATATAATGTCCTCATTTTTTCTAGAAACTGTAGCTTCGCGTAGCCATCAGTTGGTTAGAGAATTATATGAATTAAACATCGATTTTATGAAATACAGAAGATATTTATTCATATTGTATATAAGTATACTGTTTAGCGGACACGTAAATTTTTGTCCTTGCTGTGGCAAAATGTTTTAATAAGTAACACTTTTTTTATTATTTGGAGGGTTATAACGAACATATCGTTGACAATTATTACGTGCTACCTACGGTAATTTTTTTTCTAGGTCACCGCAATTGAAAAAATTGTGGTTCTAGTTATGTGAAATATTAGACCAATTGCGTAGTTCTAGGTGTAGAAAATAATAAACAAAGAAATGCATATATTTAAATTAACACGAGTCGCAAAGGGAATCATACATAAATTATTAAATTACAAAAAATGCTGAATTGTTCATTAGGTTTTTATTAAATATTATTGCATTATAAAAACTATCTATAAACAGTGTATAGAAACGCCGCTACGGAAAAGTACTCAGTTCAATAACAAAATTATTAAAACTCATTCACAGTTCGTCGTGAGGATGAGGAAATTTTTTAAGTATAGCAGTGTAGAGATTGTAAAAGGCGTATATGCTGACTGTCAAAATGACAACTAAGGCTATCCCAAAAACGACGCTTAGAAAACCCCCGTCGATGACTCCGATATTCGTGGACCTTCTGCCTTCGTTTAAGCTGTCCATTCCCCTTCTTTCTGCCATAATTTTCTTCATGTTGTGGAGACGATGACGCAATTCGTCGACAGAATCGGTAGGAGCTATATAACGAAGTATTAAGAAGAAGAAGAGGAATTGTAATAATATGCCGCCCCCGTCCTACTCCAATTATTTCCGATTTTCAGAGGGAGTAGGTACTCATTCTCATTAGCTGTTAGCTGTTAAAGTTGGCATATTATTACAATACTATTATTATATATCTGATTATTGATGAACAAAATAAATTACCTACGCAAAAATAGAGGATTTAAAGTAGCAAAAAAATTATAGGAAATTTTGTTTCTCTTCATGTGTTGTAGTAAAGTGCTATGAAATTTAGCAGTTAAAGCTATTATATGTTGTAAAAAATATGAAAATCAACAAAAAATCATTGAGGATTAGAATAGCAAAGACTGTATAAAAACGTAAACAATTAATTTTTTAACAAATCACTAATTTAAAATATTTCCATGTGTATTTTGAATAATAAAAAGCAATTCATATTTTGAATATGAAATACAATTATGTGCCTAACGGACAAATAAAAACAAAATATTGGAATTAGACCTTTTCATGAACTAAAATTTTAAAAATATAACAATACATTTAAACGCTAATTTTGTCGCATTAAAACATAAACAGTATAATAAGAATAGTATTACTATAATACAAAATATAAAAATTTATTTTTGGTGCGAACAAATAAATACCTACACGAAAACTGATAAATGCAACATGCAATGCATTTGGGTTTACTTTTTACTAAAAAACTCGCTAATATATTTTATCCTAATTGTGTACTTATACTTATTATATCTAAATGCAACACAAATGATTTTACACTTACACCATCTCCGTTTATAACAGTGAAATTATTAATAACTCAAAAATATTGAAAATTGCAAGGTGTATGTATCAACTTTGTATAAATGCATTAACAATTGAAAAACTATTCGACGGGTAACCTCACTTTTTATAAAAATATTGTAAAATAAATTAGCATCCATTAAAGTTTGATTGATTTACTTTTTATTATTCATAATATCAGGGTATCATCCAATTGTCTTACGATTTTCCATGATATTCGAAAGATTAGTAAGTCGCTGTGCACACTAGCATCTATCGATTTCAGGGACCAAAGATGAATGAGAACTGGACCAGCAAATGCAAATAAGGGAAACTGGGAATGCTGGGATCAGAGAGATCGAAACGAGGACGCACCCTTTCTAAATAGAAATCATGCGCATATCGCTGTACAACTATAATAAAAATTTGCTAACGCAACTGTTTCAATGGTAAAGCTAAAGCATATTTTTCAAGTCTGCAGAATAATAAATAGGTGCCTAAGATAATTTCCAAATTTTAGTACAATTATGTTGTAATTAAATTGTAAAGAAAAAAATATATATGAAAAAATCTGAAATTGCGGAAATCGAAATTTGACCAGCAAATTGTCCTCATAGTGATATATCTCTCATCAAAAAAAAATATTTTAAATTTACTGTTGAGTATCCATATTTAACTTTATGTTCAAATTTGTGAATATATAGAGGGAAAAGTTCATATATTTGTCATTTTATGCTTTGACCTTGAATTGGTGTCTGCTATAACCCTTATGTGCATTAATGTGGCATGTCAAAATACATATAATTATGTAAAAAAATATGTACATACGTAAACTGTGCCTAATAATATAATTACCTACAAGGGCAGAACAGAAGTTTTAGAAAATTCTAATACATAAAATATATTTAATTTATAATAAAATATTTTATGTGTTATAGGAAGAACTGAGTAACGAAAGGGGTATGACCTATTTCAAACTAATCAGTATGGAAAAGTAAAATTTCTTATGTTTGAATTAAATAAATGACAATTTATTTATAATAATTTATTTTAATATTTTTATAACAATAATTCGAAACAAATATTTTATACACACTACAATAAATTAGGTGAAAATTTACAAACAATTTAATACTTTTTAACATGTTCACATCAACTAGTTTCCTTTCTCAAGGTATCCATTGTTGCTCTGGATGTTGGTGATCCCAAGTTGTATAACTGAAAAATACAAAGTGTAACATATAAACTTTCAAAATGAACTTCACTTGCTTAGAACTGAATGAATAGTACAACTACATTGAAGAATTAAACAGTCTACCTTTTCCAGAAAGTATGCAACATCATATTTTATTTGTTCCCTTATTTTCATCTCATCGGACATAGTATCAGTTTGTGGAGACGCTTCTTCACTAGAATTTACATTTCTACTTTTTAATCTCCTCAAAGATTCTTCTGTTTTGCAAACAGACATTAATACTTCTTGAACCAAAGTTAAGTATCTAAAAAATAAGAAAATGTCTTAGAAACCTGTTAATTCTGTTTAACTTTGACTTACTGCTGAGTGACTCTAGTGATAACATTATCCATTATTTCATTCAAATCACTTTGTACTACTGTTTTGAATTTATTGTGGAAATTTATTATAGGCTTCACGGCCTCAATCATGTATGTACTTGCACTTTTAGGTGCACTTCTATTTGTTCTACGGTAGAGTCTTGGGATTGCACCAACATTTTGTAAATGCATGGAACTTTCTTGAAATTTGATGTTTGTCAAGTGATTCTTAAGGTTTGATTGCACTTCTTCTACTGAGTTTCTGTTACATTTGTAAACTCTTAGTACAATAAACTTCATGTTTGGATGTATTATTTTGAAAATTGTTTTTTCTACATCGTCAATTTTCTCAGTGTTTAAAGCAACTAAATTCTTTAGAATATTTAAATCTATTAGAGAATTCATGATGAATGTTTCCCATTTCTCATCATCAGGAAATGAAGATTTTTCCTAAAAAAAGTGTAAAATAAATATATAAGTAAAACGAAAATTTCACTTTCAGAATTTTACCTGTAGGACTGTCTTAAACCACCTTAAATATCTCGATAACAACATCATCGATAATTTTAAAAACTGATCAGCAAGTTGATCCAGATACACATCTTTATCGTAGCATTTCTTCAGGCCTTTCCACAATGCAAGTGTATTCTTCAATTTACAAGATATTTCATTATTTGAAGCATAAAAGTCAGTGTTGGTCAAAATGTCATTTTCAAAACCACCTGCAATTTGTTGATAACGAATTTCAAAGTAAACAGGTAAGTTAAATCTTTTCAAATGCTCCTGGAATGTATCATCCTCCTGTAGCAATTCATCATCTCCACATTTGTTTGCAATTTTTAGCAATGTAGCCCAAGTACTTTTATATCTTTTTTGAAATAATTCAGGATTTCCAGGTGCAGTTATATAAGGAAGCCCTTCCCTTAACTGTTTATCAAATTCCTTCCAAAAGCTATTCAAAGTAAAGTTAAAGCATTTCAGTTCAGGATTCTGTGCAAGTATTTCAAACAAAACATTCATTTTAGTATTCATAAAAATCAGAACTTCTTCATAAATTTGGTTAATATCCTGTTGAGATTTCTCTAAGTTACGTTCATTAAACAAGGGTAAAAGTGCTGGTCTAACTACATTAACTTGGAATGTTTTCTGAACTTCATCCTGCTTCTTCAAATTATCATACATTCTTAAACATCTCGTTAAGATCTCACTATTAGAACTACTAAAGGCATCAAGAAACTTCTTGTTGACCATTTCAATTAGTTTATTTTCTACATCTTTCACAATGCCTTCAGTATCAGTAGACATTATACCTAGTTCATCCATGTAATTTCTTTGAAAAGAATATTTATTAACGACTCTTTCCAAAATTATCACATTATCAAATGAGTTACTTTCTGACGTTATAAGTTTATCAATGTAGAGGGAAGTAGTAGTGATACCAAGCTTTAAATGTATATTATTCTTCTTTGTGTTATTTGCCTTCAAGTCTTCCAACATCTTCTTGTAACTATTTTCAGCAGATTGAATCAAATCATGTAACGTCTAAAAAAATAAGTCATTTAGGACAAACACGCCAAAAAAAAAAATTAAAATTAAAATAAAACCTACCCTGATTTCTTCACGTAACTGACAAATTGGCACAGAAAGATTTTCAATTTTAGAATTTAAATTTGTTAAATATTCCGCTAAATTGACTATAGCTTCTGTTTCAGTCTTAAGGATTTCGGACATCTGCTGCTGCAGCTCAGTCCCATAATTTTTTAGTTCTTTTCGCAGAGCCTCCAAGTCAGATTTTTGTGTATATTTTGACAAACACTGATCGACACTAAAATTATCCTAAAAGAATATTTCATTTAAAATTGAAGAGCAAGTAGATATTATTAATTATCACCTTGAAAAAGGAATCTTTTAGTATCAAATCTTCTTTTAAATCCATTGGAAAACTCTATTTGACTGGTTTCAACAAATTAATTTTTGTTGGTTATGTTGCTTTTTACGTGTCACTGACAGCTAGCTAAAGATGTTGAAACGTTGAAACCTAACCTGAAAATTTAATGGTTGGTCGATGGGATGGAATGTGGCACATGAATGAATACTGAATTCTACATTTTCGTGTTTCTTTGGTCAACTAATAATAGATAGGTTAAGAATATTATTAATAGTTCATAAGATACACTTATTAATATAAATATTAATTATTCAGTTTTAAATTAACAGTAATTTTAAATGGAATCTGAAGTGTAAGTATGTCCTGGATATACATCATCCATTATTTTTCATAACACAGAATCTTTATACATTTTTAGGCCTAATTCCACTGTATCTTGGAGAATACCTAATAACTGGGCTGATATCACAGATACTTTTCATGAAGCAGTTACAGGTAAGAATTAAGTTAACGTGATGTATTATTTCTAACGAAAGACCCATTTTTCAGACTTAAAACTAGGAGAACTACTACACGATGACTTATTTGGACTATTCGAAGCGATGTCTGCGATTGAAATGATGGATCCGAAAATGGATGCTGGAATGTTGTGCAACAGAGGAGTTAGAAAAATGGTGTCTTTTGATCAAGCTATTCAAGACAAAATTCTAAAATTGGATGGGTTTAGTGAACAAGAAATTATTGGTATTACAGACAGCACACTCGCTTGTTTAGTATCCTGGTTAGAAGGACATTCGCTAGCTCAAACAGTTTTTATAAATTTATATCTTCACAAGCCATATATGATAGAAGACAGAGTGTTAAAAGCATTTTGCCTTGCAGTGTATAAACTATTAGAAATTATAAAAGACCTTGTACATAAGTAAGTATAAATTTAAAATGATAAAAATAATGTTTTATTACTTATGAGAGATGCACGGTACGATTCGATTTTTGTGGATACCAGTTTTTTTCATTCCGATACTCCATATCTTGTACCGGTATTACAGCTTATCATACAATATGATTCGGTACATTTTCTGGGAATATCTACGGCAGGGAAGTGAATATTAAAGCTTGTGTAAGAATTCATTTATTACTGGCAACTTTCCAAAATAGTGACATGCAATCTAGGTGGCAAATAGCTAAAATATATGATTTTTTGAGTGTTTGTGGTGTATTTTTTTACCGTATAAAAACTAAAACGCAGTATATCCGAAACTGCAGGCAGGTCAGAAATCTGTTGCGATTTAATTTAAATTTAAATTTTTATTTTGTGTTGTATTTAAAATTAAAAAAAAATTGCATAGATAAATGTGTTATATAAAAATTCTTTGTATAAATGCATTATCGTGAATATACCGGCTTTTCGTGTATCAGTACTTTTTCATCCTGTATTGCATAGAACCGGTACTTTTTAAACAATACAATCGTCAGTATCGGTACTTTTTGAAGTATCGTGCGTATCTATTACTTTTAGAGCTATGGTTTATGAAGAGGAAGATTTTCAACCGATGCAATATGGTTATCACTTAAATCCGGATATATCAGAGCAACGTATGATTGGAATGTTGCGGGAAGTTGAGGAAGACCTGCATAGAAAACTTAGATCTAAACACACTGATCAAACACAGGCTGTGTTTGCGAGAATAAAGTTCATAAGAGTTTTTCTCCAGGTGTTAATCTCCTTCCGAAAGGAAGACCAACTACCTTGTATCCCAGAGTGTCAACGACTATTAACTACTTCTAACGACATGTTGTATATCGTACAGGACACCGTTTACTTGGGGATAAAAAACAATGACGGTAATATTTCTTGCAATTATTGGAACACTATAATAAACTAAATATTTTTTGGTAGACAATGAACATATTGTGGGATTTGAACCTTCTATTAATCAACGTTTATTGCCCCCTACTTTTCCAAGATACACAAAAATAAAATCAAGATCAGAAGCCGTGATTTATTTCATAGAGATGGTCGAACGATTTAAAATAGTTTGCAAGATTCAGTCAATCATTTCGCTACACCATGCACTGGTATTTATATAATTTTAATTACTCTGTTATATATGCACAATCAGAATGTGTTTTAGGACTTCTTCATTGAATTTAGCAAATCGAGCCCTTGCATACTGTCTAGATCTGCTTTGCAGTTGCTTTATACGGGTAAACAGTAAAATTGAAAAACTATATTCATAATAAATAAGTTAATATTTAATTAATTTTAGGAACGAGTCCAAATAATCTGAAAGACATTTTGAGGGAAGCTGTGAAGTCATTCATTTGTCCGCCAGCCTTGCTGTCGAAAACCCTTTTAGGAAATCCACAGGTACAGTTTAAAAGCGAAAGAAGCATTTGTTAAATGTTCAGAATTTCAGGCAAAACATTATGTAGATACGTTTTTGTCTCATTGCTCAAGACCTTTCACAAATTTTTTACAACTATGTGGTCACAATAGGGCAAGGCAAAGGGACAAATTGGCACATCTGTTGGAAGAATTTACAACCCTTCAAGATGAGGTAATAATTCCATCCAAATATTAGACATAAGCAGCCAGTATTTATTTATAAATAAAAGTCATCGTTACACCTGAATATATTTTTGTGTTGTCAAAAGTGAAGTAAATTTGTTTGTCAGGCAGAAAGGGTAGATGCATACCTACACAATCTTTCTGTGAGTTCTCCACTATCGAGGCCCCACATAGCTTGTTTTGGAACGTGGGTTTTATATCACACTTTACGAATAATGATAATGTACCTCTTGGCTGGATTCGAACTGGAATTATACAGCGTACACGAGTTCTATTATATTTACTGGTGAGATTTAAAAAAAAAATTAAGTTATCATTTTTATATAAATTTGTAGGTATCTGTATGAATTTCTCTATGGGTGGCTTATATCAGCATTATCTCGAGCCGACAGCTTTTTGGTGGAAAACGAAATACTGAATGAACTACAGAAAAACAAAGGCGCTTCAAAAAAAAAACCGAAGTATAAAAAAAAGCCTAGACCTTACAATAGAGACATTATCTATTTACAAGCACTTCAAAATATGTGTGGAGGATACTACAAGGTAAATAGATAATTTAGAAAACAGCACAAACTTAAATTTAAACGTCTAAAATATTTTTCAGGCTTTGATGGGTTTCCGTTTAGAAGGCAAATTAAGTGTGCCACATCCGCGTTTTGACAGTGAGCAAGTCCGATACGAACACAGATTCGCTCCGTTTCAAAATTTGCTTACTCCGCCACCAGTAGTTTATTCAGAATTCAGAGATATGACTTCGTTTCAGAGGTTTCCACAGCAACCTGTCGACAGTGTATTTCTTTATATCGCCGGTTGTAAACATTTTCATCAAGCTAGGCAGTTATTAGAAAGTGTACCCTTGGACCATGAAATTTCGGAACTTTTAAAGATTTGCAAAACTAATTTTATCGTTCTGAAGTTACTGGCTGGCGGTCATAAGAAAGATTCAGTGAAGCCGCCCGAATTCGACTTCTCTAGTAATAAATATTTTTCAATAATTAAATTAAATTAGAGGTCTATACACTCGATTTATTTTACGGCAATTGCCTCACTTCTATTACAAAAAAATGTGGCTGAATCTTTTGGGTTACATACCAACTTTATAATTTTATTATGTATGACTAAAAAAATTAAAAACTGTACGCGATGGAATAGGAAAAGTGGATGTAGCATGTGATTTTTTCAGTACTGTAGATCACTATGTTTTTCAAGAACGAAACGAAAACTAATGTATAAGACTAAATATTGTCTAATACTTTTCTAAACTACTTCATCACCTCATGAAAAATGGATCTTTTGCGAAACAAACTAAATATAAAGTCCAATAATTTTTTCTTTTTATTATACCTTTTTAAATTTTTTCATGTAATAGGTAACCGTAAACTCTAGTCAGACAATTTTTGTTTAAAATTATTTTCAAAAATAAAAAATGTATTTTTATTTTTAATTATTTAAAATTAATTTTATTGATTGAAATTTAAAAAATATCCTTAGTTGTTGACTATACTTAGACAATGTTTATTTAAGTTTTTAGAATTTTACAAAGCATCTTTATTTAGTTCTCCAAGGTGAAAAAATGATCTCTGTGATTTTTTGCTTACCTATATTGTGGAATAAATTTTTATATAGCTACGACCTGTAGTAATTATGTTGAATATACTTATCAGTTCATAAAATATTGTTTTATTTACCTATAAATTTGGTTTTGTTCACATAAATTTCATTAGAATTATGATTTCAGATCGGAAACAAAGGAATATATGAAATAATAAAATTTTTAGAAAATGTATTTAAAAAGCAGAAAATTTAAATAATTCTACACAAAACTTTATATACTAAACAATTAAATATACCCCCGCTCCAACCAAATATTCGATTCTTAAAAATATTCAAATATTCTGCGTGACTGCCCATCACTAGCCACATCCTTAGTACCCACCAATTAATTGCGGTTGTGGATATGAATAGTTGTCTGATTCACTCAAAGAAAAGAATAAAACGGTTTGCTCCTGTGAAGTTTGCTACGACATAGTAAAAGAATGAAGCCCAATTTACAGTATAAACTGAATAAAAACTGGTTTATTAATTTCGATTGAAGCACATACAAGTTAAAAAATTGTTGATTAAAATTTATTTATAGGGGAATTTCAATCAAGTACCTTTCTTATTTTAAAAATACCTACCTTCTTTTTAAAGAAATAAATAATTAAAATATATTATACCTTGTGAAGTGGTCCTTAGGCTCAAGCAATTTGTAGCTAATTTCCATAAAGTTATTAGTGTCATCTCTTTCTATTTATGTTTTATTCTTGTTCAGTATGAGTATTGGATGACGCTTATGTACATAAATTTTATATTTTTCATTTAATATATGTTTGAGGTAAGTGATAAGATAAGACAAATTTATTAATTTACTACCTGTTTACCTATATCTTTAAAAATACGATTTAAAAATTAGCGCGAAGCTTTTTTTTGCAAGGAACGTGTGCCACTCCCATTAATTTGTTTATGTTCCTCACCCTAGCACTTTAATTATGGAACTTATTTTTGGAATATTTTTATTGAATTGTAGATATGTGGCTGCTAGGAACACTGCAGCTAAGCTGCGTGGTAGGGATTACGCTAGCCCAAGTAGAGCCTTACAATGTGAATAACTTCAACACCAATAATAATCCGAACTACAATGTTAATAATCAACTGTACAACTATAATCAGAATCAGTATCAGGGATACCAAGGAGGCCTAAATGTAGAAGAACTGAAGTGTCCCGAACATTGGTTACAATTTCAATACTCTTGTTACCGATTTATAAAGTCGCCCTTAAAAGATTACAATGGTGCTAGAAAAATATGTCAGGTAAGCTGCTATTGCTAAAATGCATATAGTATGTTCATATTTTTTGTCCTGTAGTTGTCAGTACTGCTTTTTAAAAAGTATAGTACAGAGACCTAAAAAATAAAACTAATAATTATGTATGTTGTATTTTAGACATACTCTCCAGACCAAGATGGTTCAGATTTAGTGTCCATCACCACTCCTGAAGAACATGGGTTCTTAATTCACCAGCTAAACCAGTTTGACCGCCAACACTACAGATTTTACATCGGTACTCACCAACAGTCGGCCAATTACTACACAAATCTAGATGGCTCGCAGCTGAACGCTGAAAACGCAATTTTAGAGGTAGATTCGCTTTACGGAAAAGATTACCTAGCTTACAATTTTTCCAAATCTCTAATGCATTGGAGTTTTGAACCGGTCAGAGGTGATGAACTCCTTCTGTTTATATGCGAAGCTAAAATAATGGCCGTACAGAGATTAGTGACTGAAAATCGAACAAACACATATGGAATTGACGTTAACGATCCTGAGAGAATACCCAAAGGACCTTATTTTATCAAACAACCCACCGATGCCACTTTCGACACTTCCAAAAGGAAGTTGTACAACGATATCAGTCTTAGGTAAGGAAGAAAAATTAATAAGTGAAAATTATATAGAACATTTTTTCAGTTGTTTAGCTGGTGGATACCCCACACCGACCTACAAGTGGTTCAGAGAAGATTACGAAAATGACAGATTGGTCGCAAGGGAAATCGACCCGTTACTAGACGGTCGATATACAGTCAGTGGAGGGATGTTAATAATCCACAACCCACAACAAAAACTTGACTACGCCACGTACCACTGCAAGGCCACGAATAAATTTGGGACAATAATATCCGAAACTGTGCAGTTGAACTTTGGATTTATCTTAGAATTCGTATTGAAACGTTCGCCTGAAAACGGCGACCAGAACTGGGGGAAATCAATCTTCTGTGATCCCCCACATCATTTCCCTTCAGTGAAATATTCTTGGTCTCGCGACTATTTCCCCAACTTCGTAGAAGAGGATAAGCGTGTTTTTGTCTCAAACGACGGTGCCCTCTACTTCTCTGCGTTGGAGAGGATCGATAGAGCCAACTACAGTTGTAGTGTCAGTTCAGAGTTTTCCGACTCTGGAAGAAATGGACCGTTTTTCCCGCTACGAGTTAACCCTCACTGTATGTAACGTAATTTTTTTAAAATGTCAAGATATTAATTTCGACTTATTTACAGCTAACTATCAACAGTTAAAGTTCCCAAATAATTTCCCTAAAGCTTTCCCGGAAGCGCCCATAGCTGGGAAAGACGTCAGATTAGAATGTGTTGCATTTGGATAGTGAGTAATATTTTTTTAAAACATGCCAATATAATTGATTTTGACTATTTTAAATTAAATTCATGTAATTTTAGCCCCGTTCCCAGCTACAATTGGACGAGAAGAGGCGGTAACCTACCAAGAAGTCACTATCTTACTAGTAACAATAGAGTTTTAAACATTCCAAGGGTCCAAGTAGAAGATGAAGGAGAGTACGTCTGTCGAGCTTACAACGACAGAGCGAGCATCGAAAATAGTGTCATTTTAAATATACAAGGTATAGTATCGATGTCCTGAAAGTTTAAAAATTACAAGTCTCGTTTTTCGATTTTTAGCCGAACCCAATTTCACGATACCACTGACAGATAAACATCTCGACAGTAAAGGAGAACTGGTCTGGACCTGCGAAGCTTTTGGTATACCCGATGTTAATTATACTTGGTGGAAGAACGGCAGACAGCTAGGTAGGTTAAATGCTCCCCGAGGATTCTGTAATACGCTTAGTCATTAATTACACTTTAGTTATGGGGTATATGGAGCCAGAAGATCAAGGACGAATCAAGATACAGGACAACGTTCTCACAATCAGTCGTTTGAACGACGAACGAGATCAAGGGATGTACCAATGCCGTGCCGAGAACAGTTTGAAAATACGATACTCCTCGGCGCAATTAAGAGTTCTCGGTAAGAGGTAATCGGTAAAATCGTATAAATTATACTGAATGATCCGTTGCAGCTTTCAAACCGTCTTTTAAGAAACACCCGTTAGAGTCGGAAACGTACGCAGCTGAGGGCGGTAACGTGACAATAAAATGTAACCCCGAGGCAGCCCCGAGGCCTAAATTCGTTTGGAAAAAGGATGGGAATGTAATCGGAGCCGGCGGACATCGGAGGATTTATGACAACGGAAATCTTTTCATCAGTCCCGTGTCTAGAGACGATGAGGGAATATACACGTGCACGGCAACTAACGAGTTGGGCTTGGACGAATCTAAAGGACGTCTTTTAGTATTAAGTAAGTAATTTTTAGTTGACATATGAAAATATAGAGAATACAGAAACAAATTTTTTTTTTACACATTTTTAAGGTAAGTTTTGTGATGTCATAATTATTAATTTATGAAACGCTAATGTCACATTATTTCAATGATCGATTTTACCAGAAATAAGCGTTGTCATTTATAAATTGTTTAATGGTTGTGGGCATTTCATTATTTTTTAAGCAAAAACATTGTTTTTGTTCGTTTATATTTTGCCTTTGTTTTTAGTCTCCGGTACCAGTAAATAACCATAACCTTTAAAATTTAAAATTTACAGATTCCTGTAAGCACCGAATTGTAAATACTAGAATGACTATGTTCTTTCATTCACCAATTGGATGTGGTGAATTCTCTAGAGCCAATCAGAGATTATAATTTCTTAAACAGACCAATAATAATACATTTATAGACCAGGGCAGATCTGTCGAAATGTCCCACTTGGATGTAACAGGGGGAAAGCTAATTTTTGCTGGATTACCTTCAGTCCCATAATAGAGTGCTTCAGTACAATTCACATAATAAAAGTGTAGATCCCTAGATCTGGGCGAGGTCCGGAACATTTTCAAAATTGCAAAAAGTAAAACATTTTAAAAAATGCCTATTTTATCTGAGTTTTTTACTTATATCTTGGAACCTATGCATTTTGGAAGAATATTGAAGAGGACGAAATGTTTTAGAATTGAATTTTGTACAATTTACTGTAAGTTAAAAATGTTTAAATTTATTACCGATGTTGTAAAATAGCAATAATTTATGAAAAAAAGGCAAAATAATCAAGTTTTTCTGATAATTTTTTAAAAATATTTCAGTTGCTCCTAGTGTATTCTAATTTTGGTAGAAAAAACTATAGAGTATAATAAAACAACACACCAAATTTCATTAAAATCGGTTCGATAGTTTTCGCAAAATAATTTTTTAAAAAAAATTTTTCGAATTTTCAAAATGTTGCACAGCCTCAAATAAAGCATCTAGATACTTGAAATATTTTCACATAGAAAAGACCGCTCAACATTTCAAATGGTTTTCGAAAAATTGAAATCGGTTGATTAGGACAGCCACAGTAAATTTTTAAGATTTAATACTCTTTTTTTTATTTTTAAACAATTAGTTTACATTTATCAATTTGCAATTTAGTTTTTTTCAAAAATTATAATTTTAAAGGAAAGGTGCTTTTAAAAAAAAAAGTTAAATTTGCACATATGTATTTTGTTATAAACAAAGTTTATATTTGTGCATTAAACATAATGTATATTTTACCCTATGCTATTGCATTTTTTCAATGAAAAAATTTGTTTACGTATATATTTCAACACTGAATATGAATGTATTTAGTTACAATTATTTAAATAATTTTTGTTTAAACAAATTAATAAATTAATTTTTCTTTTAAATACAGATAAAATTAAGAAAAAATTGTACTTGTAAATTATAATCTTTGAAAAAAAGTGAATTGCAAATTGATAAATGTAATCTAATTGTTTAAAATTAAAAAAAGAGTGTTAACTTTAAAACGAGTGTCCGCAAAAATCGCCCGTTTCTTCACAATTCGCAGAGAACTAAAGAAAATAGATGAAAATATGTTTTTGGTATGAAATTACTTGTCTTAAAAAATTAAGATGAGATTAGTTTTTTGAAAATTTTCAAAAATCACCCCTATTTAGGGGTTGAAAATGCCCAAAATGAGGAATTGAATATTACCAATAAATATAAAAACTATTCCCCAAAAATAGAGAATATCAGAAATAATTGTAAAAATTCCAAAAAAATTTATTAAGATAATTCACATGGTAATAGTTTTTATATCAATTAGTAATATGTATTAAATTTCTTCATTTTTGGCATTTTTTCAACCCCTAACCCCTTAAAATTTTGAAAATACTAAAAGCTATGCTCATTTCAGTTTTTTACGACAAGTAATTTGCACAAAAAACATATTTTTATGTATTTTTTTAATTCTCTGCGAATTGTGAAAAAACGGGCGAAAATCACAGGTTATTTGCGGTCAGTCTTTACTGTGGCCGTCCTAATCAACCGATTTCAATTTTTCAAAAACCATTTGATAGGTTGAGCGGTCTTTTTGAATATTCGAAAAAAATTGATTTCAAAAAATTATTTTGCGAAAACTATCAAACTGATTTTAATGTAATTTGGTGTGTTGTTTTATTATACTCTAAAAATTTTTTTACTAAATTTAGAATGTCCTCGGAGTAATTAAAATATTCCAAAATTATCCAAAAAACTTGATTATTTTGCCATGTTTTCATCAATTATTGCTATTTTACAACATCGGTAATAAATTTAAACATTTTTAACTTACAGTAAATTGTACAAAATTCAATTCTAAAACTTTTTTCCTCTTCAATATTCTTCCAAAATGCTTAGGTTCCAAGATATAATTAAAAAACTCGGACAAAATAGGTATTTTTTAAAAATTTTTAAACTTGTTTGCAATTTTGAAAATATTCCGGACCTTGCCCAGATCTAGGGATCTACACTTTTATTATGTGAGTTGTACTGAAGGTAAATCAGAAAAAATTTGCTTGCTCTCTCATATCCACCTCAAAACAGATCCGCCTGGGTCTATTATGGGATTTCATCACATTAAAAGGGCAAATGAGTTCTACGAATGTTGGAACATATTAATTTTTATTATTTATAAAAAGTATTTTATGTCTAAATATCTTCTTAAAACAAATAAGTTTCGCTTATAACACTATCGGGTTTCATTGGCTGAAATTAATGACATAGACATTTTATCAATCTTAAAATATCTTATAGCGATGTCCGAAAACTCAAGCCACTAAAAAATTAATGCAGTTTCTATTTTTAATATTTCTTATTTTAGGGGGACCCCGACTAGTAGAACCATTACGACAGAATATCTTTACGACAGTTGGTACAGACATAAACATGCATTGTCACGCCGAAGCAGACGAAATGCTGGATATAGCGTACATCTGGAAGCATAACGGACTGATGATAAGAGATATCGATGTCAAAAATTCAAACAATCGCTTGGTGAGTTTACGAAAGTGCTCGTCTACGATCGTTATAAACTTTATCGTTTACAGAAAACTGACGGCGGTTACTTGAAAATAATAAACTCCACTTTCTACGACTCAGGGGAATATGCCTGTGTCGTAAAGTCGGCAGTAGGTAGGATAGTATCAACGTCGAGCGTTGTTATTCAAGGACCCCCAGGCCCTCCGGGCGGTCTCCAGGTAGTTACCATCCATAGGAAAGCTGTTACACTGCAATGGACCGACGGAGCCCATCACGGTTCTCCCATACACAGTTACATAGTTAGCGGGCGGACCAATTGGAACAACACTTGGGTTAACATCAGCGGTAACTTCCGAGTAACCGAAATCGATCGCTACACGGGAAGGAAAGAAGCCGTCATCGAAAATACACTTATACCGTGGTCCATATACGAATTCAGAGTAGCGGCTTGGAACGATTTGGGAATGGGACCGCCTTCGGCGCCAAGTCCTAGACAAGCAACTCCACCGGACAGACCTTTTACCCCACCGCGGAATATCGGAGGTACGTAGAATGGAAATGGAGTTATTTAAAATCGGTAACATGTCTGATTTTAGGTGGCGGAGGAAAAATTGGGGACCTTACTATAACGTGGAAACCCCTGAGGCCGGAAGAACAACACGCCCCTGGTATTCACTACAAAATCTTCTGGAAAAGGAAGGAAGGTGAAACGGAATTCCAAAGCCAAGATTTGAAGGATTTCGGAAATACTGGAATGGCAGTCGTGCATATACCGTTGGAATTTTACTACAGGGAATACGTTGTGAAGGTGCAGGCTATCAACGACGCAGGACCGGGCCCCATCAGCCACGAAGTGGTTATATTTTCGGCCGAAGACAAACCGCGAGTCGCGCCGCAGTTGGTCGTCGCGAAGTCCTACAATTCCACTTCCTTGAACGTCAGCTGGACTCCAGTCGAAGAAACGAGAGAAATAATCAGAGGCAAACTTATAGGACACAGAGTAAGAGCTGAATTTTTTTTATTATTTTTATGTAATATTTTTGTTTCAAGATCAAATACTGGAAGAAAGATGCGGACGAACAGGACGCGGTTTACTACCTGTCGAGGAGCACCAAACCATGGGCCCTCATCGTGGGTCTTCAGCCGGACACTTACTATGTCGTCAAGGCTTTGGTCTATAACGGAGCAGGAGAGGGGCCTGAAAGCCAGTTCTTCATTGGTAAGTGCTCGGTTTCTCTTTCAACAGTGTTTTCGACGGAATTAATGTGTTTCAGAGCGTACTTACAAAAAGGCGCCTCAAAAACCGCCTTCGTCTGTGAAACTGTACGGCATCGACCCGTCGACCGTCAAAGTTACTTGGCGTTACGTACAACCGTCGCAGGAGGAAGAACCTCTGCAAGGTTTCAAGGTACGTTTACTTCGCCTCGATTTTTTTTTTTTTTTAATTATTAATTATTTAGATTCGCGTCTGGGAAATTGACCAAGACATGAGCACAGCTAACGACACCATTATACCCTATGGGGATAAGCTAGAAACTTACATATCAAATCTCTCGCCGGGAATGACGTACAATATGCGAGTTCTGGCCTACTCGAAGGGGGGAGACGGGCGTATGAGCTCGCCAACGAAGATGTTCAGAATGGGTGTGTTGACAATCTAACGTTTGATGGAGTTATGTCTCATTCACATTTTTTTTTTATCTAGGTGACCCCGAATATTACCGAAGTGCATCTAAAAACGTACAAACCAGCATCGCTGTGATTGGTGCAGCCTTAGCTATTAATTTATTTTTGAGGAATTTTTCATAGATCTACGTTTTTATTAAATGAAGTCACTAGATTTTATATTATTTTTTTATATATTTTTTTTTATTAACTACGTACCCAGGGGAGGGTATTATTTTCACGAAATGAAAATTTCGTGACTGTGTTTCCGTTCTAGAGGTATAACGACTCCGTCCATATTTAGATATTTAATTGTTTTTTATTTTCCAAAGCACTCTGAAGCAAAATTAACTCTAACTATGTACCTGGGATGATATTCTAATCGCGGATAGCCTTACGAACACTACTTGTTACAGTTTATTAAAATTCTCATTTTCTTTAAATTTTGCTTCATTGTTTAAATGTTATAATATATTTTTACATTTACAATAAAGGTTTACAATATTTTTAAATCTGATCTTTTATTCTGTGCCCAAGTGAGTTGAAGGACACGACCAAGGTTGTATCAATAATTATTATCTTTTAAAAAAGGAAATTAAGTTATAAAAATAATTAAGGGTACTGGAATCTCGGACCATTATATAACAATTGTTTAAATATGTTGTTCATTTTAATCCTAATTTGTTTCAAAATAAAAATAATTCGTAATAAAAATTTTTTCTACCTCAAAAATTTCTGTTAAACAAGATTAATGCACATTGTTTTGAGTAACAGTTCTACAGTATTCAGCAAATTCTATTTTTGGTAGGTGCGTAGCTAAGGGTGGGCACGCCCCCCCCTAGAGAGTCCACCCCAGAGAATTGTGATCCAATATCATTTTTTGGTTGGACTAACCAGCTGGCCCTTCTAGACCAACCCCAAGCAAAAATCCTAACTATGCCCAAGATTTTTGGTCTGCCTGGAGATAATTTTGGAATACTTACAGTCCCATTTTCCCTTTTACTTAAAATAGTATAAATAGTTGACTTATCTATTTATTTTTGGCCGTTTTTATAATTTCGGTAATTTTTCCTAGGAAAACATAAACTATAATATAGTTCAAGAAAATTAGGACAAATTTTTTTTTTTAGGTAGAGTAAATCTATAAAACCAGTTTTCAGCTAGTCCGAAAACGTATTTTTGGCCGTTTTTATAAAGGTTTCGGGCATTTTAATATTTCGGTAATTTTTCCTAGGAATAAATAAACTATAATATAGTTCAAGAAAATCAGGACAAAAATTTTTTTAAGTTAGAGTAAATCTAATAAAACCAGCGTTTTCAGCGAGTCCAAAAACGTATATTTGGCCGTTTTTATAAAGGTTTTGGGCATTTTAATATTTCGGTAATTTTTCCTAGGAATACATAAACTATAATATAGTTCAAGAAAATTAGGAGAAATTGTTTTTTTAGTTAGAGTCAATCTGATAAAACCAGCGTTTTCAGCGAGTCCGAAAACATATTTTTGGCCGTTTTTGTAAAGGTTTTGGGCATTTTAATATTTCGGTAATTTTTCCTAGGAATAAATAAACTATAATATAGTTCAAGAAAATTAGGACAACAATTTTTTTTAGTTAGAGTAAATCTAATAAAACCAGCGTTTTCAGCGAGTCCAAAAACGTATTTTTGGCCGTTTTTATAAAGGTTTTGGGCATTTTAATATTTCGATAATTTTTCCTAGGATTTGTTAATATGATTTTAATTAAACCCGCCGACTTGCACTCATAATAAGATTAATCCGGTAAGCTGTGAAAAATAAAAGGTTTTTGTATCCCAAACTGTATACATTTTTTAAAAAAAGTGCTGTTAATTTCTGAATTTAAACTCCTTTAAAGAATTGGGTTTTCTGACCACTTTTTTATGCGCGGTTTACCCCGTACTTTTCAAAGACGTTTTCCTAAAATTTATGAAGATATGCAATCAGTAATTCACTACGGTGTATTTCTGGTTGCATATAGGGTGTCACTTTTATAACTATAAATCAAAAGATAATGAAATTAACATCAACAAATATTGCGCATAGCAAAAATTTAATTAAAAAAACTGTGAATAAATGCCTTAAAAATATATTCCGTTGCGCATTTTGAAAAACGTTCGTTGAAGACATAATAATTACCATGTAAAAATGAAAACCAGTGCAAATTTGGTTATGGAATCGATCAAAGTACGGTGACGTAAAACAGGGTATTTTTAAGATTTAGGAAAATGAAAATGAGAAAAATAATTTTAAAACGTGTATATCATTTGTTAATCAAAATTTCACGCAAATCTTAAAGACTGACAGTCGAAATTTTTATAGAATTATCACCGTTCATTTCCAGACTTTCCAATTTCTCTTTCCATAAAGCTATATTTGGCCTTGCTACCGCCGAACAAGGGACATACTTGTTCTTCAAATCTAACCTCCTCATAACTTCCGGTTGTACAACTTCCAAAGTATCTGCATTATCACATATAATATTGGCCAGAGACGTTTTTCTGATCTCATCTAGTTGTTGTAGTGTGAAAGCCTGAGGATTTTGGAAGTTTTCGTACCAAAATCTATCACCTTGCTTTACTCTGATAAACTGATCTAGAATCAGACAAGTTAAAGTTGGACCTAGCACACTTTCTTTTATGGGTCTTTCACTTAAGGCCCCTGTATACAAATCTATGTCGTCAACATTCCTACAAAACAACAACATAGTTTTTTCCATATTTTAAAACAAAATTCATTTGTGAAGTACTTATATACTGCTTTAATGTTTCGTAAAGCTTCACCGTCCACGGCATTCTCAAGGTCATCGAACTTTGTTGGTTCATTTAAACCACAGTGTTTTCTCCATTTACTATAACCTGGTAATCCATGATCTCTTCCTCTTTGAATGTTCAGAGATACCAGATCTAAACCACATCGTTTCGGCGCTTCAGAAGTTCTTTCGAAAAGGTGAGATTTTAACTACAAAAATCAAATTCAACTATTCATAAACACACATTCAAATAACCCCTACTTCATTAGTAAAATAAGAATCACTAGCTTCTATAGAAGTATTCATCGCTCCCCTTAAAGTTCTGTCAAATTCTCCAGGTTCATATAATTTGAAAGGATCGAACAGCATTTTGTGCATTTGTATATACTCTGGACTAGAAGTATCATTTGCTAAAAATTTCATTAACCCTGGGATTATCGAGTGAGCAAAACGAAAAGCAGCAGTAGCAAAATTGTTAGCTATACTAGGGTTGATACTTTCGTTATACTTTCGAAAATAACCGCGAGTTTGAGGCGACAAATCGAATTTGTTCATTATGTTTTTTCCTGAAAATATGAAGATATAGTAACTGAAAATCAATTCTGTGTAGTACCTAGTAATGCAGGTAAAAATTCGTTGTAGGTAATATGTTGCATTTGAGCACCAACTATTCTCCTTGCTTCTTGAAAAATTCTCTCGTCGTCCCAATGAGGATTTATTCGAGACAAATTTGAAGCTAGCAAGTTGTGCTGCCTCGCCCACAGCAAGTGCATACTTGTTAAATGCAAATTTTCGTTAGCTCGAGCGTCTCCTGAAACAAACAATTCGCAGTTACAATAACAACATATAACAACAAATACTAACGTACCTGTCAAAAAACAGTATCTGCCTTTCATTTCTTCCTCTTCCCTGTTGCATCCATCTGACGGATCTTCCGAAACAGGTAATAAAGCGCGTTCATCCTCAGTAACAAACATTCTTAACGTACCGTTCACGAAGGTTCTTAATTTTTCCGCCAGTTCCTCATCAGCCCCGTATATTACGGAACCGTCAATAAATGAAGTGACTTGGTTGAGTTGCTCCCTAGGTCCCAAACAGCAAGTAGGCGCTGGAGCCGATCGTACAAACTCCATACACGTCAAGTTGTACTTGACGAAGGGATCGGAAGAGTCCAGTTCAACGGGAAAACATTCTGGGTGGGTGAAAGACTCAGTACTACAACAAGAGATTGTACCACCATCTACTTTTTGACTTAACGCTGTAGCAGTCATATCATGGTCTAAGAATTGGCCCCAAGCTGCCAACATTACCGTGAATTTTGTGTCAGCTTTTTGATAAGGCCGATGAACCTCTAGGCTTACTGTTCTTGCTGATGGCAACGGCGTGCCATTTTTACTTGCTCTAGGTTTGCTTATGCCTAAAATATTTTAATAATTTATTTATTGCAAAGTTGTACAAATGCAAGACTTAAGATATGCACCCCTTGTTATATACGTGTTTGTGGGCGGCATGAATTTTATAAGGGATGTACAGTGTTACTAAGCCTTGCGTTAAAATCGATATTATGAGTAATCCTAGTAAGGGTAAAAGTTTCTTAATTAGTAACTACCACGCAAACTGAATAAACGCTTACTATTTTTTGTGCTGGAAAACTACTTCAAATTATGTCTTACCGTCAGCGTAATCTGGTGGTAGAGACCTTCTAAAGGGTCTGTAAGAGACTCCGTGATATCCAGGACGTTTTAGATTATTACAAGAACCATTATAAGTTCTAAATTTTTGAAAAACATTGCATTCTATTGTTTTATTTTCGCAAAATTCCTTAAATATTGGAGTAGAACCATTGCAAACTCGTTCACGTCTATTGCTGACGTTGTTAGTACTAAAAGTGTAGAATAGCAGTAAAAGTAAAGTAACAGATTATTTTTTTACCTGTGGAAATGTTTAGTGGCAAATTCTTTAATATATCCAATGTGTGATAAATTTCTGGCTTTGGCAGAAGTGGCAACAATTTTTTGATGGCGATAACTAGGACTGAGCACCGGTACGGATGGAATAATTTTCTCAACTTCTTGTCTGTCTTTTAGAGCTTGTTTTCCAATTTGGATGCTTTCCTTCAATATGGCGTTGCTACTGGTTGTACAGTTTTTGTAATCCACGTCTGGTATCGGTAAAGAACTGGTGAACATTAGAAATACCGGCATATCTGTTTCAGTGTTATTTAATGCTGAGTTTGTGTCTTCAGGGGCATTTATACTGATCGAAATTGTTGCCACTAAAGCTACCACTATGATACACCTAGGAACACAGATTATATTTCTTAATTCCTTAAGTTTTAAAAGTGAGTACTTACAATAATAGTGCATACATACAATATTGAAATTGTTTAACGCGTTTTTTACGAGTACTGTTTATGGTAACATCAAAAACGTAATCTGGTCGATTGACTCTTGGAAGCAATCTAGTTCGTTCTGAAGGAAGACTCATTTTTCTAGAAGAAAAAGATTGAGTAATTTTAATGAATTTAACAAGATAAATACCTACCTGTGTTTCTCATGAAACTCGTGTACACTTCACCACTACTGATGGAATAATGAAATGAAATCCATTACTGAAATTGATACAGAAGCCAATGAAGCATATATGAAACCGTATATGTTGTGTTTTAGTAATTTTATATATGTAAAAGCACTCCACATTCGTATATACGGAAATATAGTGCATATCTCTCTCATATTATTATCGTTTTGTTAAATAAAAATATGTATTGTTATTATATTTCACTCAAGGCATATATTATGCCTGCTTTAAATTAAAGTCAACACCATAAATTATCGTTTTGACGTTAACACAATTCTAAAATTAATTGTGAGAGAGGTACGAATGTAATTTCCAGATGTATCCAGTTGGCATTTGTAAAACTGAGGGTACAAAACGTTTCTTTATTCTTCCTAAGATTTTGTAAAGCTACTATTAATTAACGCTTCCGGTATGGTGTTTAACAAAAGGCTATATAAATATTTACGTTCTCGTGCGTTATCTATGGTTTCCATTTTATTTTCGGCAAGAACACCTGTTGTAGGTAATATGAATTAATATTTGTTCATCATTTTACTGTTAATATTTGTCTTTGAATAACATAGAATACATGATAAACTGTTTTTTAGAAGTGAAGAAGCCGAGAAATCGGTTCCTGTGACTATTTTAGGTCAAAGCATTGCCCACGATGGAGAATTATAGAAAAAGTACACCTACAAGTCCCTGGTTTAGTACAGCCACGGCTAAAAACTCGATATTTGTTTTAAATGGTTGATATATTCGTATTGGATATAAATAGCTTAAGAACAATTAATAATTGCTCATCACGGTCCTCAATCTGCAACTGTTGTTATTTAAATTGATGACGAAACTCCTGATTTTTAAATTCATCAATTGAGCATTGTACAGTACATATTGATAAACCTATATCTCGTACGATGGTTATGTAATATTTATTACTTTATTACAAGCAGGTATTGAATAGTAATTAGAGGATGCCGAGTGTATGCAGAGTAATGACGGGTGCATTGTTCATTGAAAATCAGTGTGTTTTTATTTTGTTATTGTTACACACCTGTCTTCATTGCTTGCGAGAAAAGGCGAGACTGGACGATCTCAGTCGCTTGCGTAAATTCCTCCTAGGAAAACGGTCCCCTTTTACACAAATAACTCATCATATTCATCTTTTATTCGTTACATATTTTTCAACAATGTTTCTAATGATTTCTTGTTTGCATGCTTTCAGTTGTTACAATCATTTGTGACAATACTCCACAGAATATATTTTGATCAAGGAAATAAAAATTAGAAACACATATATTTATATTACCAATATTACATATAGACAGTATTAAAATAAACATATAAAATATATTTACAAACTAACTTCAATACGAGATACCAAAAACCTTCAACAAACGATTTGTTCAATCAAAGCCTCAAATTTGTAAAAGCTCCACTTGCCGTTGGGGTAGAAGCTGATGTTAGGCAACCTTCTTTATTTGACCCATTCTGAAAAGAAAAAGAGAACATTCTGATTAACTATTGATAGTTTAAATATTTTAGCTAACTGTGGGCAGGTAAAATAAGGAAAATCAACCATCGAAATTTTTAAAACAAAAAACAAAAAGAAATTCTATACAGGATGTAACGCTTGGTCGAACTTTAATAGTCATAGAATACAATGAAAACGAATGAAAAAATCCCTACGAACATATGCTTGGAGGGGGTTAACTTTTTAATTATGAGGTGTTCAAGTTAAAAACAAGTGTTTTTTTAACATCTCTATAGATTTGGTGTATGGATAAATAAGCATTTACAAATTATACAGAATTAATAAGTGGACTAAGTTTTACACACCTGAGATTCTTCTGCTATGCTGTACTTGGATTTCTTTTTTAATCTTCTTATTTTCTCAAGAATATTGTTTTTTTTTTCATCGAAGAGGATTTGAGTTCTACCCGACACATCTGTAACTGTAATTATTGGAAGTTCTGAAAAAAAAAGACATACTGGATTGTATAATTGAAATTAATTTAAACAAAAATTAATAAAAACATGTATGTATATATAGTAAGTACGCATATTTTTCTTTATAAAAAAAATTAATTTTAAACTTGCAATACTGAGTATTTATTTATTGAAACAATGGTTTGAAAAAAAATAAGATAAGTAAAGATGAAGAATATATTAAAATTATAAAAGTTTAGGGTTTCCCAATTTATATATCAAGATAAGTAAAAAACATAGCATGTGCATAAGCTTTAAAGTCTGTATTGTTAGTGATATAACATAAATAAAAAAATATTTTGGGGTGCTAGTAATAATAAAATTTCTACCATTGAAATGTGGTAAATCATAGCAACTATAAATTCATACTTACTGCTGGCTGTTTTATTTCTTCTAGAAATATCCATTATCCTGTCGGCGATTTATAGGCTGTTAACAAATATTTTTTGTTAAATAGATCACAACAAGGTGCATATTAAAAATTAAGTAAATATGCAATAAATAAAAAGAATGTACTTATATATTTGAATAACTTACATATTTATGTATTTATTGCAGGCCAAACCAACAATGAAACAAATGTCTTGTCTCCACACTTACACTAAAAAATCGTTCCCAAAAAACAGTTGAAAATAACACAAAAAACGCCAGTCTTAAGGCTGGCGTTTTATAGACAAGAAAATCGCACTTTTAGTAGTGAGTCCATCCAGGAAGTGGCGGTCTCTATTAGCGTAACGCTAAACTAGAGCAACTTCGTGGCAGATAGCAATAGGCGTACAGATTTCTTTAATCGGTTATTACATATTCGCAGGGCATTTGGCGTCTAGAGCCGCATTAAGGAAAATCAGGGCAATAACTAACCAACAGTCAGATAATTTCAGTATAAGTATATTATTATTATACTAATATACAGGATGATCCACAACTTATTCAAAAAAGTTTGAAAATAGATGCGTCAAGAAAAATGGAATACTGAAATCCGATTTAGTATTAACGTTTTTGCGATGGTGTTTAAATTAGTTTTTCAAGTGTCAAAAATGGCTTAGCAACGCGGACTTGATGGATATCGTTTTAATTTATGGTGATGCAAGACAACATTTGTGTTATGGCGAAGCATTTGTGTTATGGTGAAGCAAGGCAACATTTGTGTTAGTTCCTAGAAACTGGGTAAGACGGGCCCAAAATTTTGAATAATTATAATAAACAAAACCACAAATTAAATTTATTAATCACTAATAAACAATAGCGGCAAAAGCAATTGAATTTGCTGATATAAAATAGGAGTTATAAAATTTTATTTATTTCTTTCCTTAGGAATTCTTTAAATTATTTGTCCGTTCATTTTTAATTACACTTTGCCGCCATGCCGATCGCTTTGATGTGCTCAAGGTCAGGTTTTACAGTGGACCAATTTTTTTTACAAAATTGTATTCGTAAGTCCATTAATTTTTTTTAATAAGATCTGAATCACCCTGTGTTTTACATAATCTTACAATATTCCCAGTTTTATATTTCCAGTAATTCAGGGTGCTCTAATTATCAGCGTCTACCCTATTTGATTTTCTGCGAAAATATACATCCTTTGTATAATTTTCCTACGATTACTTATGAATTAATTCAATATACGAGGTGATGTTAAAAAGTGACATCCTCTTCCAAATAATAAACGGAGATACAAAAAATTCATTGAAAATTGCGCCTCCCTTCTTGAGGCGGAGGGTCTATTTTCACATACAACCTTTTTGCGTTTTTATATTCATCAGTTGCATCATTAAAATCAAGATATGTTAAGATTTCGTATTATTTTCCTACATTGATTGGACTGTAAACAACAGGTTTCCATTTATCACAACGTGGCTAATTAACTTAAGTTAAATAACTTTTATTGCCATTAAACACAGAAAAGACAATTTAATTTACGGTAACCGCACATACACTCGTTTTCAATGTTTAACATTTACAGTCTGGACGTAGTTTAAATATAATTACAGGATTTTTACATTTGACTGAAGGGCAAATGCTTCATTGACGTTAATTGTCGCTAAAAGTATTTTTGCATTGCACAAATATATATAGTTTTTGCATTGCATTAAGAAACCATGGCAGGATCATTTTTTTTGTCTATGTTTCCTAAATAGAATTTGTAAGAACAAGAACGTAAGTATATACGCAATTAATGGATTAAATTACATGTCTACGTTTCAGTCTTGCATTACAAGCAAACCGGATGTTTTAACAAATCGTGAATGCCTATTAAAACGGCTGTAAAACGGAACGATTTAAAAAAGGTGAGTTTCCTGAAATTACAATAAACATGCACAACTTAAAGGTCAATTTATGCAAATCTTCTTAAGCGACGGACTTTGACCTGTACAAAGATATAAATTACCTGAGTACTTCTTTGTTTATTAACTAATACCATACGAGAACTACATTGCTGCAGAAGTAAACGGGCCTTAAATCGTAAAATGTAAAGTTTTAATGTAAAAAAGAATACCTATTACTATTATTTTTTATTAATTTATTGTTTATCTATCCCACTGTTGTTGCACATTGTAATTTAGGGTTTATGTTACAACCTTGATTCTGTTGGTATCTGATGGCTTGTCTCTTTGGTACCTGTGACCTGTGATTGTTAGTTGAACTGGGAACTGGTCTAGGAAGCGCATTACCATAACTTATACGAGATACAGGGCGTCTCCAGTTTTAAACGTTCTGGGACATTATCAAAATCAATTAAGACCAGAAGTTCGTTCCCGGTTTTGTTCATGTCACTAAAAACTGCCAAAACTTCGTAAAGAACAAAAAGCGTGTTAATGTAACACACATATTATTGGTTGTAGAAAAAATACCGTGACGAGGCATATTAATTAAGTAACGTTAATAAAAACCTTTGAATCCTATAAATTTAACATGGAATTATATGAAAAATCGTTTATATGTTGGAAACTTAGGTTATATTTGCTGAGAGAATAAAATTTTCGACCTAATTCGTGAAACGCTTTCGAAACCTCGCCAAAATTTCAAAAATGTTTAAAATTTTACACCCTCTGGGTCAAAAAGTTCTGTCTCAACCGCCTTAAGACCCCCCCCATAAGGGTTAATAAAACACCCTGTATTATAAACAGTTTTATGATAAATGATTATTTTCTAAGTAAACATTGTCTATACTTTTAATTCAGAAAGTATACTTACATCAGAGTTAATTAATGTGCCAGAAATCAGAGGTTTTATTATCAACAGTTTATCGCTGTAAGCAATTGAAGACGGAGCACGGAAGCCATATTGTGACGTCATACCACTCGTTAGCGGCTAGTCCACATACATCATAGGATTGATAGTTCTAACTATGGAAGCAAGCGAAAACAAACGGATTTATACTTTATATAAATCTTTAAAAATTGATTGATTTTCCGAAATATTAACAATAACTGTAGGGACCAGGATGTCCCTGGTGTAAGAAGGAAATAAGCGCCAATATGCAAATTGTCCAGGAGGAGAAAAAGAAGTTTTTTTAAGTTTCAATTTTCAAGTGTGATTTCTTCTGCGTGCCATTTTTGATCAGGCAAAATTAGTTTAATAGAAATAGTGGAAAAACAAGTTATAAATTAAATGCTACCGGATGTTGCCGTTGACATAGACGGTCCCAATTGTGACAGTTTTGGCGGTTCGTCTGCGTCCTAGCAAAGGTGTTTCGTCGTACTGCACTTGAAAATGAACCAAGCGACTGAGCAGCGGAAGGTACAGGTAGTAGAGGTAATACGAAATGCTCTAGTACACCGCACACCACGCTACAGAATGAGAATGAAAACAGTCTTGCCGTGGTGGAGTGTATGTGCGGATACGTATTCGCTCCTGTTCCATTAGAACCCATACGTCTGTCCACACCGTGGGTTGTAATAGGTTAAGTTAAAAACACTTTCACTGACTATTATTTACATGTGGTTTTGACGTTTTTACAACAATTTCGGAAATACTACACTTAACAGACACCGAGTACCAAGGAAAAATGACACGTTCGATTGAAAAATTCAATAATATTTCTTTATCCAGGCCCCGTAAACAATTGTGTCATTATGTTAAATAAGTGTTTAAACAAAGTTTAAATAAAGGTAGGTGTCACACCAGGTGTTAGTGGACACATGTAATTCTGCTGTGATTTTAGAGAATTTTTACGAAAATGGAAGAAGACGACATCGCCGTACGTGTGGCTGTCAGGTAAAAAATTATTTTTTTCGTTAAATAACGACACCTCGTATCTTCCACCCCATGTGTATTTGCGTGCATGTGTTGTGTGTTTCACTATATATAGAACATACAAATTTAGCCGCATATATCGCACAAATTAGTGCCTTATTTCCTGTTTAACTATATTCATATATCACCTTTACGTCGGATGGTTCCACAATAATAATAATTATTCTATTATGGTTTGTTAACCCCATCTATTCTTATCTGGACGAGATACATCTTTATGAGCTAGGTACTCGTAAATTCCCGCTGTTTGGTACGTAAATTTGCTGCAAATGATGTAAACAAAGTCCTAGTGTCCTAGCACTAGCCCAAGATTGTTTACTTTACTTGGAACCAACTAGTCGTTTCCTTAAACGAAGAAAAGATACGTCGCGTTTGAATCTAAAAAATTATGATGATACTCATATAAATAATCTCAACAGTTTTCTATTGTATTATCAAATGAATCGGGTAAAATGATAGAAGTTAAAAACGAACATGATTTGGGCGCTTTATAAATGATTTATGTAGGTACTTAAACATAAAAATACCGATGATGTTACTTATTATTTATTTTAAAGGTGCTAATTTTCATAATAGTCAAGGCCAAGTTTCGCAGGTGTAGTAATACTATCAAAAAATAAGTCACAGCTTTTTTCAGAGATGTTTTAAAACAAATTTTTAATATTTATTCAAGAAAGTGTGTTTTTCAATTTATTGTTAATAAATGTTTGTAACGTAACTATGGCTGTAAAGGTTGTTATAGAAAAAGACAAACTTCAACAATTAATTCCTCCGTTGCATTACAGAATTTCAGTTTCACGCACAATGTATATTTCTACATCTTGCTTGATACAATAGGGTCAGTGTACTCTTATTATAAACAAGTGTTTATTACTGCCGTTAAGTAAAATTATATACTTTGCTAATTATTTGTAAAATGCCAGTCTCAACTGCCTTCTAAGAACGCGAGACTATGCTCCTACAGCCATGAAAATCGATACGTAAGCTTGAATGGATGGCTACGGATCATTATCGTATTTCCTTTTGTTTAACCACTATCACCATTGAAAGACATTCGAAACTAAACGGGGCCAAGCAAAACTTAGCTTTGGTAACTTTATGTTTTATAATCAAGTCTAGAGTTGTTTTATTTTTTATATGCAATTATAAAACCTATTTATTTAAACACGTCAAGTGCCCAGTTGTTTCCAAAGACAAGAAATCATTAAGGAAACAGGGTCAAGGGATACGGTTTGAAGTGAAATGTGATTTAGCGACAAGATGATTGATTATTAGGCAGATATGGATTGATCTCCATTTATAATAAATAAATTACGTCGTTTTTCATGCACATTAATAGCACCCAGTTTGTTTGTTTTTGTGTATGCGTCGAAATCCTTTGACGAAGCACATTTAGACAAGAGTTTAATTTTGCTCTGCCTGGCACATTTTTTGATACGATTTCTATCTTATCTTCGTCCAAATATGCGCAAGTGAAAAACAAAACCGCTCGTCATATCAATAAAACAATAAAAGCGATTATTTACTTTTCGTCTATATGCACAAAACTGTGTCAAGAATTCCTGTTCCAAAATAGTCCTTGGACGAGGAAGAAGACTTTATTAATAGAATTCGGTTTAATTGAAAAATGATGTTCGAAAAGCGGATTCGAATACCGAAGCCAAAAGCAGAAAACACGTTAAAAAGTTTTAAATTTGATTACTTGGCTGAATGGAAATCGGATTGACATAGTTGCCTGCGGATTATTTAATAAAACGCTTTTCATGGCATTTGTCAACGCATAGTTTCGTAAAAACTTGCATAATTTTTAAAAATAGTCTCCAAACTTGTTCTAACTCTCATTAGAGGCTACTAGCCCCGGGGGAAAACACTTAAGCAATAAAATAATACCATAAAATGCAAATGGTTCTACGGAAAACCTAAAAGATGAATGTAGGAAATTAAAAAATCGTATATCACGGTTTGAAAAAATATCGATGATATAATGCGATGCGCGCACGTGCGGCGTCCCCTGAAAATTAAAATTTTTGATCCGGTTCTGCATCACCTTGAATCCGGATTGTAAACCTGCCTCGATTAAAAATTAGCCTTGCTCTAATTGCTTCCCATTCCACCAAAAGCGGAAATAGCGTAATAAATCGGATATTCATTGAAATGGATAGATCTAATAATCAATAAAAGTCTGAACTGTTGGGAAAGTACAACGTAGTATGCTCGCCACGACAATTGTATTTCCCTTCTTTAATTATTCAATGAATCAATCAGAAATTCTGATCGCTGGGTAATTTTCTGTACATCTTGAATCGATATCGCTTAGATATTGATTGTGGAAAGTACAATACTTGTAAATATAACGAACAGTAATGTTCGAATTTTACCCATGTTTCAAAGAAAAATCAATAATCCTTCAAGAAACTATTCACGGGGCACAAATCCCGCTAGAGCCATAAAATTGTAGACGGAAAGTCGCAGATGACATATGACAATTTTCGGAAGGCACAGCGCGGGAAAACGGAAATTCACGCATGTTTCCAAAATTTCCGGAAGATCCCTCGGCTGCCAATTGTTTAAATATTTCGAAACTCGAACTAAAGCAAGGCTTTAGGGTCAACATTAACCAAAATAGTTTACAGATCCACAACTCACTGAAAGCAAAATTTTGGGGCGTACTATAGTAGTGTTGGTTAATGAGCTGGAGGGTACTTGGGTGGACGTTCAAACACAGTTCAGGCTGGGTCCGCAAGGGTTTTTCAGTGGTGTCCGCACTGAATTTGAATTGGGAAAATTTCCAAACATCGGTGAAATTTTATTATTTTTCCGCTCGCCTCTCGATTTGCGTCGCAAGTAATCTGCGGTTTCTCGTCCGTGGTTAGGAACTTTTGGTGGGATTTGTGCCCCGTAAATGGCTTTTTGAAGATTTATTGAATTAATTTGAATAACATTAAGTAATACTATAAAAATATAGGTATGTGATATTATTTCAGAAAAAATTACCAATTAATTTATAAACCGCAATTTATCAACGAAGATACTTTTCTAATCATTAGTGTTCTCTCGACCACAAAATATAATTCCATTTTTTACGGAATGTTTATGTAAATATTACATTTTTTATGTGACGCTTTTACTACATGCGAAAGAGAAAACTTATTTTTTTATGTACAAAACTATTATTGTGCGAGGAAGGACAAAAATGGTTTGAACTTGCTACGTGATGGTTCCAATCGTGATTTTAATAAAAAATATCCCTATGTGTTAAGCTTGCGACCTTTCAAGGCAATCATCATTTTTAATTAGAAAATGAAACAGATTTTTTTTCTACTTGTGCAGCACCTGCTCTCAGGAGTACAATGACTTACCTGCGCCGATTATTTATTAAAAGAAAGTAGTAGATACGAAGGCTACAGTAATTTGAAATTTATTTCTTATCGGCTCAAATCTGAGTATCTGTACCGAAATAATTTTACTGTTTCCATTATAGACCCGCTGTTGTATTCGACCCGCAGAAATTGGTACGTTGGCTTCTACTGTTTGAGTAATATGCCCCAAATTATTAAATCCGGCCTCTGCCATCATCTTTAATTTTACCACCGATTGCGTGTCCTGCGGTGTATTTCTGTATTAGTTTTTCTGTTACACAAGAAAATCGCCCGCAAATGTGTATCCGTATACTGCGGTTAATTATAAATTGCTCCTAAAAACAAAGCTCTAATTTCGTACCACGAATAATTTAAAATTAGTCGCGACCTTATCGATCCCACGCGATATGAAAAACTATATAAAAACGCCGGTAAAAGCGTATTTTCGTAATCATTTGTTTAGCGATAAAAAAATCTAATTAATTGTACCCTTTAATCAAATTTTGATGGCTAGGCGTGGGCATAATTAAAAGACGCTATTAAAGCTCCATGCACACCTAGATCGACACAGAACAGGGTGCTAGCTTGTTCGAGAATTGTTTATTTAGCTGATGTTTTGGACATTTTCTTCGCTTTGATTTGAAAAAATATTTTAAATATTTAATATTTTAGGTTATACTGAATGACAACGTTTTGGCTATTTTCAAGGGTGACGGAGGATGACGAACAAAAAGCTGAGAAAACTATATACGTATCTTTCTTCTCCGCAAAAAAACTGACACTTTATTTGATTACATTGAAAAAAACGTAAAGACTAAACCAAAGTGAGGATTGGCAAATTAATTGTAGAAGTTTGTCGAAATTGCATATAAACCACTTCTTGCTTTGAAACTACATCGATTTTTGTGCATTTTGGGCCGCTGATAGTTAAAGTTTTAAATGGAATAGAGATCAATAAACTAAAAATTTCCTGTGACTGTGCGACATATTTTAAGAAAAGGCCAACAAACTTGACACGAAGTCTTTTTAGTTTAAGAAATTGCACCCGCTACTCAAAAACTGACGCACTATATTGCTGTGTTTGTTTACTCGCTGAAACTAGGACAACCTCTAGAAAAGTACATATTGCACGGGCAAAGATTCAAATAAACGTGACGCCGAATCTAAATATAAGGTTTTTGTATTAAAAAAAAACAACACAAAATAAATTCATTGACTTTGTGTTTAAAAATACTTGTTGTATAATAAACCGCAGTTTAAAATAAACTTTCTGAGGGATAAACTAAATATAGCCGAGCGTAGTTTATTTTGACACGCACTGGGTTAATAATAATAAATTTGCAAGGATATTTCAGAAGCCCGCTTTTACCCACTTCCGGAAAATGTCAGAGGGCTTATCTTTCCCCAGATCGCGTATTGTGGGCCTATAAAAAATGGGTATACCACATTTTACGCCATAGAGCTGACGTGCTCAACCACGACTGTAATCCATTTATAGTATAAATTGACTTTACCTCTTCCCGAAATTTATCCACCGCGTATTTTTACATTTACTCTTAATAAAAATCGAGAAGCAGTTTTTTTAGAGACTTTCCCCGAAATCCTGTGATTTTGATGAATTGTCGTGAAAGAATACATCTGCAGAATACGATGACTCACCCATCGATTTTAGACAGGTCCGTTGGACATATATATAGAAAGGTACCTTATTTTTAAAATCGAGGTCAACGTACCATTAGCCGTGGCATTAAACTTATTAAGTTTTTTTAGTTTTGAGTCATCCACAATGCCTGCAAATTGGAAAATAAAAAAAAATAGTATGCATTTCAAAACTCAAGGATATGGTGTCGTGTTAGCGTTACAGTTGGTTTGTTCCTTTGAACCATTGAAATTGTATCTGTATAAACCAAAAAAATCATAGATTTGTCACTGCACTACACTCCAAATCTTAAAAATGACTTTACCGTCTTGTATTTCTTTTGGAGAAAGCAATTCGTTGGTTCTATCAACTATACCCGTTACATTTAATAGTTCCTAACTGTCCGCGTCACAGTTCCAAACGTTAAATTTCAGATTAATACGCCCTTAGGAGAGAACGTTATTATGCCCGATGACATTTACCTTTCATGAAAGCTTGCACAACTATAATAGTACAGCTGACCTGGTTGAGCTTTTGATACGGAACGATTCACACAAACTATTTTGCATTTAATTAAAATTGAAGAAAGCTGTTACCTAATCTCGAATTATGTTAGTTTATTACATGTAGGTCGAGTTTTTTTCCTCCTTCAGTCGCCACGTAACAAGAAATCATCGTGAAGATTGTGAGGATAGAGCTAAAATTTGTTAAAAATCTTTCATTTATACGATCTCTCTGGGATACATCATCATCATTTTCTTAGAAACACAAAACGAGGTTTGTTAGTTTTTTAATCAGAATGAAAATGTAATAGACACTTGTCAGGATAACTGAAATCGACAACATTCTGTTCCTTTTTTGCTGCTGCAGAATGCGTACATATACCGGTACCATCACTACATCAGTTCGCGGCAAAAAACAAACGTTTTTTTTGTGAATTGGGATTTGATACTGACAAAGACGGTTTTTACTCGGGTTTTTATAATAATAACATTGTTAGCTGTGCGAATAGCCTTCCTTACGACTTTGATATTTTTACAGCTTCTTGCACTTAATTTGTAATAGACTTTATTGTTGTTATGTGCATATGTGTATCTGTAATGTTACTTACATATACAGGGTGTTTCACCTAAGAGGGATTCTTCTGTAACTCTGTAACTGTAAAATTTATAAAAAAATAGTTTTAATAAAAGTTGTCTGGAATCATGTGGGCCACGTAAAGAAAATAGTTTTAGCTTTACAGGGTGTTCCATTTCGAATAACCCATATTAATTGTCATGGGTGAATGCAAAATTGAATGCCCTTTCGACTGATATAAGGTTGTCCATACTTATCTTTAACAGTTTTCCAGAAAAATCAGGTTCTTTTCTAAAGTCCGAAAAAGTAGTCAACGTCCCTCTTAAGTGGAACACCTTGTATATATGCTTAGTTTGATTTATATCTTTGCTCTTTCTTAGTTTTTTCTTTTTATGTAAATTACTTTGATTGTATTAATTGGGTTCGCCTGTATATACAATATTTTTTAATAAATAAGGAAATAAATAAATAAAGCCGTTTAATAGCTTAATCTCTTGCCACATCGTAAAAACGTCTTGGGGCACACAATAGCGTCAATTTAACAGCACTTTAGTAATATCTAGAAATAAATCAACCTAGTAACAGTCATGCGTAAGTATTTTAGGCACGATAGTCCGATTTTTTGTTGAACCCCATGAAAGTACTTCCGTTACGTTCGTTGGGCACACACAAAACACAAAACTGAAACGCCGTTTTATTTTAGTTGTCTCAGACAGCGCGTTTTGTTAAAATGTATGCACATATTTTTAACCGATATAAATACAATGCAAGGTATATGATACCAGGAGCGTTGGCCTTAAATTTGTATGGAAAACTATAAACTCGTATAAATTAATTCGAGTTACCTTCTGATTGAGCCAAAATTCATTGGCAGACTCGGTAAAAAGTTAATTTAAGTGCAATCGTTAACCTCTTTTCAAAGAACCGTCAAACTAATTTAGAAATTTAAAAAAATGGAATATGTATTTGAATTAAATTAAAAAGTTTTAATAGTTAATGTGACTGAAAATCTATAAATAAATGTGAAAACTGCCTTCCTCTGGGAAATCCACAAAAATTTATAGTTACTCGTATACTCAATTATCTTTGGTTCTTGCTGCTTGGAAAGGAAAACTAAGTCTGTAAATCTTGCTACCCACTAGTATTCACCAACACAAAAGAAATACCAACCAAATATATAAGCAGTCATCACCACATATGGAAAAATTTTAGAAATTGATTTGTCAGTACAACTCCTACACAAAATTACAAGCTAGTGATGCCTAAACATTGCTTAAATATTCATTAATTCATGGAATAGAACTATGTTAAAAAGTTTGATCGATCGCCACTTACACAAAATATTCTAATCCTTAATTTTTTCGATCTAAACAAAATGTTTTGATATAAGATTTTTATACCCTTAATAAAATTCATGCAAAATAGCCCAACAATTGTTTATAAAAAACATCGAAATTGTTTCGTTACATCGAAAACACATTTTTATTTTTCAGATGGAATTTATCTTATCAAAAAATCCTACAACATATTTATATTAGATAATACTTAATGGTTCTATGAAACCTGCATCTATCTACCTATATTACGCTGATATAACTGACGTCAGAGGATAAAGATAGCTTTGTATTTTATTCTTGTGGGGACACTCAAAAATTTCAACATTGACATCGAAAATGTTTTTGTTTTCACAACAATTCACAATACTCACACTATTTCGTTCATAATTGTTTTCGAATTACGGATATTCTCATGAAATGTATGCCATCAATAAGCTAGGCAAGGTTGTCTTGATGCCAGGTAAGGTCATGCCGAAGGTATTGGATTGGGAAAACAAATGTAGGACATTGTTGGAAAATAATTTTCAAACAAATTATCTTAACTTACAGCCCAGGCTTGTTTTCGATTTGAATACAACTGAAATTGTACGACACTGACATTTTATTTAATTATGTCGTTTTCTTTTCTCATTATTTTACCCGTCCTTGTTATAACTTCACTTTGCATTAAGTATAAAGGTAGGAGGTAATACCGTCATTGTAATAAACAAAACTTGCATATTAATGGCAATATTTATAGTTTAGAAATCTCGGGATTTATGTAAGCAACGTTCTAAATTGCCTATAAAGTCATTTTGTAGGAGTGATAGTTAACAAATAAATAACATGTATTGTTTGACAGATACTGACCATAATTTGTGTCACTGAAAGTTATATTTGGTTGTGCTTAAAAATTTAGGTGTAGAGAAAAAATTATAAAAAACAAATGTTTTTCCAGCGCAACCAATTCGGTAAGTAGAGAAACCATTGAAAACTCGACTGTCGATCGGCGACCTTGCATTAAATATCCCATAATGAAGTCGTAAAAAAACATTAAAATGTTTATTCACCATACACCCACTGATGTTAATTAAATATACGCGTTTAATCTTTTAATTAAGTATTACGAAGCCGATTTTTCTGTTTATTTACAAACCAGTCTCGATAACGAAACACCGGTTTGTCGAAGTGCGCGACTACTTTTTTCCTATGCGCCGTCGAACCATTCATAATTTTAAAATCTTTTTTAAATTTCCCTGCAGCATTCCACCAAGGTGGACATCGAGGTTACTGGGATAGTTATAACATATTACGCAACTTCGCAATCAATAAATGTAGTTACCTTTTGTGAATAGTACAATAAAGGCATAAAAACCTAATACTAACCATGTCACACAGGTATAGCCAAACAGCGTAAAATTAGCCAAGGAAGTGGAATAGTCGCCAGGATGTGTCAACAATGGTGTCGACATATTTTTGGGGACACGTCAGATGATGACAATTAATCAACTGTCTATTGTCAACAGTGTCTTTTGAAATACCGTCCTTTTACATTACACGCACTATTCTATATTAGTACATTTAGACAATTTAGACCATGGCGGATCTGTTTTGAGGTGGATGCGAGAGGGGTGTTTGTTGGTTTCGAAATTTAATACATTTTCGATTCTGCAATAATTGCTGTATCAATATATTCAAAAATGGACGTAATATATTTAGTTGGCAAATATCTAATATGTAAGAGGCCCCGTGTATTTGTGTAAAATTTCTCTTTTTAGTTCTAGGACACGTTGCGAAAAATTGGTTGGTTTATGCAATATCTAAGGAAATTAAAGCCACACGTTAAAGGTGACATATTCCTCTACTTGAGCTGCGGAATAAACGACAGTTCGTCATAAAAAAATTAACCGATCTATTTTATTTCATATTTATTGAAACGTTCCCCATGATTTATCCGAAAAAGGCAAAACGACAAAATATACTCCACGGATGACACAAACAAATAAATTATATTGAACTGGATCAGTCTGAAGGCGCATAAATTATCAAAACGGGTATTCAAATACTCAGGAATGATATCAACAATATGAATAGAATCCTCAACTCGTACGAGACGTGATGTAATGGATTTAAAAAAATTTTAATAAACCCCCGAGGCGCTGATCGTCAACTAATTGATTTTTTGTTAAATCATCCGCTAAACGCGGCACTACACGTCGAGTCCTCGTTATTTTTTTGCCGGTGATCATTATTCACCGTGCCGTAGAAACGCGTCGTTGGAAAACCTCTAAATTACCTCTGATTTATAATAACGCGTTTCTGCTCATTGCACCTGTGCAATAAAGGAGAATTTGCAATAAATAATTCCGCCGCTGCATTCACCTACAAGCGATTTCTGAATTAGCGACTAGCTACTAATTGCTTCGTATGCGTCATCACGCACACAGAAGGAGAATTTACTTAACAATTAACAATTTGACTGTAACTCGATTATGTAATTTTTTCTATACATACATGTATCCGCATAAATTATCTTCAACCGTGTTGATTCTATAAGGTTATTCGGGCAATCAAATGAGATGTACCCATTACAGCAGAACCTCGATAATCCGAACTAATCGGGACAGGAGGTAGTTCGGATTATCAAACATTGTTTGCATGAACACGCAACAAACTCAAGACTCAGTAGTTCAGATTGTCCTACGAATGTTTTTGTGGTATATAATCAAAGTAGAATTACCCAATTAGCTGATTACGTATTAATAAAAAGTTATTGGCAAGGCTATAAGGTCGAAGTTAGTTCACAAATAAACAGATGAAAAAGCAGTGAAGAACAACATTTATGATTGTCTGTTGTAACAGAATATAATGATTGTCTTTCGCTGTGCGGGTCTATTTTTGGTTAGCTTGTACAGCATTTGGGAAGTAACCATGTTTGTCATCCCCATTTTTGAACAGTTAATTAACATACCACATCGAACAAGTGCAGGATATCGTGTATATGTTTAGGTTTTACAGCCGTTCTTATTACGATGTCAATTAATTAAAATTTTACGTAACGCCTGAATTTTTTTATATAACAAGACCCTATACATTAAAAAACAGGTTCGTCATTGGTTGATCTTGACAGCACCGTATGCAGGTGTCTATGTTAGTAATGTCGATGTTCTTGCTTATACGTATTCCTAAAACGGGGCTTTGCAAAGCAGAAAGAAGAATTTGATCAAAAATGGAAATACTTAATGCTGCAGCTACTTGTAGAGCTACAACTTGTTTCCAGGAATCGAAACGTTTAAAAGTGTCAGATACATCAAGGTGTGCCACATATTAATCCAAAATAAATTTGTAACAGTGGAAATTGTACCGCCCCCGGAAATAATAAATAGACTTGGATATTCCTTAAAAATGTTTCCCAAAATCAAATTTGGTTCTTGAAATCTGTTACATCTTAAAAGTTGTGAAGTAATTGCGAGACTTGCAACTTCGCTAAGGTACTAAGATATAAATACAGTGGCATTGCACTGCATTTTCTCTAAGAATTTAGATTATCTATCCGTACTGAATACATAATACCTGCTTTCCGCTTACTTTGTTATCTTGGGCCTTGCTCCGCGCTTGGGCTGTTTAAAATGCCACTGAGAGGTTTCTATAATACTATATTTGTTGCGTACAAGGACAAAACAAATGTAAACACAACGGCTTCGTTTACCGATAATAAAACTGTGCGGTCTTTAATTCCTAAAAACTAGTAATAGAATAATAGATAACGATTAAAAAAAAACAATTTACAGGATGTTGAAGCACATAGCACATGCACTTTTTGGGTTTTTGTTTAATGACCCGTTTTTGTTTTTTTGTAGGATTCGTCCGCAGATTCCCCGCGAAATAATCGACATGTGTCACATTTGCACCACCGTCACACCGGGGGAGCCACAGGTCACTCTAGGCAACGATAAGTCGTTTACGTACAACTACGTGTTCGACACGGAAACCGGTCAGGAAACTGTATACGAAACCTGCGTAGCCTCGCTAGTCGAATCTTCCCTCGAGGGGTAAATACCAATTAAAAAAAAATCGTAAATTGAACTATAAATTGTTTTCTGACTAGGTATAATGCCACAGTTCTTGCCTACGGACAGACGGGGTCGGGGAAAACCTACACCATGGGATCAGGATTTGACGTCGAGGTCAGGGACGAGCAAAAGGGTATCATCCCCAGAGCTATCCATCACCTTTTTAACGGTATCCATTCTCGAATAGAAAAAGCACACGAGATTGGTCACCTGCCGCCCGAATTTAAAGTTACTGCTCAGTTTATGGAACTTTATAACGAGGAGGTCATAGATCTGTTTAACCCCTCGTATAGTAAAGTAAGTTTCTTGGTGGGAAGTATGGTTACTAATCCATTAATGGCGTTTAATTAGGTACTTCCTAAAATATCCAGTGGCGTGCTACGAAACATGGCAAAATGAAATCCTATTTTGTTTTTGGGATCCGCAGGGCCAAAGGTGGTCTCTTAGAATCATTTTTTTTTCCGAAAAGTAATGTATTTCATTGAAATTTGGTTTAATTAGATGTTTGAGGGTGCTAAGTTCGTCAGTCTTGTTAGTTTCTGAACAATTAAGCGACATTTTCCGAAAAATATGCAATCGACTGTCCGAAAGTCTACCAGCTTCTGTTCCTTAATATACAGAGTGTACGGAAACGAATGGGCGATACTTCAGGGGATAATTTCCTCGGATGAAAATATACCAATTTAGATCAGGCTATTTAGGTACAATATTTGTTAAAAATTCTTAAAATAAATTTTAATTTTTTGAAAACCCGTAACTTTTTAAGGAACCAAATTACAATAGTAATTTCACTTATTATTGTTAAAATATCATATGCCAAACCAAAATTATTTTACTGTCACTATTTAACTACTTTAAATCGACGCTTTACTAGAACCTTCTTACTGTAAATAGGCTGTAAAAATTTTTTCTAGCATCTTTCCACTAAAGGTAAGCAGGTACCAGGTACCAGGTAATTGACTTTAATTGAGGCCTACCTATAAACAGTTAAAAATAATTTACCTACGACTGAGTAGGTAAAAATTTTAGTGGATATTTTTTTAGCGCGTAGTAATCATAGTTGATACGCAGACGCGAAAATTACACAGCCATTTTGTTTCCAACATTGCAACAGGACATATGTTTTTCATACAAATAACGTAATAACAAAGATTTGACTGTGTGTTGCATGGATATTATGTGAAGAAAATGTTATTCAGAAGATTAAGAAGATTAATGTATGCATATGAAGTGCCTATAGCGTTCATAAGTTATCAACTTTGGTTTATAACTTTTGTTTCATATACAGGGTGTTAGAAGTTTGACTGCCTCAATTTTAACAGACGATAGAATACATTAAAATAAACCAAAAACTTGATGTACAAAAGTTGAATTAATTAAGGAATATTGACAACTGCGAGCATATAATATCATCAAATACAATGTTTATTACTTTTTTTAATTTCTTTATGCTTATATCTAAAAAATAATTAGAGTTGTAATAAATTTAAAATTCGATAAAATTCATATCGAGCAATGTGACAACGGCGTGGCGGTTTATTAACACGAGGTACTAAAGTGTCCAGCAACCACCAATACGCAATTCAGTTGGTATCTGGATTCGCCCGTGTCGGAGTGTTTTTTGCGTACCACTATTTACTTTTCTTGAGGTGTTTTCCAGGGAGTGCGCGAAAATTGGATTCGAAGGTGTCGTGCGTACATCGAAAATTGTGGTGGACATTTTGAGCATATGTTGTAGATTGTTTTGTGCGTTTAAAAATTACTGAATTTTGCTTTTTGGTAAGTACCTAATATATAATTAATACGTATGATTATTTGGACGACGTGAATCTTTGGGTACTTTTCAATAATTTGATTAAAATTTAAGTTTCCATTTTAAGAGATTCATAATTACTAAAATTCGAGGTAAAATTTAAGTACAACACTATCTTCGTACTACAAAATCGATACATTTTATTTTATTTATTTAAAAACTGGAAATTTTTCATGAAATGAAGTAATGGCAGTCAAACTTCTTACACGCTATATAAAATGTTCAAAGTAAAGAGCGAAAGAGCGAGCGATGGTGGGATTGTCCAATAATAGATATCTTATTTTTTACTTGTAATTTTTATTATATGAAGAGAAAATTAGGTTAATAATTATGCGCACATAGTTATGGCAAAAAAATCGCTTACTAGTGTAATAAATCACCAATTTGAAGTAAAAAAAGATATTTGCTGGTATTACCATGAAACTCGGCATCCTAGGATGACAACCTAATAACCGCGATAAAAACTTTTGCTAAGGTACAACAAATTTTACATTTTCATTCAAGATGTAAACTATAGAAAAACCTAACCTCAAAAGCGGTTTCATATAACGTCACTGATTCAAAGAGATAGTAACTAGCGTCCTCTAGTGTATGGTGTATGGAAATACTAACGACACCGATCCATTAAATACACTCAAAAAGTTACCTGTGCCGAATTTCAATGCAGTACATTGGTTTTTGAAAAAAATTTGACCAAAATTTGATTTTGACGCCCTGTATATAAAACAAGTAAACATCCTGTATATAAAAAAAATATAATAAATAGCACAATTATTAAAGTAAATAAATACCGTAATTACCTTTATTCTCAAAATATTATTAAAATGGGGTAATATGACGTAGTTTTCTGTTTGCTATTCAATTGATTATTGTCAATAAATGTTATTTTGTTGTTTGTGACATACCTTCATCTTACCTGCATGTTCCCAACCTATTTTGATGTTAGAACCTCCTTCCTTGATTACACATAACTATACATGTATGTAGTAACATTAATGTGCTATAATTAATACAATTTATGTTAATTACCCCTTACCAATAATTACAAGATAGTACAATTACTCAGCAATAAAATTGCATTTAATAGCTGTTACAGTTATTTCTGAATCGTTTTAGATGTGGGTAGAAATGATGTAAATTAAACTTTGAAGATAACTTTACAAATTTTTCATATAGAAAATTTCACAGCCTTTTATTAATTTGTAATAAATTTCTAGGACAAAGTGTATAAAATCCACGAGGACCCTTACGGCGGCATTCAAGTAAAAGGGGTGACTTTCAAAACAGTGGTTTCAGCTGAAGAGGCCTTGCAATGCCTGAGGTTGGGGACCCTTTCTAGGACCACGGCTAGCACTCAGATGAACACCCAGTCCTCTAGGTCCCACGCGATTTTTACCTTACACATCAAACAACAAAGGCTAGCACCTTCCGACGATGAAGGCGCGAACGAGTTCGAAACGCTCAGTGCCAAATTCCATTTCGTCGATTTAGCCGGCTCTGAACGCCTGAAAAGGACCGGAGCTATAGGAGAAAGACAAAAAGAGGGTATATCTATTAATTGTGGTTTATTAGCTTTAGGTAACGTTATATCAGCGTTAGGGGATAAGACGAAAAGGGCGTTGCACGTTCCTTATAGGGATTCGAAGTTGACGAGGCTGCTTCAAGACAGCCTCGGCGGTAATAGTCAGACTGTGATGATTGCTTGTGTTAGTCCCAGCGACAGAGACTTTATGGAGACTCTGAATACTTTAAAATACGCTAACAGGGCGAGGAACATTAAGAATAAAATATTTATTAATCAGGATAAGACTTCTAAGACAATATCGCAATTGAAGCAACATATTGCACAACTACAGTTAGAATTAGTAGAGTACAAACAGGGTAAACGGATGATTGGTGAGGATGGAACTGAGACAGTTAACGATATGTTCTACGAGAACAACATGCTTCAAGGGGAGGTTAACAACCTTAGGACCAGAGTTAAAGCAATGCAAGAAACGATAGATTCCTTAACACTTAAAAACACTAATTTATTGACGGAGAAAGCAACAGGAGCTTGGATAACTGGTTCCGCAGGGAACGACCAAGACGTTAGTTACATGGTTCAAGGTTACTTGAAGGAAATAGAAGAACTTCGAGCCAAGCTAATGGAATCCAACAACACGTGTGAACAACTAAGAAAACAACTTACCCGCTCTCACACCAGCACGTCGATACTGAATTCTTCCTTGGAGGAAAACGTTTCGTTTATTGAAAGAGCCAAACAGAATCTTCAAAAAGAAAAAGAGGTCCTTAACCGTAGATCCGTAGAACTGGAGAACGAGAGCGACGGCGATAGCGAGCATGATTCCGAAAGCGAAAGCGACGAGAAAGATTTGCACAATGAACTTAAAGATGAACTTATAACACTAACAACCGACATAGACATGAAGCAGAAGCTGATAGATGAACTGGAACTGTCACAAAGACGGATGCAAACAATGAGGCAACATTATGAAGACAAACTGATGCAGTTGCAGTTAAAGATTCAAACCACGCAAGAAGAGAGGGATAAAATACTTCATTCTTACAGCATGAGCCCTGAACCTTCCGATAAAATTAAAAAAGTTAAAGATGAATATACAAAGAAAATATCGGATATGCAGAAAGAACTAAAGAGGTTACAAGCAGCCCAAAAGGAACATGCTAGGCTTGTTAGGAGTCAAAGCCAATACGAAAATCAGTTGAAGTCGTATAAAAACGAGGTTTTAGAAATGAAACGCGCAAAGGTTAGGTTAATTAATAAGATGAAGGAGGAATCTCAAAAGCATAAGGAATCTGAAATGAGGAGGTTAAGAGAAATAGCTCAGTTGAGGAAGGAAACCAGGAAGAATGCTAGTGTGATTAAATCAATGCAAAATGAAAGGAAAATAAGGGACCAAGTTTTGAAGAGGAAGCAAGAAGAAGTATCAGTATTAAGAAAAAGTCAAAGGGGTAGGCTTAGTTTTAAAGCAGCTGGCAGGATCGTGAAAGGGTTTTCTGAAAAAGCTGCCAAACAAAAGTGGCTCAGGGTGGAGAAAACTATAAACAACATAGCTTTAAGTAAAAAGGGCCTAGTTGAGCAAGAGGTGAGGATGGAACACTTTCTTGAGAAACGTGAAACATTAGGTAAGAAAACAATACAAAAAGTAATACTGTAACTAATTGTAAAATTGTTTGGTTTAGGTAAGGAACTAGAGGCTTTGGAGAAACGAAGGGAACAAGCTGTGGTCAAAAACCAAGACGTTACACAGCTAGACAGTTACATTGAAGACATCAAAGAAAACATTAACTATGTTCAAGAAACTATCAGTGAAACGCAGCACAATGTAATAGAAATAGAAGAAACACAAGACACAAGCGGGAATTTAGATTTACAACAAATTGTAACCTCTATATACGATATCGAAGAAGCCAAATACATCATAGAAAAATTATACAACATGACTCTCAGTCAAAGTCATGCCGTCGCCCAAAGGGATGCCAAGTTGAAAGAAAGTGAAGCCACCCTAGCAGAGGTAAGTATTGACAATCCCAAAAGCTCAGTTTTCAAAGATATCATTTCAGTTGCAACAAGAGAACAATGTCAGAGGCCAACTTCTGGATCATGTTCTTCACAATGAAATTCCAGTATTCTCCAAAGAACTAATAACTAGTGTTTCAAGTAATACAAATGATACCACCAGTTCCAATTCATCCAGATCATCTTCGCCAGCACCCACCGAAAGGCAGTAAGTAATTTCCACATAAACTATACAGAATTATAGAATATACGTTTATTGTTGCAGACTATCTGTTCCTGAATCTCATGCTCACACACATTCAAGCCGGTCAAAGATAAGAAGGAGGACTGCCCAACCTGCGGAAATGCTTTTTGGTTTGCACACGCAACCGTCAATGACGCAATCCCAGGATTCTTCCATGCTTCGATTGGACTATGGTCTGCAAAGGGTTCCGAGTGTCCCTGGAAGTCTTAAGTTAGTGGATTTATACCCTTAATGGACTTGCATCATTCGGGATGTTCCCTCTAACAATTCTGTAATAACTGTTATAACTTATTCAATTATCAAACTTGTATGCAACATTGAAAATAAAGTAGTTTGAGTGATCTCATTTTGAATTGTAGGCTTATTATTTCTTGTGGCGTATTCCCGATATTAGTGTAAATCAAGAGATTGGAGGTACATGCCAATGATCTATCATTACTAACGCAAACACTAACTGAGAGCTAAAATTTATTGTTGGAACTCGCCAGTCTTAGAAATAAGTTTCACTTTAAAGAAAAAAAATTACCATAGTGCTGTTAGTACTCTGGAACATAGAATTTGTTTTTTGTGGAATATATAATATTTTGCCTAATGTCTCATTTTTATTACAGGTTGAATTCCTGATGATACACAGGGTAAGAGTGTTGTCGAGCGAAGAAAGTAATTCTGAAAGTGGGGATATATATTCATACACATTTGTAAATCGATTTCAGTTTCACCTCATTACTTTTGTTAATAATATCAGATTAATATTATTTCTGTTGTTTTTATTAAGTTTATTGTTGGTTTATCTATTCGTGGATATTTGACGAAACGTGTCTAAATCTAGTAACAAATTAAATGAACCAAATATCCTACGAATATTTTTGTATGACAATTTTGACACGTTTTCTAAAGGTCTTTATAGTTTACAGTAAAAAACTCACTTTAAAAGAAAGCAGTGAATACTATAGTCACTGAATGCTTTTCAAATAATCCTTAACGCAAACACTTCTATGTTTTGTAACTATTTATTTAATTATTTGAAATTTTATATACTGATGTGCACTAATATTTAATAAAAAAAATAAACATTTGTTTCTAAGCCCTTGGTATTTTTAAAAACCGTCCCTAAATTTTATATAACGCAAGGTAAGGGAATATTACAAGAAACAAAAATATATATATATATAAAGAATTAGAACATTTATTTTAAAGAAATTAATGCATGATTCACTTTATTATTGATATAAATATTTGAGTACAAAGTTAAAGAAAAGTTTGCTAAAAAATTAATAGAAAAATTAGTTAAATTGCCAATACGAGATCCTAAGAAGTATTCTTCTTCTTTTTCCCCGTTTGCACTACAACAGGTGCTGTTGGAACAGCGTACACTCTTTGTGAATATTTATTCAAGTAATACAAAGCGCACAAGGATATTAGGAAACTAAAAAAAAAAATATGAAGCAAAGGTTAAGTAGTTACACTCACAACTTACCAGGACGACCCACAAACACGATGAATTGTTGCCGAGGCAAAAAGAGAGACTAACAAAGCAACGGATACTAAAAAAAAAAAAACAAAAAAATTATCCATCCCTGTACCCTAAACTATGTATAATTATTGTAGTAATATGATATGAATAAACATTGCTTCACCTTCAGGGAAAATTTTCACTTGGAACGATTTCCCAAACAAACAAGTTTCCAAGTTGCCCAACGCCGTCAGGCATAAAATAAATAAAAGTGATCCCAAATATCCGCCAAGCAAAGTGTGTAGCTGTGAAGAGCTAAACCAAGGCCTGAACATTTGCATCCCAGAAAATATCAACACTGAACTTATTGCTGCCAATACAAAAGAAGTACCCGTGGTGACAGCTGAAGAAAGAACACTCTATTAATAATAAAAACTTTATTTCAAAAGCAAGCTTACCCATTCTTTTAATCTTTGAAAACTATTGCCGGTTTTATGTACATGCATATCAGAAAAACATCTCTCGAAGATAGGTTATGTGGCTCTTGGTGATGTCAAAAAATGTTTACGTGGCAACAGATGGTAGAATACAAAATACGAAATTATTATTAAAAGGATACATTTACATTTATTTACGTATTATCAGTATTAGAGTCCAATCTTGGTTCTTAGTATGAATTTTTTATGCAAAAATATGTCTACAATTACAGGCAATAGGCAATATAAATTATTTTCTGTTCTTGTCTTGTGCCGCAATCTATTAGGGGTTTGAGCAATCTGATAAACTGAACAATTGTAAATTGAAATTTAATTGAAAGTTTTTATGAACCTACAAAAATATTGCCCCGTTATATATGTGTATACAGCAAAAAAGTGCATAGTTTTATTTTATTCAATAAACGTGTGTCGACTTTTGGAATCAACTACAGTTTCCTAGAATTATCCAGCGTTGAGAATGGTATAGTAGGTTTCTGTGTGCGGTGTGGGGGCGATGGAATTTGACAGTACCTCTGACAGTTGTTTATTTCATTCTCTCGATTCATTTTATCATATTCGTGTTTGTGATTTGTACTGAACAGATGTTTTTAAATTTGCAGACCTAACCGTTACCCTCGTAAATTAAAAAAGTGTAGTTCTAATTAATTAAAGGTGAGTTCGACCCAAAATTTGTATTTTCCTTTTTATTATCTCTGTTGCTTCCTGTGGGTCTACGCGTTTCGACTTTGTGTTGGATAAGATAATTGTTAATTGTTTATCGGCATTGCGTTTTATAGGAATTTTAAATCTTTGTTACTATTTATATCTTGCACTTAAGTTAATATGCGGTTATTTTCAAGACTGGGGTAATTCATAAGATCGTATAAATCAGGATATGTCGGTAGGCAGTGGTTATTTAATTTCATTGGAATTAGACATTGAAAGTGAAGTGAAGTTGCTTGTGCAAATATTTACAGTTCTTTGAAATTTGTAAAAGGTTATCGCTTTTGTTCTTGAAACAATCACATAATGCAATTGATCTTGAAACTAGTGATGCAAATTGGATTTCCTGCATTTAAAGTCGGCCTTTCGAATGCTTTTTTTATTTCTTCAACTGTATTCCTATTTTCACAATTTGAACTTAATGATGCCAATACAATATATTTTACCAGTAAAAATCAATTTTAAAATGCTAATCTGTAAAAACCTTTTATAAGTTGTAATGTTATTTATATAGTGCCTAATAACTGCCTAGATATCGATTTGATTTGTCATTTCACTAATAATTAATTTAGATCTATTGAACGCACAAAAAATGAATTGGCATAAAATAAATTTACAAATTATTGCTCGTTTCTCTAGAGAAAGTAAGAAAATATTTCGGGGTATTTGCTTAAAAACTGAGAATGTCCAATTAAATAAATAGTTCAATATTTGTTTATATAAGTCTTGATTTTAGTATTAATAGGTAATAAAAAATTAAACTTATTATTTTAATATAATTCAGTAAGTTGAATGTTGAGTGATAAAAATCAGAAAGTCTTTAGCGAACTACCCTGTACATTGTAAATTGTTAATCGCGTTTTCCTAAATTAAAAAAAATTAGGTATATTTAACCGTTATCATTTCAGCGCAGCCTATCTCTTTATATCTATTATTTTATTTAAATTGTGAAATAGCCCACATGATTTATATGCCTTTATCTTAATTAAGTCGTAAGTCATAAGTATCAGCCTTTTAGAAATGTTGGACCATTCTCTGTTTTCTGAAACAATTTATTTGTTCAGTGGTTCTTTTGCAGAAATTGCATTCCTCTAAGTATAATAATTGAATTAAATCATTGAAGTTTCTATATTTGTCTTGATATAACCGCAGAAGTTCGATACTCGACATCCATTGCTTTCGTTGTTTGTTTTATATTTTATCTACAAATTTGGCGTACCTAGATATTTATACATTTTATTATTTTCTCCTTAGATAGATAAGATTAGGGTAAATATCCAAATTTTTAGCATTATATAATTAATAATGTGGGTATATTAAATATAATTAAAGTTTTCAATTAATACGTTTAAACATACAGATATTATCTGGTTTGTGAAAAAATTTCACGCGAAGGATCCTACTGGGGATTTCTTGAAATGTATTATAAGTTAAAAATGGATGTCATTCCATAAAATATTTTTATTTTTAACACGTATTGTTTTATTTGTTTCTATGTCATTTATAATTATAATTAATAATAAAGAAATATGATTTATTGCACGTGTATTTATATCTGCAAAGCAATAAAATATATTTTAGAGGACAGTATTTATTTACTTATTTTTTTAACCGTATATCAAGGATTAGTTGAACAGGTAGATATATTTTCACGAAGTCGATGTTTTTAAATCTATTCCTGTATAGTTCAGTTTATCGATAGTATCGTCATTATAGAAGAGTTTATTTCTTACAATAACCAGAGTATATCATCCTTGAAAATAATAAACAGGTCTTTCGCAAAAAGAATAGCACGTTAATAATTGTTATTCTTGACGCTAAACCTACTAGTTTCTCTCGGGACATTGAACTTGAACAAAAATTCTTAATAGTTTACTTAGGAATTTACTATTTCCGTATTAAAATGAATATGTATTTGGCCGAATACAAATTTCCCTTTCAGTTCGTACAACTAGTTGTTTCTTCCGTAATTAAGATTTTTGCCTACACAGTACCGATTTTAATTTAATTTAAAATGTGTTGTCTACAACTTTTTTTGCTTCTGTAACTTCGCGAATAAACGTGCAAACAAAGGGAATTAAAAAAATACTCGCTCTGCTGCCGTTGTAAACAGAGTTTCAATTTTAATTAAGTCAAGTTAAGGGAGAACCTTATAAATATTAAATTTAATAAACCCAAATAGACAGTTTTTCGATTCCAGATTCTGCAACTGAATTACACTTGTTTATCAAATTATTACACTTCTGATAACTAAATGTTATTGAAACCGTTGTTTATCTACTGTAAAATTATGATAAAACGCGATGTCTGCGTTTTAGAAAATATATTGGCGTTTCTTCTAAAATAAAAGTCTGCGGTGAGAGACACACGCTGTATATCTAACCTCAGGAACAAAAAAACAGGAATACGATCTAACGGCATCGTCCCGTGGATATGCAACTGTGCGGATATGATATTGGCAGAAGCGTAGGCGGGCGTAGGCGTTTACAATGGTCAGTGTTTCCATATCGAAATCCCTGTTTTTTATTTTTGTATCTCCGTATCTCTTTTGAGACCAGCCGGTGTCGATACTACCACTTAGTCTGTATTAAAAAAAAAGATCTACATATTCTAACCTTTTGCCCTTTGCCACCACAGCACACTGGGTCTGTGACTGTCGTATAAATATCAATATCAGCGGACAAAAACGAATAGTAATTTCAATTTACATCACAACACAACAGATTGTGTATTGGGACGTTACGAATAAATTCTGATGTAACTGAAGTTGTAATTAGCAAAACTTTTACTCTCGTAATTAGTGCTTTCTACACTTTTTTAATTAGAGTTAAATAACCCTAATCTAATAAATATATGTACATTGAAATCGTTTAAAAATCAACAGAATTACATATATTAAATAGTAGCTATAAATAGACTAATTTCGTTGCCATTTGGCATATCATGGGCATGGGTAGAATTTCACCTTAAACCTACATAATTCAGTGAATTGCGGTGGATATTAATAGCGCAGTTAAATGATCATGTCTGCTCGCTTTGTACCTCTATTAATTAGTATTGGTTGTAACATGATTCAGTTTATACGAAACTAATTAAATTACTTCTATGTACCGCTACGTTAACGCGACAAGACTGGTTCAAATATTCCTCGATTCACTTTCTGTATTGCTGTAGTATACACAATTGTAAAAAATAATTACCGAGATAGATACTGTATAACCTCCAGTGTGGTAGCATGTATTTTAGTATTTATTGCCAACACAAGCGGGATGTGTATCGACATGCATCATCCACACGATGAGGCATTTGCTTATATTTGACATAATAATGGATCAAAAATGTTTTTAAACGACGTTTCGTACATCTTCCGTATATGTAAATTACCTGACCATATTAGCATACAATAACAATTACACTTAATTTCGTGAGAAATTACTTCGAACCTTGTAACATTTAATGTTTAAAAAAATTAACATCGACTTAAATAACTCTGTTGCATGCAAATGTATCTTGAAATATACTCAAACGACTGCTTTTTGGTCGCTTTAGTTGTAATATTAACGAGGTTTCAAGCAACATAATTGTAATTAATTACTTACAATTAGTAAAGTATACACCTTTAATGTTACCTTGTTTACACAACGACAATGATGTAAATTCAATTGTTTTCCAGTGAGCGAGAAAAACAATTTTCGATAGTCCAACCTCTAGAAAAAGTTTGTGTGAAAGTTGGACGCGATAACAAAGCAGTTGTTTTATTTTCTGTTACATCGTTTTATTGAACTCTACAGGTATGGTGATAAGCTAATCAAGATGAGTAATGAATGAAACAAAAGTGTTTTATTTGCTATCTTAACCAAGTTAAAATTTATTCGTGCTATAGTCGCATTATCAAAGTCGCATGTATCTGGGAGGGCTGCAAAATGCACGGTAATTGTAATTATCTATAAAAATTATTATTAGACAATAATAGTTACGGAGAATATTTCTAGTTAGACTCCTGATAGGGTCCGCACAGTTATATAACGTCATGTTATGTCAATTGGATCTAACGAGGCCTCATCCTGCTGTGTCAATTTTCAAACGCCATTAACGGTTTGATTTTCTCATTTTTATAACGCTGCCAGTTTAAATGTATCCCTCATCGTTCCGATTTATCTGCAAAAGGCATTCGGACTTATTAAATTATCATATGGGTATCGATTTCATGTCAATTACTGGTGAAATATAAAAACAGAAACGGAAAATGCATTAATCTGCCCATAATACAGATCTGGTTTTATTGTGGCTCCCAGAGATAAGCCAAATATGTCGATAATTGCTATATGAGCGGGATTTGATAGGTTTCAGCCTTGTTCTCACGCGAAAAAAAATGGAAGCGGAAGAAAATAGCCTCTATGGTTCATTGGTTTCCAGTCGTGTAGCAAAATTATTCAATTGACCGGCTCAACAGTTAAATGCAATATAATACAGTAGTCTTTTTACACTGAACCATTCTTGAAGCGAATACATTTGCAGAGCGCTCCGATTTATAGATATAAAAATCATTAACGTAAGTTCAAATGTTTTTATTTGGAAACTTCCGCAAAATTGCAATTTTTTTAATCGCAACATGTCCTGGTTCATATTTTGCAGTAGAACCTCGATAATCCGAACCAATTGCTACCGTAGGTAGTTCGGATTATCAAAATTACAACAACCTGAATAGGAATCAACCAGGAAGGGACGAAAATACACAAATTATTTTGTTTGCGTTATGGCGATGTCGTATATCGGCATTTGATTTTACTTGACACGTGATTTTTTTCGAATTTCAACAGTGTATGGCAGTCAGATTCGGGTTTTAGGTCGTTCAGATTACTGAGGGGATCTGATTACCTACATTCGGATTATCGAGGTTCTGCTGTAATTTATTTCAATTGTGTTATAAGTATTTTTATTTAATTAATTATTTCTGATTTAATGTCGAAAAAAGGAGAAATTTGTACAATAACTAAAAAAAAAACGGAGAATAAAGGAATAGAGGCTTACAACTTCCAAATTTATTATAAATATAAATTATAATTTCAAAAATTGAAAGCTTTTAGGGCATATTTAATAATAAAATTTTAGAACTTCATTTGTTCTTTATCAAGGCCGTGATCTCTAAATTTCGACAGATTTATTTTCAAAATTCAACAAGTAGTTTGATGTTCTTTTCTTCGTGTCACAGAGTTACACTAATTAAACGAATTAGGCAATTCAGTTACAAAATATTGTTTGTTCGGCTGCAAGTGAACCTTATTTAAAATTAGGAAAATACGCAGGTACTTTTGGCTTTGGTCCAGGCCACGATGTAATTGTAAACTACATTTTTTAAAACGTATTTACATCACTTTACATAACCACAAATGTCGCAAAGGCGATCGCAACAGCCCCGAATTTGAAAAATGAACTTTCTGAACGAGCACTAACGTTGAGGTCAGTAATTCTTTGTTTTTCTAATAAGAATAATGCAAACTCGAAAATAAATAAAAGGCTTGTTGCTGCTTAAGCCGGTTGTGCACGATCCTTAAGAAAAAATTGTATTTTGTAAATTTGTCATTGTCAGTTTTTTCTTCGTCAATGTTTAGAAAATCTGTGTCTTGATTTCACGCAGCTTCCGAAACGCTTCGATTCTGATTGAGGTTGTGAAATAACGTTTGTAGGGATGACGTAACTTTTTAATTACCAAATGCATGTCGTATATTTATAGTTTTGTCTCGATTTAACACTACATTTACAAATTTTATTTTAATTATAGCTATAAAATTAGTTTTGCCTGTTATGAATCAAAAAGCAGTTGAATTGCGAGTATGCGCAGTAACAAATAACCTGATGGTGGAAAATTTCAAACGAGCAGTGGGCCTTGCTTTGAAAACCCTGTCGCTCTTTTTAATGTTGATTTAGATGTTTAGGAAAGCTTCAAAGTCCGAACGGGCAAAAACATTGTTTAAACAACTATTTCCAGTATTTTTTTTGTCACGTTGTTCTGCGTCGGTGTTTTATGTTTAGTATAATACAGCAGACGTATCGATAAGTGCGCAGAACCAAATGCGCGCGGTTCATTCAATCTTCTTGAGTCGATACTTTGTATTAGTGTACAGACGAATGAATTCTGAATTTCCACGATTTTCACGTTAGCTCAGTAGTGTTTATATTGTGCCTTTTACCGGACAGCACAAACTTGTCGACTTATCCGGTACGTACAACAGTCAAAGGCATTACTGAATCGAAATTAACAAAAACCGTACATCCCCGCATTTTTTATTAAATTTCAGTCAAATTGTGGTTAACCAAATTCTCCTTTATTTAAATTCATATTTTTCCTACACTTATATCAACCACTTAGCACTTTTTAACAGTTATATAAAATACTTTTACCACACCATAAAAATTTAAAAACATCTACACTTAGTTTTTTTTATTACTTTCTACAATATTTGTAAATTAATGCATATTAAACAGGGTTAAATTGATACCATATTATTTATAAGTGTTTTTTTTTAGAAATAAGGATTTATTGAGTCGAAGCCATAAGTGTGTCAAGGCGTTTAAAATTTAGGTCAAGCAAAATTGTCAAAACGTCGTTGGAACCAAAGCTAGTAGTAATTTCCATATCTACCGATAAAATTTGAAAAATTAACGCGTGTGCAAAATTTCATTCACTCAAAAGTCAGTTTAATTTTTTATAAAAGCAGATTTTCAATTTGGTAAGTACCTAGACGGTTACTTTGTTGTTTTTCGAAAAAAAAAAAAACGTTAAAATTTACTAAACATACTCATGATTTAAAATTAGATGCTACCAGCGTACCAAAAAGGGGTTTTAAGGGGGGCAGAACCCCCGAGAAAACAAGAGGAATGATAATTTTAAATACTCTTTAAATTTACTTTTACTAATGCTTCCAAATGAATGGAATAATGAAAGCAGTCTTTTCTTCAGAAGATTGTACTGTCTCTAATAAATTAAATTCTGCTGTAGGACCTGAATACAAAATTTACGTTTTGCATACCCCGTTGCGTCAAAAACGAGAAAATTAATGATATGGGAAGGACAAAGGACGATTTTAGTTTCGTCTAAAAAGGGTGGATGTTATAGTTGGTTTAATCGATCGGTGAAATGCATTAAATAAAAATGTGGCCACGTAAAATGTGAGAACTGGGAACGGGCTACAGGAAAGGGGAACCATATGTTTATCTCATTTTATTAATTCTTTCCGAGCACATCCGCGGTGCAGTTGAAATTTTAAAGTGTTTAAATGTGTTGAGAAAGACGCAACAAAAAAAAAGGGATCGGAACGAACAATATGAATATATACATGTAATTTCGTTCGAATTTAGAAAGCAATACTGAAAAAATATATATTTATACGGTTCCCAATTTAAAATAAAGCGAGTCGAAAATGATATTTCGGTTCTCCTTTGATAAAATTCTCCCAATTTACGGCGCGAAAGTAATAAAATACTTAATTTGGAAAAGTTTTTAAGTAATAAAGAGCGTACTGGTGCTTATTTTTCATTCATGAATGCCTTTTAAAACTTAATTATTCAAAACAGGGAAACAAATGAATGGGGAAAAAAATCGATTCGATCGGCGAAGTAATATTTTTTTTAAAAGGGAATTTGCGTTTCCAATGGCGTACATGCGATGATTTAAGGATGTCGAAAAGAACGTACATGAAAATTATCTCCAAAAATATGCTTGAATGGGGGTGACCCAGTCTGAATGTCTACGAATTTTATCAGTCGTCTGTGGCGTAGGTTTTATTTCAATATCCACATTTACATTTATCATTGTTCAGTAAATCAACCCGTTCCTGTTTCATATTACGTTTACCAGCTTCCGTTTTTAATTGAATTACTTTTTTTTAGGTAGAAGACAGCATTATATAAAAAATGGCATTTGCAGGGTTAAAGAAACAAATCAACAAGTGCAATCAGGTAAGTTACCCAAAGTTTTATTGTATAAAATGCCGAGAATTTGTGCGTATGTAAATAAATAAACAAGGATTATCTAAATTTAACTCACTTAAGGATATAACCGTGCTGATGACGTAATGTTAACGTAATAGTGCAATAAGGAATTAATACAAATGTTGCTTAAGTGTAAACTATATAACGACTATTAAAATAAAATTTGCATTGTATAGACTTATAAAGAAATATTTATCTTTGCAAGCGTTATCCTTAAGTAGTTAGTGTTACTCCTTTCAATCCCTTGGATTTGCTCCAAGACTAAACATCGATTTTCGTAAATGTAGAACAGGGTCGGTTTAAGGAACAAATAAGTGCAGGTTCAGCAACCCAGTAATTTATTTTTTAATAAAAATTACATAACTCTACGGAAAGATTCCGTTATCAGCCTTAAAAAATGTATATCAACGGTAGTTGTTTCGTACAATTGCTACTCGTGTCAGATATAACTTCTCATTTACTACTGACTGATTAGATTGTGTTATGTTTATGTTATAGTACTTTCAACTTAAACTAACATTTATAACTCGGTTATATGCTGTATGAATTTTGCCCTTGTTGTTCCTTTCAAAACGTGTGGCATTAATTAAGGAAAACATAAACGGGTTGCATATAATTGTTTGGGAGACGTTATGGTATACACATAAACTCCCTGGATGTAGATGTTTTAATCTACTTAAAGGCGAGCGCGATTACTTTAGCCCAGAATAGGCAACCAACAATTCATATTAACGGAATATTTTCCATGGCCAGCACATTCGAATTACTGAAATTGAATTCCCTATATTTTAAGTAGGCAGGGCTAAAGCTCAAATTATGTGGGATTTCGCCTAGATTTAAATTGTGAAATTACTACCAGAAAATGTTTTTCTTTTCATTCGTCTATATAAGAAATCGCATCTGTTGGCCGCTAGATGGCCTCAGAGTTCTTGAAAAATGTTTATAGTTATAAACTCTGCTTCTTATGAAGCTGCAGAAGGGTCATATCTAAAAAAAATTAAATTCAGACTTTAAACTCTGAATTCAGAATTTCAAGTCTGAATTCAAAGATTAAAGTGAATTCAAAGTTTAAAGTCTGAGTTCAGCGTTAAAAGTCTGAATTCAGAGTTTAAAGTCTGAATCTAAAAAAAAAAAATTATAGGGACTTTAATTTACAATGTTGCGAGTAACCGCACAGTAATTTTTTATATGTCCAATGCAAATCACAATTCAAGTCATTTCTATGACCTCAACGACTTTTTGAAAAATTATTAAACATAAAACCGTTTGCATTAGCTTAGAAAGGATCCACTGCCGAATTTATGGCGATGCGGTGATAAATATCGGAGTAACGAGCAGATCTGTAGAATTTCGGAAAGTTTAGTTCCCTAATTAGTAATTAACGCAGCCTCGGTGATGTTGCTATGTTATCTCTGTAGCGTTCTGGCGGTGTAAATGAAGTTTGGTACGATTTACTGGTTGTATCGATTAAAATCGTTGTTGGTTTCGTTATCAAAGGCGGAAAGGTCAGAAGCCGCGGATGTCGCGTAGGACGGAAGAACTTTTTCAATATGACCGGCATGTCACACACATACTTTCTTAAAATTAAACAAGCCGCGCCGTGGGATAAGTTTTAATAAGTACACACTGAAAGAGATTCTTAAGAATATTTTTAGATGCCGAAGTAATACGGTTCGTTTTCAGGGCGTTAAACGAAGGAATAGACATAAACATGAATTCGCTACGTAATGTTCTTGGAAAAAGTGCTGTGGATTTTATATTTTCGTTTTTTTATTCATCCCCGCGCTGTTACCGTTTAAATCCGCTTATGGAAATAAAAAAACGGTAAAAGTATGCGTTGGTTTATTCCTGTAAATAAATACGTGTATTTTGTATGTATTTCCTTTGATGTCCTAAATTTTTGCGACGGACTTGAGTTTTTTTATGAATGCAACAAATCCGCCTGTAAACATAATTGTCACTAAAGAAATATACTTATTTTACGTATTTCACAAGCCTTACCCTCAGAGAAGTCTGGGAGGGGTTCGAACTGATTTTTAACTCAACGAATTTCAGTGAATTTCTGCTATTTAAAAACATTTGTTTAGCAGAAAACACTGCAGGGGGTACCTAATGGAAAACTTTTGGACCAAACACTCTCAATATCAATTACCGTTCGCCTTAATTAAGATCAAATTTTGTTTACGACCCGACTCTTGTTTTTGTTTAACAAACAGTATCCCGCGATTACCGGCATTGTTCGCCGCTCGAACGTAATACGATATTCCATCCATACAACGGCCAATCTGGGTCATGTTTCGTAGAGCCTGTAGTACGTCGTTGTAGACTTCGGTCACGCACTTACGGGTGAGGATCAAAGATCCATTTTTCATTGAATGGGTCGGGTACACCGGTAGGCCCAACGCCCTGTATATGGAGAAAGTCAAACTCCTGCAGTCAAACTTTGCCATTCTAAGGCAAAGCTCGTGCGAATTTAGGTCGTAGAACGCTTCTTTTCCTTATACATATTTCAACATTTCCATAGTTTAGATGGCTTTGCTTGTTTTATCATTGTTTTATTAAATGTGCCATTTCTTGCCGTAAGCATTCTAGGGCTATAGAATGATTTTTTTCTCTTAAACGTAATACGTTGCTAATAATAATATACATAACAAATTTGGAAAAAATCAATTGACTGGAAAAAAGTTATAGATCAGGGCGAATCTGTCGTAATATCCCACTTCTTTGATGTAAGAGGGGGCAAGCTAATTTTTGATGGAATACCATCAGTACAACTCACATCATAAAAGTGCAGATCCCTAGATCTGGGCGAGGTCAGGAACATTTTCAAAATTGCAAAAATTTTTAAAAATACCAATTTTTCAAAAACCATTTGAAAGGTTGAGCGGTCTTTTCTATGTGAAAAAATTTTCAAGTATCTAGATGCTTTTTTTGAGGCTGTGCAACATTTTGAAAATTCGGAAATTTTTTTGCAAAATTTTTTTCAAAAAATTATTTTTGGAAAACTATAGAACCGATTTTAATGAAATTAGGTGTGTTGTTTTATTATACTCTAAAGTTATTTTTACCAAAATTAGAATGCCCTCAGAGCAATTAAAATATTTATATTTAAAAAAATTTTCCAAAAAAACTTGATTATTATGCCCCTTTTTTTCATCAATTATTGCTATTTTTGCAACATCGGTAATAAATTTAAACATTTCTAACTCACAGTATATTGTGCAAGATTCAATTCTAAAACTTTTTTCCTCTTCAATATTCTTCCAAAATGCATAGGTTCCAAGATATAAGTAAAAAACTCAAGATAAAATATATATTTTTTAAATTTTTTTAAACATTTTTGTAATTTTGAAAATGTTCCGGACCTCGCCCAGATCTAAGGATCTACACTTTTATTATGTGAGTTATACTGAAGGTATTCCAGAAAAAAAATGCTTGCCCCCTCTCACATCCTCAAAACAGATCCGCCCTGGTCTATTATGGAATTTGTTCAAAATTAAAGAACTCTGTAATAAACTTACTCCGTAATAATAATACGGCCTTGAAAATATACTGCATAATTTTGAATCGCCCTGTATACACATATACAAGTTGTCCCAAAGATAACTTTTCAAATAAACAAATGAATATCAATAATCTTTTCATCAATAAAATTTCGAATTAATTTAAAGATTTGTTAGTGCATTAATAAATAAGTATTTATTTATTTTAATCAATGGATATTAATAGTAAATTGATACACAACATCAAATTTCATTCATCATAGTTTCTCGTCTGCTTTAAAAATTCAGTGTCGGATATCACGTTTAAAGACAAGTTATCATAAATTTATGTATCTTAATTTCGAATTGATTTTTATCTATAGATAATTTTTCACACTAGTCATAAATTTTGCTGTGTACATTTTAAACCTGATGTAGGTATAGTGTTTCCGATTACAATTGCGAAAGGGAGAAATGCAAGGGATATTTTATACATGCCTAACTGACTTCGGAAAGACTATACCTCATCGTATAATAATTATCTATTGTCCGTGTGACTATATATGTATTTTCCAAAAATAAGTCGCACTTTTGCAAATTGTTTCGAGTAAAAGTAAAATGAGCTTCTACAGTGCTTCTTCTACAGACCTAATTATAGAACACTTCCGCCGCGACAAAAAAAAATCGATGGAAAACCCAGAATTAATCTAATTACTTTGTTGCAGCAAAATGTGGAATAAAGCTTTGATCTTTGTTTTACGTTCTCTATGTTGGTACCCCGTTGTCTTTTACAGCCGATTTCTTCCCTAAGCCGCTTACCCTTATCAACTTATTATTTATTTATTTATTTATTTATTTATTTATTTATTTACTTACAATATCCAACGGGCAATGCCCTGTTACAGGATAAGGTTACAAGCTAAAAAAAAAAATAATAAAAATAGGTGAGAGAGATAAAAACTATTCTTAACCAAAATAAATATCACAAAACATAATATCTAAAACAAACAGGGAACAGACATATAATATTAAAATGCTATAATACAAAACAAACAAATGCAAAAATATATTTATACAAACATAAAGTTCAAATGAAAACTTTTTTAAATTGAGAAATACTGGAGCAGAGTATATCAATGCGAGATTCAATATTAGAATAACCAACAATCATTTGGTGAATTGGAGACGCTTTATATAAATTAGTACGATGATTCTTGATCGCGAAGAGGTGTAAATGTCGGGTATACGTTCTAGGAATATGAAAATTTATCATTTGTAATATATCTTCACATATAATGTTATTATTCAAAATCTTGTATAAGAAAATAACAGAATTTAACTTGCGTCTTTGAGACAAGCTACTCATATTGAAACGCTTGAAAAATGCTTCCTGAGGAAACCCTTGAGGAGGATACTGGCCATCAATAAAAAATGTAGCTGATTTAAAGAATCGGCGTTGAATTTTCTCAATAGATATTATGTGTGTAGCGTAGATAGGTGTCCAGACTACAGAGGCATACTCAAGTTTAGATCTAACAAATGTATTAAATAACAAACAAAAAGTATCAATTTTCATGAAATTGCACATGTTCCGAACAATAAAACCCAAACTTTTGTAGGCATTCATTACCACAATTTCAATATGCTTGACAAAAGATAATTTAGGGTCAAAATATACGCCCAAATCTTTAATAAGGTCAGGTCGTTGAAGGGCAAACCCATTCAGACTATACTCATACTGAATTTGATCGCATCGTCGACTAAAAGTCATGACATTACATTTGGTAGAATTCAGAGGCAGCCTATTAGCAATGCACCAAGAGTTAATAAAATCTAGATTACGTTGAAGATTGATGGCATCAAATACATTATCAATTTGAGAAAATATTTTTATATCATCGGCGTATAACAAATAACGCACATTCAGTTGAGAAGTGATATCATTAATAAATAATGTAAACAACAAGGGACCAAGAATAGAACCTTGCGGAACACCTGAAGTCTGGGCAAATTCAGTAGATTTAACACCAGAAATTTGAACAAACTGAGTTCTGCCAGTGAAATATGACTTCATTAGTTCAAGAAAGTCTGACGATAGTCCAAAAGCGCTTAATTTATCCATTAAAAGTCCATGGTCGAGACGGTCAAACGCCTTCGAAAAATCTGTATAGACTACGTCTACTTGGCTTCCCCGATCTATAGCCTCGCTGATAAACTGAGTAATGCATACTAAATTAGTGACTGTCGACCGTCCTTCCATAAACCCATGCTGTTCAGGAAGTATAATATTTTTTAATTGAAAGGAGAGGACACGATGTATAGCAGTTTCAAAAACCTTACTGAAGTTACACAGTATTGCAATAGGTCGATAATTAGCGATATCATTTTTACTTCCTTTTTTATATACGGGGCATATTCTTGAAATTTTCCATTGATCAGGGAATGTATGTGATGTCAGAATTAAGTTAAATATGGTGAAAAGTTAAATATGGTGGTCTGGTTATAACCAGACTTAAATTCAGCAAAGCTAACCCGGAGTGGAACGAGCAATTTTAATTAATTTCCGAGGTTAGGACTTAAAGGGATTACCGTTGCGCGGCATTATTTTTTAATTTTTATATGCCATACCCTGTACTGTGTGCCGCTTCCCGCGTTTCGCTTTGTATTGTAACGTTAATTAACTTCCCTCTACCTTTGATAATCGCATCTTGATTTCGAAACCAGTGGCGTAGTCAAAGAAAATTGGACCCTCTCAAAGGGGACGAAATAAATTATTTTGCGTTGTTTTGTTTCATAGAAAAATACAATCGGGAACGACGCCATTCCTTTTTCCATTTAATTGAGATTTTTTTATTTTTTCAACATTCCCTGTTTGTATTTACGAGAGGGCTTATTGGAAACATTGAAATACAGTATTATTTTTGTAAATCCTTTGTTGCTGAGGTAATTCTCGCTTCTGCCGAACACACGGAAATACGTGTTAAAAAAAATCGTTATAAAAACCCTGAGCTGTGTGAAATTATTTTTCTAACAGTGACAAAGCGTGGGCGTACAAAAGAGGCGAGTTTGTTTGCCAGGGGACATAACCATATTAATTTTTTTTATTAATATTGTCTCATTTCGAAGTAATTTTTGCGTTCCCTATATCATATCGTTGCCGGCTGGATTCCCGCAAATTGCTTTTTATCGATTTTTACCTGACTTTCGAATCCTTTCTTATTGCAAAAATTCATGAATACCAGGGAACTTTTTGATTAAAATTTAGTGTAAACATTGTATTGAAAAAACAACTGATTTTTTAATAAAACATACTACATTCACCTCAACAGATTTTACTGAGAATGTGACTGGCCACTTTTGGTCATTTCTCGGTCATTTTTAAATTTCAAAAGTTATATTTGAATTAGCCTTTCATTATGCTTATTGCACATTTCTAAACTGTATTTGTGTTTTGCTTATGTTGTGCTTTTTGACTGTGGTTATATGTCTCATACTCGATTTTAGAAGAATTACATTGCACATACAATCTTAAGGCGACTCCACACGAACGTTACCTTTGATCATATTTAAGAAAGAGAAATAATTATCGGCAACTGTAAAATTGGTCATTTTAAATATTCGCCGGTCATTTTAAATATGCGCTGGTCATTTTAAATATTCGCTGGTCATTTTAAATATTCGATGGTCATTTTAAATATTAAGTGGCCGTTTTCGAATACGTATACTAAGTGGCTGCAATCACTATTAAAGTCAAAATAAATATAGGTTAATGAATCTAATCACGCCATACAATTCGTTTCTATCGATTTATTGTTTCTAGTATGTCACGGAGAAGATGGGGGGAGCAGAGGGCACGAAACTGGACCTGGACTTTATGGATATGGAAAGGGTAAGACTTAAAAAAAGACACATCGACATGTGACTCGTATGCAATTTATTTTTAGAAAACCGACGTGACCTGCGAACTCGTGGAAGAGCTACAGATGAAAACCAAAGAGTTCCTACAGCCGAATCCGACGGCGCGGGCCAAGATGGCGGCGGTGAAAGGTATCAGCAAACTCAGCGGTCAAGCCAAATCGAATACCTACCCCCAACCTGAGGGCGTCCTAGGCGACTGCATGCTCATGTACGGGAGGAAACTGGGGGACGACAGCCCCTTTGGACTGGCGCTTGTCGAAATGGGTGAATCTCTGAAACAGATGGCCGATGTCAAGTACTCCCTCGACGACAATATCAAGCAGAACTTCTTGGAGCCCTTGCACCATCTCCAGACTAAAGACTTAAAGGAAGTTATGGTAAGTGACAGGCGAATCGGTACCTGAACGCAGCTCTGGCGGCATGTTCGGCCACCAGATCTATGACCCATTTAATTCTTACCGTTTTCTTTTTTCAGCACCATCGGAAAAAATTACAGGGTAGAAGGCTCGATTTCGACTGCAAACGCAGACGGCAAGCTAAAGGTATGTTTACACTACTCATTTAATTTTATTCATGTGGGGGTATTTAAATAACTACCTTTCGACTTTGGTTTCTTAATATTTACCTTCACGTAACAGCAATGAGATTCTAATTTTATTTTCGTAAATTGTTTCCGTGGTGTGAAGCGTTACAAAATCAGAACTTACAATACGTCACGTTCAAATTAGTTTCTATTTTGGGGTTGAGGGGCTATAAATAATTTGTTTTTTGTTTATCTTCTCACAATTCAATCAATTTAGATATTTTAAGAATATATTGACCATCCAATTCTTCTATATTGAAACGTCACGTCAAAGTCGTTCTTATTTCAACATGTTTTTTACAAATACCAGATTAGGTTCACTTTTTACATCATCCCCCAGTTCTTGGGACATTTATACCTAATACAAAATTATTGTACTTCTGAGTAATTTAGATGTGAAATAATTTTAAAGGTTTTTATTTAGCATACACCCAGTTACTGTAGCATGTGAATAATTTGCATGATTTATAGCGTATAAAGGGACACTTAGCCCCTATTCCAGCCCCGTAAAAACACAAGGGGCTACCCATGGTATGTTTATATATATTAAATTTACACCTTATGCATGTAGAATTTGCGTAGATACAGGGTGGCCATTCTGAATTAGACCAGCATGAAATGACACAAAGGCAATGCCTTAATTTTAATTAACTACAATTTTATATAATTAATTAGTGTTTATATAATTAAGAGACGAGCTGCGATACTGTACACTGATTTAAATTAACTAGTGTCTAATTGAGATCAATTGCCAAATAGCTAATTATGTAGATTTAATTAGTGTGTAATTAGGTACAATTATATCGAAATAATTAATAACTTATTGAGATGAATAGTTTGGGGTACACCGATTTTAATTAAGTCAGTACACTAATTTAAATTAACTACAATTTTACATAATTAATTACTGTCGATATAATTACTATATAAATTGTGATACGTACACTGATTATTTATTAACGCAGTATGTACATTAGCTACAATTATAAATGTATTAGTGTCTATTCGAGATAAATTGCCAAGTAGCTTGCAGTACACTAATTGTATTTAGCTTTCATTATGTAAAATTAATTATTGTCTAATTATATCGAAATTATTAGTGCCTAAATGGTGTAAACTGTCATGTAATTTGCAGTGCACTGATTTTAATTGAGCCGGTACACTAATTCTAATTAACTGCAATTATATGGAACCAATTAGTGTCTAATTCAGATGAGCCACCAGCCACCGTTTAGTTTGCAATGCATTTTTATTTATTTACTCACTTGCAAATTAAGTTCGACGTGATACATACTATTTATGCGATTTAAACGTTTCACATTAAGTTATTTTGAACTTTAATTAAGATTCTCCCGGCTTGAATAAAATCTCATAATTGAGAATTCCTTTGAAGATATTCCTTATCATTATTTAAAAATTTTATATAAATATTACTTGAAGTTTGTTTAACGACCGTCCTTAATGCTGTCCCATCTAAAACTTTATTTAAGGTGCTTTCCGAAAGTTTCCGTCGCGAAGTTCTTCGCTCTCCTTCTTCGCCGTGAACGGATAGGGAAAGGAAGAATTAATGCTGGTTATATGCACGAATTGCGATAAAAGTTCCGCCGAGAGACCTAAAAGATAGTAGTAGTCGAATAATATGTAAATTACCAGCAGCCCAACAGATTTGTTTAGCGTTTGATGAAAAATGTAGTTAGCAACTCGGCTATTTCGTTGGAGTATGAACTAATTTTCTTGTAACACTAAGTAAATCGGTACGAGGGTAAATTATTTTTGAAAAATGTTAAGGTATTTCTTGTAGTAACTTTTGACAAGGAATTCAATGGTGACCTTGACGATGACCTTGAAGGTTATTTCAAGGTCACCCAATTTTTGTAAATGGAGGTTTTTCGACGTCGCGTCGGCAGTCGAAAGAGCGGGAAATTTTACGTCCAAAAACTGTCCAAGGTCATAAATCAGGGTTGACCTTGAAGGTCATTCAAAGGTTATTTAAATTTGAGGGCTGGATATCTCCGAAGGACGCAGTTGATGAAAATAGTACAAAGCTCACTTTAGTTATTTTGTTTAATTGTAGTTAGTGGTGACCTCAAGCTCCACCTTCTTGGTGTCCTTCAAGGTCATTTCAAGGTCAATTTTTTTTTACTGAAAATCTTATGTGACATCACAAATCAAAAGAGCGGAAGTTTTCATACTTTTACTCTTAGCGTTACCCAGGAGCAACGACGTGGACGTAGTAATTTCTGTTCCCTTTGGAGTGCTTTATTATCGTGAGTGCCCTTCCTCTCACGTAAAATTTCCCGCTCTTCCGATCGAAAAAGGTGGTCTCCATTTAAAAAAATGGAGGCGACCTTGAAATAACCTTCAAGATCATCGTCAAGGTCAAATCCAAGGTCACCATTAAATTCCTCGTCAAAAGTTACTACAAGAAAGACCTTAGCATTTTTCAAAAATAATTAAATATTTTTAATAGTTATACAAAACATTTTTTTACGTACTACTTTGTAGAAATCATTTTATTAAAGACCGCGGCATCCACCTGTTTGAATCATTGCCAGAATTTTATTTTTAAAGTGGCGTAGTGAATGGAAAGAATGAATTACTCGAAAATAGTGTGAAAGTCAAGGTGACTACGCGAAATCGATTTTGTAAAAATTGGGTTGAATTACGTTATTGGGTTTTAAACAAAAGTGCAACATGTTTTTGTATACCTACAGTCCGTAATTATTTACTTGTGGCATTTTTTATTTAATAATAACAATTAAATGAAATTAAAATATTTTCAAAAATCTCAAAAATACATTGATTGAACCGTAAAGTGGAGCTAGTTGTATAGGTTTATTTTTTTTGCAATTTTAGTTATATTTAATAGATATAGTTTTTTTCCGTTAGCATGTTATTAATGTCGCATGTTTTGGCCTGTTACTTCACATAACAGGTTCAAACATTGCAGATGACGAGATCAAGTTGGCCGAGGAAAAGTTCGCCGAATCCCTGCACCTTGCTCAAATGGGAATGTTTAATTTATTAGAAAACGACGTAAGTATATCCGTATCGACTTTTTTGAATCGAAACAGCGTTAAAAAAAAGAAGCATTTTTTCTAAAATTACAAAATATATCTATGCTAAACATATCTCACTTAATACTTTGGCGGTTTTGTGAATAACTCAAAATATATTTCAGGTAGAACAAATATCGCAATTAGCTACTTTTGCCGAAGGCCTTTTGGATTATCATAGTCAATGTACAGAAATTCTTAAACATCTGACTGAAGCTCTTTTGGAAAAGTAAGTTCTTTGGGGAATTTATTCTACAGTTTATAAAAAAATGTCAAGAAATCGAGTGTTTTTGAAAGATTCTTTTAGTAGCTTAAGACTGTTTGTGATTGAAGACTATCCGAATTTGACTGTACCCTTTAATGATTTTTTTAGGAAAGACGAAGCAGCAAATCGTCCAAAAGTCGAGTTTGTACCGAAATCTTTAGCTGATCTCAATATAGAAGGAGTAACGGATGGACTAAATGGTACACACAACCACAATAATTTCACAAACCACAGTAATCACAGTAGTAGTACAAACTTATCCGGCGGTTATCAGTTTAAGCGACCTGCACCTAAAACTGTTCCTATCAAACAGTCACAATCATATACCACACCCGATCCCTTTGATCCTTGGAGTTTCCCTCAAGGTATTTTATTTTTTATTTTATTTTTTAGTTGCACTAATCTTTAGTTTAAGATTATATTAACCCTTTTATCTAGTTTACTGTATGTATATTTCGCAGGTAAGTATTGTTTTTGTAACCTTCAGCTTTATTTTGTTTAGTTCTATTATCAGTTCAATACAATTTTTTTTAATGATATGGCAATGTTATCATATTTTATAATTCAATTGAAGTAGCATATCGTCATTGAACTCTACCGTAAAAAAAGATAGCAGTTTTATGTTTCAAGAATTTGTAACGTCATTCATTTGCTTTTTCTGTTTTGTTTTGTCCTTCTCCCATCTAGCCACTAACCAGTATAACCCGTTTCTTACAAATCCAACGCCAAAAAGATGCAAAATTTGAAAATTACCGCGATTTTCTCTATTTGTTTATACAGTTGAAAGTCGATAATCCGAATCCGATTATCAAATAAAGGTTTGACTGCGATTACAGTTTGATAATCTGAACTACCTTTGGTTCCCATTAGTTCGGATTATCGACGTTTTATTGAATATGTACTTAATTTCCATTCTATTCGGCATTAGTTTTGCATCTTGCTGAAGAGATTTATATGTTATGTGCTTCGCCGATATTTATATGTGTGACTGCACTTGCGAATATTTTCTAAAAATTTCATATCATTTGATAAAAACCGTACAGAGTGATCTATTATCCTTTTATTGGGATTTACTTATTAAAATATTTAATGAAAGTCATTCAGCGACATCTATTCTATTCTATTCTATTCTATTAATTGATATGTTAGTCTACTGGGAGTGTTACCGAAATGCTGCCATAGCATCGCAATTGCATGGCGAGCGTTTTCCTTTGCGATTACATCTCGCAGCAGATGTTGAAGAAGATTCAAATGCTAGACACAGCATAACAACAAATACATTTCTAAATAATTTTGTAAAGTAAATAAGGGAATTATGGATCGCGCTGTACTGTTTAAGTATGTTAAACTCACTATTATTTTTGCACCTTTAATAAAGAGGTTACAAATCCCTTTTACACCCGCCATGCATTTGGTTTAAATGGTGATTTTTTTATTTAAAATACATAGATCTAAATTTGGAACATGAAAGGGGGTAAAAGTGTGTTGCTGCATGACCAAATCAGTGTTAGGACAAAAGTCACTTATTTTTGAAGTCAGTACGCATGGAGGTGTGAGTAACATGTGATTTAACTTAATTTTGGCAATGATCCAGCCTTGTGTTGGCATGTGGGCGATGATGCGTGTAGTTATTCCAAACTAGACCGTGTTTATTTATTTGAGTGTGGTCGAGTTCCGTAGAAGCATCTGATTTTGGCCGTAAAATAAAGTGAAGACTGTTGAAATGTCTCTGATTGCTCGTCTACCAATATTTTTAAAATGCCTGATATGTTGTTCTGACAAAGATGTGTTGTTAGGCTCCTCACAAGCGTCTTCACCACAACATAAACCATACAACCTTGAGTTGCACCCAGGACAACAGTCTGCTAATGGTAACTCTCTATCTTCACTGCCTCATCTTTTGTTTTGTTGTTGCTTATACTTTTCGACACGATCATTGGCTATTCTTAGTAAAAATTATTTGAAAATCGCCGCTTTCTCAATAGGGCTAAGCGAAATCAACAGAAATAAACAAACCTTTGTTCTTATCCCTTAGCAGTACTAACCTAAGTATAGTTTTTTCTATTGCAGCGATGACCAAATATTTAAGTATTCACGACTATTTTAGGATTTTTGGATCAAAACTTGTTTTTGACAAATGTGGTGGGTGTCTCTGCATCACGATTTTTAAAAAATAGTACATTTTATTTTTGATAATAATGTTATTTCTGATGGTTTCCAATATTTTATATTTTAATAAAACCTACCAGGGTACTCTGAAATGTCTGTAAAATGTCTGCATAATGAGTAAAATTCACTGTTGCCACGATCAAAGAATTTCACTATTTCAAATATTTGAAAATTTATCAAAATCACCGAATTCAGCGCTAGTATGGGCTCATTTAGGATATTTTTTAAAATTTATATTCAAAAAGTATACATCATTTTAACCAGATTTTTTTTCAACAAGTTAATAAAAACGGAGCGCGCAAAATGTTTTGTTTTTCAACGTACCAGGAAGCGATCTTTTCTATGTAAAATTTTTTTTAAGTATCTAGATGCTTTATTTGAGGCTGTGCAACATTTTGAAAATTCGAAAATTTATTTTCAAAATTTTTTTCAAAAAACTATTTTGCGAAAACTGTCGAACCGATTTTATTGAAATTCGGTGTGTTGTTTTATTATACTCTAACGTTTTTTTTTTTACCAAAATTAGAATGCCCTCGGAGCAATTAAAATATTTTAAAAAAATTATCCAAAAAACTTGATTATTTAGCCTTTAGTAATAAATTTAAACATTTTTAACTTACAGTACTTACATTGTGCAAAGTTCAATTCTAAAACTTTTTTTCCTCTTCAATATTCTTCCAAAATGCATAGGTTCCAAGATATAAGTAAAAAACTCAGATAAAATGGGTATTTTTGAAAAATTTTTAAACAGTTGTAATTTTGAAAATGTTCCGGACCTCGCCCAGATCTAGGTATCTACACTTTTATTATGTGAGTTGTACTGAAGATATTCCAGCAAAAATTAGCTTGCCCCCTCTTGCATCCAAGAAGTGGGATATTTCGACAGATCCGCCCTGGAATATTATCACCTTTTTGTACCAGACTTCAATTGAAGTGCGTGATAAAGTGACGCGTATTTTTTACTTTCCGGTATTTTTAGTGTGCGATTTTTGATGGTTTAATAAAAATAAACTGATCCTTTTGGCACAAAGATTTTTTGAATCAATTTTTTATTTCGCAAGAAGATAAATACCAATAAACAGGGAACAAATTGAAACTATACCACAGTTAAGGGAAAAAAAATGTGTCACGTTGCAGATATTTAGGAATTAGAAGTTATTTATCACAGTTAATTAATTAATTAATTAATTAATTAATTAATTTAAGAATATTTATCTGATTTTTCACCACATATTTACGGGTTTGATTGCTTATGAATAATTTAAAAACAAGTTACAAATTAAATACTACTGAATGAGCCCATTACAGTAAACTGTGCCATTGAGAATTCGATTATTGTTAAGAGATACAAGATCGGTCAAAAGACGGTTTTTACAGACCTTCCCGCATACACTGCATATAACAGACCTGACTGTTGCAAAATGAGTTATATTTCAAATAATATTTTACAATTAGGCTGAAGGTTATGTTAGTCATGATTTATAAAGTGTAGTTATTGCCGGTTATTAAATGTTTGTATTGTAGCATCTCCATTGCCGTCCCCAATGAAATCTCCTGCCAGGACGCCAATGACCAGGCAACCATGTTGCACGGCATTATACGACTTTGACCCTGAGAATCCCGGCGAACTTGGATTTAAGGTAAAATATGATTTGTTTTTTCAAGCCGGAATTGAAATCAAATTTATGAATTTTTTTTAAATTAAAGCGCTGATTTGCAGTGATTTCATGAATAAACTTAATTTCAACGAAACATGTTTTGCACCTTTACGGGAAATATTTAAGAAAACTGACAAAATGATAATACTCGACAAATTTCTATATGGCAGCGGCAATTTTGAAACAAAATGCATGTGTTGCTATATGGAAGCAATTCCAATCTAAAGTCAGAATTCCTTGATTGGCTTGTTCGTTTTTTGTGGCCCTAATATCAAGAAACTCCTAAGAAACCAGTTTTTGGGATCTCAAACTGACTTCAGTACTTAGTGATTGGATAAAACATTGGAACTCGTGATCTCGTTCCACCAGAACTCTATAACCCCATAACGTGGAAAGTGTCAGGGTGTAGAACCTTCTGTCACCAATCATCTGGGGATTTTTTTTCGTTATGATTCAGTTTTTCAGAGGTTTGTGGTTGTACATCCGGGTTACGGGATTATGGATGGCTGTCATCTCACCATCATGTAGTACGGAGTAATGGGGTTGTGGTGCAATGAGATTATGAATTCCAATGTGTTTTCAATCACTTACTACTCAAGGAGATGCTCTATGGTAGAATACGATATTTTTTTATGGCGCTACACAGTTTGTTGTATTATAATTTATTTTGAATTGACTCGAGATGAAATATTTTTTCATTCATGAACTTTTCCCACTTGCCATTAAAGAAAAAACGACGCTTTCATCTCTTGTTGCGAAATATTGCTATATTAGACTGAAATGCGCCCAGTTTTGTTACTAATGGGCTGGTTTGTTTCTTTTTTTAAAGGAAAACGATGTGATAACTCTACTGAATAAAATCGATGAGAATTGGTTCGAGGGTAGTATAAATGGTCGTACGGGTTACTTCCCGGTGAACTACGTGAGGGTAGACGTGCCATTACCATGAATTACGGGTTAAGAATCAATTAAACGACAACCCCTTCTATTTATTTAGATATAATGTATATTATTTCTTTTTTTAACTTGCCTTTTTGTATAAATAATTTTTTTTAAAATCAACATTGTATTCAACTGCACTTTCTGAAGTGAGACAAAGCCATATACATTATAAGCTAGTGATTATTGCGCATTTACTTTAGTTAGTTAAGAAAAGGTACTGAATTTACAAGTTAAAATCTTCCCCGATCGAGATTTCGTTCCAATTTTGTATATAGGGTATGTATATTTGAACGTTTTGTTTATATGATTTTAATATCTCGACAGTGTGCGTGTATGGGTGTGTGCAGTTGAAAATTGCGTATTTAATTATCAGATTAATGATATTCAGTAAATAATTATGAGGATTATGTGGACAAGATTAAATTTAGTTGTACATATTTAGTATGTTTAGCTTAGTTACTTTAATATCGATAGATTAGTTTGAAATTGTTGTTTATATTGTGAATGCTTTATCGTTCAGTTTTGACAAACTGGATTTTATAACAGATATATTGTCAGAATAAAATGAATTATAATAAAAATGAATGTAATTATTGGCACTGGCAGCCGCGTACCTCCGTTGTGGATCAGGTTGATGACATCCCTATAAACTTATTGCAGATTCTTAAAAAATGACTTATTTTGTCCTCAACCTTTTACAACTTGCCAAAAGTGTTATTGCATGGAAAATCAATGTTAATAAAAAAAAACAAAATAAAAACTATGTTTTGTTGATGTTTTTGATGTAGTTGCTAGATTTCCGCTGAAACTTTATACATCTAGATAATGAAGAGTATATTATAAATACGATACCTTATTAATATTACCAAAAAGTTTGGGTGCTGCTTTTTATAAATAATATATATATATATATATATATATGCACAGAATTGTTATATTTTGCAAATCTCTTTGATAAAGTTTTAGCTGAAATATTACAAATTGTTTAATATTGTCATTCGACATGCTATAGATGTATTATATTTGTGTGAAAAATTAATACCAGATACCCCTGTTGGTTTCTGTTGTGTTTTATATTAATAGCTAAACACATCTAACGAGCAGCTCAGCTAATCCAAATTAGAAAATCAAGCAAGTATTTAACTCGAAACATGGTATACACAGCAACAGTTAAAGTGCAATATTTCTCACTGCCTCCGAATTTTACTTTCTAGCAATAACAAACTCCAAAATCCGGACAATTTTTTAGACTACGCTCAAATATGTATCTGTGGTTATTTGTTGTTAGCGAACATCTATCCGACTACCTTGCTTTGATATTAGATTTCCTTAGAAATGGATCTTGAGATCAGGTCGGCAGACGGAAAATATCGTGATATAATTTTTAAGAAATTTATGCTTAGGGTAAGTTTTATATGACAAGATATTCATCTTGGATGTGTTTAGGACTTGTGCTCTCAACCGTTTGTAAAAAAAAGGGACGTATAATACTCAGTAGTTAATTTGTCTAATATAAAACACATCAAGCCATTTAAAAATGTACTTATTTATATCTGGTTCATGACAATACATTAGATATAAAAAGATTTAAAATAAGTACCTAAACAGTTAAGAGTATTGTTATAAGGCGTATCTAATATACATATGTTTTTATCATATTTTAAACTTTCTTGTAACCGTACTAAACTATTGGAAATTTCTGTCTTCAAGGTCGTCACTTAGTGATCTCGGGCCCAGTTCGATTTTTATTTGCAGTTCCTTTACCACTTTCGCTTAGTACTACGATATATTTTTTTCTACACAATTAGAGCAATCGATTAAGTTCTGTCTACAGAACGAGCAAGACGAGAACATTGCGACTACAGAAATAAAAAATAACGGTCATTCCTATACAGATATATCGAGATATACATATTTTAACTATATTGAATAAAAAATCAAGTAGCTATGGAATACCCTACTTCAACCAATCCTTCGTAAGGCTCTGTCCTGCTGAAATTAGGACGGATTGACTGAAGCGTTGTAGCTATTTCAGCGACCTGATTTGAATCGTCTTGATTTTTGTGGTCACTGTGTTCTCCTCATGTTCTCTTAAAAAACCCCCAATCATTCTTAATCGATTTGCTTGAAATTAAAAACAGACTCTTCCCCGACTGGACGTCTGACATTACAACCATATGGGCCATATTTTTTTGTAGCAAGTTACCAAATAATTGAGATCTTGTTAATACACATGTATACAATTTAAATGTTACGTACCGTATTTGTGCATTAATAAAAAATGTGTCACAGTACGTAGTTTCATTTAAGGAATAACGCCCGAAAGCATTGTTCGCTGCCAGTTTTTCTCACTTGACCAATTTGATATCAGGGATAGGGTGTTAATTTGACTTGATCTTTGAAGGTAAGTTACAGTCCAATTTTAATATTCGGTGCACATTCCTGAAATAATTCGATACGTTTAACAATCTCGGATCGTAATTTATGAGTTTAGTTAACTGGATCCTTCTTTTCATGAATTAAATGATACTTGATAGTTATCCGACAACTTAAAAGCAAACAGATTGCAGTACCAGTATCCGTTAAATAGTTTGTAACCTAACCACACAAATATTCATACGATGGTCATTGGTCAATAGTAACATTGTTACCCCTGAATTTTATTACGTATTCTTCCCATATTACTGCGCCTACGTAATGTGGGTTGCCTAAACAATAGACAATATTTACACATTAAATGGAGAAGCAAGATTTAAATTATATAACATTTACAGTACGTATGTACAAATTGTGTAAAGAACAGATAAGTACGACCGTTTACAGACGGCCTTCATAAATCATTACAAGCCACATGACCAGTAATGCTGTTAGGAGCACGCTTCCTTTGCGTTGACAATTAGACTTTGGTAAAATTTAAAGTTATTAAAATAGGATCAAGATTACGTCAAAACGCAACATCTTGTATCTGAAGTTAAGATTTACGGATAATGTTTGTTGCCTAGATTTGGCAATCACGTCGCTTGTAAACATCTATGATGGCTCTGTACGGAAAACAAAACCACCCAACGTGTGTACAATCTGTAAAATTAAGAAATTTAACCACAATTTTTGCTTTAACGGATGTCTAAAGGATCCTAACTAAAATTATTATTAATTAATTCAAAAGGTGTTAGATAATACCAAATTGTTTACGAGATTAAATATTAATTATTATACTTTTTTGTTTCATACACGAATCTTACTTATAAAAGTAAATAATATGTACAATCTTTAAAATTATTCGATATGAATCGTAGCATAAAACTTATCTAAATTTAAATCCAACTTAACCTCTACTTCTTCTTCTTCTGTCGCCAGTTTATCACAGATATTGGGTACATTCAGACGGTCCGTCCCAGCGGCTGAGACTGCTTAGTAAGAACTACCTGAATGTGTAGCGCTGCTTAAAGGCTGTTCGACAGCGGCTGAGTATTTTGCCCAGCGTAGAAAGTTGTTGCTTTTAAAAAGGCGGATCGCGATTTTTGACTTGAATGTCATTTAAAAATTGGGTTATGTTTATTTGTTTGTTGTTTCGTTTGAGAAATAAACAAAATTTGAGAATTTATATTATATTATTACTTTTATCACACGATATAAATATTTTTTGATCACGAAAGTTATTCAGGAAATTCCACTTCAATCAACAAGCACAAAAGAACAACTAGGTTATGTTTTCAATTGTTTTGACTTGATCCGCTGTCAGTTAGCCACGCATTCAGCCGAAACGAAGGCGCTGATTAACAAGCCCACCACAGGTTGAGTGGCTGTACTTAGCAGCTGGGACGCCTGAATGTACCCATTCTTTAACATAAGCGGGAATATTATAAATTCAAACTTGAATCTAACTTAAATTTGAATAAAACGATTTAATATTAATATTAGAAGTTGGAAATACTATTTCTACTTGTTTTCTACTTCAGAATGATGAAATATGAAAATAAGTCTGTTTCCAAGGAATATTTAGAGAGATAATTAAAAAGAAGAATTAATAATAGTACAGTTGTAATTATTAATAATGAACAATTTTAAGAAATATTTCGAAAGATCGTTAAAAATAAGGATTTCATAATAATAGTACAGTTGAAAACAATTGAAGCTTCCTGCAACATGAGCCTTTTTAGTGTCCCTTCTTTCTTTCAATTCATATAGTTTCGCTGAATTAATTATGAAAGCGAGTATTTTAATACACATGCTTTGGCCAGCGGTTTCCCGCTCGTTGGAAATAATATTTCTATTTTTTTTAGAATGATGACAATTTTAAGAAATAAAATGAAAATAAGGTAATTGCTATCAATATTCGAAAGATAGTTAAAAAGAACGATTTTATAACAATAGTACGGTTGAGCGATTTTTTAATTTTTTAAATTCATACCGTTCTGCAGCTTAAAAAATCTACCGTTAGCGACAGTCTTTGCTTTTTTGCGTACGCTATGTACATCGCACACACAGATCTGTTCTCAGACCTCATTAATAAGCAGTAGAGGAAAACGTTAGTTGAGAATTCCGAAGAAAATCTGATTTTAAGTATTTACTAAAAGGCCGCGAAAGCAAAAAGTGCATGCGGAGTTGCGAAGTCGTTTTAAATAAAAATTAATGAGCGTTTTTCTCAGAAAAGCGCCATTCATTCAATAGAAATCTTTTAAAGGAGATTACTTATTAAAAGGTTCCCCGCGCAAAGACGCTGGGGCACCGTAAAAAAATAAATGAAAATCGAATGGGAATTTTAATTAGTTGTTCAAGTATTACTTATGCAATTAGTGTTAAATATAATACTGACATACACGGTGGTCAAGTGACCAGGAATTTTATTTCGTTGGCAATTAAATTTCTGTAAATTTAAAAATTATTAAAACAATAAGTTCAAGATTAGATTAAAACAACTTTCTGTCTCACCGACTGGTGATTGGTGTAATCAGAGATTATCTCGAGCGTAGACGTAATGGTTCGTCATTGTTCATTGTAAAGGAATCATTAATCCAGAGCCTTCATAAATGTTCACAAGCCACGTGACTGCCCAGCTTAGGCAAGCAACATTGCAAGGCTGGTACTGGTAACAAAAATTCCCTAAATCTTCGCGTCGCTACGACCGAAGTAAAAAATTTGGCGGCAGTAGCCAGACATTTTTTGGGGCGTAGTTGCAACATTGTAACAGGAAGGATACCTTATCCGTCTTTCATACAAATCACGTATTATATTATGTCAGTAATACATGTAATAATAATCAACATGTGAGGACTAAATATGTTATTTAAATGATCAGAAGGTGCATACGAACGTGTACTTATGTGTAGTGCCAGTCTACATCTTTCCGATCTCAATTGAAGACCAAAGATCTAGGCAGTATATACCAGGTTCGGTCGCTCCGCAACAACACAGCATTGAAATATTTGAAAAACTTGTTCCCATATTTATTTAGCCATACTCATATACAGGTCTGATCGTTCGCTTGAAGAATGCGCGCGTGGGTAAACGGCGCACACACAGCCGTACTGGGCGACCGGCCATAAATTTCAGTTGTTGACAAATTGCCTAGCAGTGCAGAACAGCAATGAGGAATTTGGTGATTCAGGTAATTTTAATTTATTTTTATAGGCACTTTCTATTAATCATTCATATTACAATTGAGAAAGGGAGAAATAAGAGGGATATTTTGTTTACTAATATTATTACAACATGGCATTTTGCAGACCTTTTGAAACGGAACAAAACGAAATACCGGCAGACAATATTGAATTAGTACAACCTTTTGTTGATGGAACAGATTTAGAATTTAAAAATAAAGATTTACATGTTAAAAATCTGATAATGAAATTATAAATAGAACTCACATACTAACAAAAGTTTCAGTGTCCACAATTTTTC